GGGGGATGGGGGGTAGAGGGAAGCTCACGCAAGTGCCATTTTGCCGTACATTGCCCAATTAGTTGGTTTGGGAGCCATGATGGGATGTGGGATGTGGTGGTGGCGTGTTCAAGATGACGTGAGGGGAAGAGAAGCTTGTGTTGTTGGTATATCGGGTTCTTGGAATTGAACTGAATTGAGCTCAGCTTGTCTGGGATGAATAATGTTATGCTTGCCTTGCCGAGCTTGCCTAGACGATGATGATGGTGATATTTAATCCGGTGGCCATGATTTGCCGGCTGTGCAGGGAATATCTGTGGCTGTGCGGTACGAGCTAATAAGTGTGGCGTAAGCAGGTTGAGTGGAGTGGAGTGGAGGGATCATGGGTGTTTTGGATGTTCCAGAATGTTTCTAAAGCCAGGTGGGAGTGCAAAGTGGATAGAGATGCCATTCGTTGGGTACAGATCGTCCATGCCCCTCCTCTTGGAAACCCGGAGCACGGCCTGGATATCCTGCACCTGCACCTGCACCTGCACTAGTTCATCCGTTTTATTCTGTGTCATGGTCATATTCTCGTAAATTATTACCAGCTTGTAAAGTCATCGGATACAGTATATTATTAATAAAGAATGATCTGAGCGCTTGAGTTTTCCATAGCTAAAAAGAAGGCGCAGTTGTTGATTAGCCAGCCACACCCACATGCAACGTTCAGATGCACTGCCTTATTTGCGAATACGGTACGGAACTCCCTCCTATCCTAAAGTCTCCTACTTTGTACAGTACATACAGTAGACCAATACTTGGTACTACTTGGGGCTTTCCTGTGCTCCGGAATAAAAAGAACCACAATTCGGGCGAAACACAGTACCTACCCAATGGCTGTGCGCCTGTTCCTGGCATTAGTGGTTGACCCCTGGTCCTGGCTGTTACTGTATCTGATAATATGAGACGCTTGAAAGAGGGCATCAGGACCAGATCTCCAGGTTGCATTTAATGCCTACGGTCCTGTCCTGTACTGTAACAATTAATGCTGCCCAAAGTCAATGCGGCCATGAACCGACCAGTCACCACACGAGAACTGTTCTATTTGTAAAGTCAGCTGTAAGAAGTCCATCTCCTCTCGACTCTCTCTCCCGCCTGCAAAAGCCACCGCCTTCCCATCTCCACCACCTTGAAGCGCCCCCCACATTCCCGCGCAATCCCATACTGTAACCTCCAACCACCGGACGACCACCTCTCCACCATCCGCTCAACGACTTCAACCACCAGAGTAACTTTGCAGCCACCCATAATAAAGCCCTTTCTTTGCTATTCACAACCACCACCAACCAACATTCCATTTTGCTACATTTCAGCCTCGAAACACTCGGCTCAAGGATCGAATCCTCCCGACCAGTTGCTGTCCGTAATTTCGCTGCAGAAAACAATACCGTCCTTAGAAGATTCCCTTCCATGGCTTGGTTCATACTGGTGTGAAGACAACAGTAGCTACACTTACCGCAAGAGACGATACTGAGCGAACGCAAAAAACTGCATTGAGTTCCGAATCCATTTCAGCTCAAGACCAGACAGACACCATGGCATACGAACAGAGTCACTACCAACCGCCAGCAAGGCCATACAATGGGAGCGCAGCGCGACGTCCAGTTCCCCCACAAGGCCCTCAGCAAGGCTACAATCAACCGCCTCCGCAACAATACCCCCCGCAACAATACGACCAGTACGGGCAGGATGGCTACGGGTACGATGATTACAATAATGGTTATGCGCAAGAGTATGATGGAGGATATCAGGATGTGAATGGAGGAGGACGAGGGAATGGCTACCCGCCGCAGAATCAACAAAACTATCCACCACAGCAAGAACAATACGGAAACGACAGAGGAGGGGGAATCCCTCCGAGGGGCGGGGGAAGAGGAGCACCACCAATGCAAGGAGCACCGCCAATGCAAAGACCACCACCCGCTGACGGAGCTCGAGGCGGATATGGTGGAGCCCCAGGACCAGGAAGAGGATATCCAAAAGGTGGACCCCCTGGAAGAGGAGGCAGAGCACCTATGAACAGAGGACCTAACTCTGACCCAGGACGTAAGTTGGAGATGGTTCACCTGCGAGGGCATTACTGACAGGAAGTAGGACAACAGCGCAGACCTTTGAAGACCCCTCCCATATCTCCCGATGACCCCTCGTCCACTTTTGACAATCCATTCCCTTCATTTCCAGGCGGAAAGAAAAAGACCTCGTTGTCTGAGGAGCAGGATATCGTCCAGAGGATGGCAAATATTGAGGTTGGACCCCCGCCACAGAATCGCCCAAGAGGTCCTGGTAGTAAAGGAAGTCGAGACAAGTATCCTATGGGTGCACCTACCGACGATTATGGACGACCTTCTTTGGAGGGGCAAAGAAGAGGGGCACCTGTAGATGACTATGGACGCCCTTCAATGGAAAGGAGACCTGCGCCGGATGATTATGGAAGACACTCGGCGGATAATCAAAGAAGGCCACCTGATGACTATGGGCGTCAGTCCGCAGAGAGTACTAGGAGCGGGCCACCTAGAGGTTATCCCCCACAAAGGCCACCTCAGCAAGGATATCCCCAACCAAGACGGGGGCCACCACCAGGTCAAGGCTATGGGCCTCCTCAGCAGAATGGGTACGGAGATCCTGGCTATGACGATAGAGGAGGCTATGGCCAGGCTTCAGCTCCACCGGCGAGGGAAGATTTTGGACCTCCTGGGAGAAGTATGACTATGCCGAATCAACCTCCTCCCCCTCAAGATATGGGCCGTAAACCTCCAATGCCTAGACCCATGGAAGGACCTGGTCCTAGTGCACCATATAATGGCCCTGTTGGCCGTGGAACGCCACCAAGGCCATCTACTGCTTCTGGAAGTCGTCAGCAACCACAAAGACAATATCCAAATCCACCACCTCCTTTGGATCTCTATGCAAATGGCCAGAGACATCCATCAAGTCAAGGATATTATACGCATCAGACTAATGGAAGCATTGACGAATTATATGACGCATATTATGATTCACCTGGGGGTGCTCAACGGAGACCACAGTCTGCTGAATCAGAGATGCCAAATTTCGATGCTGTGCCTACAAAGCCTAGTAATCACAGAAGAGGAGCGTCTATTGATGAGCATATACAACCACCACCAGCTCCGCTGCAACCTGGTTTCGGACAGCAAATAAAACCCGTCAAATCACAACCTGATATCAGGCATCGAGCGCAACCTCAAGCAGCTGTTTTTGAAATGGCAGATGAAGCACCTCCTTTGCCGTCTGCTATGCCGCACCCAAATGCCTACCCTGAGACTTATGATGACGGTTATGGTCCAGATCCTTATGGTTTGAACCCTGGCCCAGCTTTTGTGCCATATGATGAGCCTCCGCAAAATGGATTTCAGCCACCTCCACGAAGCGCGTCTGCAGCGCCTCGAGCTCCTGTGGGTCTTCCAAACGGTCCAAGGGGCGGTCTACCTAATGGCCCTTCTCCGAATGGAGGGCCCCCTCGATCAAATACAATGCCCAGACAGGCACCCCCTAATATGGATGCCTTGCCATCTCACCCCCCACCTGTTCGGGCCGGCTTAATACCTAATTCTGTTGTCAGCTTAGCAAGCAACAAGCCAACTCCTGTTCGTAATTATGGAGGCGTAGCTCCTGCACCTCCACCGCAACAAGCTCCAAAACAACAAATGCAGGCTCCTCAAGCCCCAGCGAGACCTATTTCTGAAGCATCTGCGCCAGTCACAGCAGCAGAGCTAGAGCAGCTGAGGAACAGTGTCAAAAACAACCCCAACAACCAAGCAGCACAGCTCCTCCTTGCTCGGAAGTTAGTTGAGGCATCCGAAGTCCTCGTGTCCACCATCCCCGACCAGAGACAACGCAACAAAACCCGCGAGCGCTACGTAATGGACGCACATAAACACCTCAAGAAGCTCGTCACACTCAACAACGCAGAAGCTATGTTCTACCTAGCTGACTGTCATGGCCGTGGCTCCCTCGGCCTCGAACCTGATAATAAAGAAGCCTTTTCCCTCTACCAATCCGCTGCCAAAGCCGGCCACCCAGCAGCAGCGTACCGCACAGCCGTGTGTTGCGAGCTTGGCCAGGAGGATGGCGGCGGCACGCGCAAAGACCCAATGAAAGCTATCCAGTGGTACAAACGTGCCGCCACGCTAGGTGATACACCTGCAATGTACAAAATGGGCATGATACAGCTCAAGGGCCTGCTAGGGCAACCAAAAAGCGCAGGCGAGGCAGTCGGCTGGCTCAAACGCGCCGCGCAAGCCGCAGACGCCGAGAACCCGCACGCACTTCACGAACTCGGGCTCCTGTACGAAGCGCCTCAATCTGACTCCTCGGTCATACGCGACGAAGCCTACTCCTTCACCCTCTTCCAACAAGCGGCCGACCTAGGCTATAAATTCTCGCAATTCCGTCTCGGGTGCGCGTTCGAGTACGGGCTGTTCAACTGCCCAATTGATGCGCGGCAGAGTATCATGTGGTATTCGCGTGCCGCGGCACAGGAGGAACATCAGAGTGAGCTGGCGCTTAGCGGGTGGTATCTGACGGGCAGTGATGGCGTGCTGCAGCAGAGTGACACGGAAGCTTATCTGTGGGCGCGAAAGGCTGGTATGGCGGGGTTGGCCAAGGCGGAGTATGCGATGGGGTATTTTACGGAGGTTGGGATTGGGAGTCCGGCGAATTTGGAGGATGCTAAGAGGTGGTATTGGAGGGCTGCTGGTATGTTCATGTTTTCTCTCTCCTTACTCTTCCCTTCTCTTCATTCTCTCTCTTGTTATTGCGACCATTCATACCGCAGTCAATAATTCTTACTGATGTTTTCAACAGCGCAAAACTTCCCCAAAGCCCGCGAGCGTCTTGAAGATCTCAAGAAAGGCGGTGGGAAAGCGGGTCTTAAATCCCGGGAACGCATCTCGCGTTCCAAAGTCGGGAAGCAAAATGAGGGGGAGTGTTCCATTATGTGAACTCGCTGAACTTATCCTTGGAATATATGAAGGAAAGAATGATGAAATAAAGAACAAGAATATGCATGATCTGAAACAAGCAAGCGTGATTTGAGTGGGCATTGGATAGGGATGGAGATGTGATGTGATATGATTTGATATGGATAGATAACAGTATATTCTCATGATCTGGTCTGGTAGATATGCGATATAATGCAGACAGGCAGGCAGGGCGGGACCCGAGGTTGGAGTGGAAGGGAGTAGAGCGGAGTGCATATCTGCTTACATATATATATACATGTATATACTATGCTATCTACCTACCTACCTATCTATCATGCCCTTTGAAATGAGAATGCAAACCATGAATGAAAATACGGATGAATGACTATATCACTCACTCCCTTGCAACGGGACCGCAAGTGATCTCGGTAGGGAACAGCAGAAGAGTGGAGGAGAGGTTTTCTGATGATGATGTCGAGGTAACATGTAGGTAGCAGTGAGAGCTTTCACTTACTTACTTAGTTGTGGTGTTGACATCTATTTATGTCTATGGTATCCTGTGGAAAAGGTTAATGGAGAGGAAACGGTTTTCTGGTGATTATATTCATTTGTGTCACAGAGAATACGAGTAGTGAAGTAAGTGAAGGTTGGAAATAAATAAAAAAGAAAACTCGATTTGTTATCATACACTAAAGCATCCATGCATGCATGCATTATGTGCGCGGGTCTCGGTCTCTAAAGTGTCATCCATCGTACTGCGACTAGTTATTCACGAAAGTTGGAAATTCACGCATCCATTCATCAACACACTCTCTAGCCCATCCATCATCTCCACGTGCCTTTCTTCCATCCCCAAAGCTGCCCAATTTGTTAATCAAGCCTTCTTAATAGCATCTACGACGTCACTCTTGACGCCCTTGACTGTCTCAACTACATTGTCCTTTGCCTCTTCCAGGGCCTCGGTAGGACTCTCGTTCTTGACACTCAAGTTGTGGGTCACGATACGAGTGACTTGGATTACGCCGACGATGCCGAGGAAGAAGTTCACTGCTGCGAGTCTGGTGGCGATACATGTTAGTATCGGATTTCCATGATGCTTGTATTAAAGATAAGAGGGAGAGGATAGAGGGGTAGAAGGGGAAAAGAGGCGGGGGAGAGACGTACAAGACATTACGCGGTTTGATGATCAAGCACCAACGAGTCCAGATTGCGCCTGTGGCTGTGAGGGCTACGTTCTGGGTCAAGGAGAGCTTTTCGACGGGTCGGTAGAAGTCGGAGATTCCGGCGATGACGAGACACCACTATATATACAACATTAATATATGTCTTTTCATTCTGATATCTCGAGGGAGGGATATAGATGCGTGAAGTGGGGAGCGACGGAGCTTATCTCGGGGATAAGATGATGGGGGAAGTGAAGATATACCTTCATTACAGGCGCCCTATTCCACAACAGAGTAATTAGCAAACATTCTTTCTCAATTCAACATCTCCCTCCCCTGAAATCCAATGCAATTCCCCTTCCACTCCATATCCGCCAACCCCTCTATATCTTCCCGCATAGTACGTACCAGAAATGCACAGTCTTCAACCCAATTGGACTATCCCACATCCTCTTCAACCAGCTAACCTCCTCCCCCGCGGCAGCCGTCGTACTCTGCCATCTCTTCCCGCCAGTCTTCTGCTGCTTAAACGAGCTCCTGAACGTGCTGCGTGCGAATTGCTGTGTGAAGGTCCTGGAGTTGGCGGAGGCGGTGCTGCGGAATTGGAAATTGATAGCCGGGCGCGCGGCGCGGAAGAGGGTTGATGGTGGCATCTTTGCTTTCTGCTTTGTGTGTGTGTGATGGAGAAGGGAGAGGAGATTGAGAGATGGGAGATAGATGAAGTTTGCGATGGCTAAATTCGCGGAATAATATAAAGAGGAAGCCCGGTGTCGGGATGCACAGCATAAAGGTTAGTGTGTTTTATGCGCGGTTTATGCAAGAAGCTTCGATGTCAATCAACCTCATAGCTTTAATTCCGCTACAACGAAAACGAATCGAACAACCACAACCGACACAGCAATTCTGCAAGAGGATCAAGATGTCGGCTAAATACGCATTCTCGAATACGCTCAAGGAGGTCAGGTTTCTGTTCTGCCAGACGGGCGAACATAGTGGTGCTACGAGGTTTGTTTCTTCTTCTTTGGGCGGGCGGAATCTTCAATACATAAGTAGCAATGGCTTTGCAAGAGGATCATGCTGATGAGAGGTTGTATCAGATCATTCCTCGCACGCGCATATCCGACGATGAAGAAGAACAACCCCCAGACACCGATTATGCTGCGCGAAGCTGCTGGTACGCAACCGAGGGTTTATGCGAGATATGGTTAGTTGTTACACTTTGCTTTGCTTCCTTTCGAAAATATGCTTCGATGAAGGAAATGGGAAATAGATTTTGGGCTAATTGGAATGCGGGGGTTGTAGAGTTTGGGAAGGAGAAAAGTGAGAGTTTGGCTGGGTTGTCGGATAAGCAGATTGAGGAGACGGTTACGGGGTTGGTTAAGACGCGGCTATGATGTGATATTAAACGCTTAGGGAGGGAAGGAGACGGTGTATATATTGAGGGGGGCAAAGGAATACAAAGATCTTGAATCAGAGGCTGTTTGCGAGAGGGGGATGAAATGTTGGTTGTGTCGGTGGGGTGTACTGGCTCGTTGCGATTGATATAAATTGAGGAGTGAAAGGATCCACGGCACCACTCCTCCCTCCCAAGTGGGAAAATATACTACGAAGTTGAGCACTTCCTCTTCATTTTAATTGTCTTTCAGCGATGACAATTCCATCTCCCCTTAGGTCCAGCGTTACTTCCAGCATGCGCTATGCCGGCGCTGAGATATATGGTTGTCAAGTTGTCAACCATTGTCTCCTAAGCCCTCTTACGGTCATGTGTATCCCTTTCCTGATGCGGAATCTCTTAAACAACATGCCTTTGATCCCCACCATTCCTCTTTCCTCTACTCCGATTCCTCCCTGTTCTATGCTTACTAAGTAGGAGATGTTGAAGAACACTGGTAGGTTAAGACTGATGCAGTATAACCAGCTGATACATTGTTTGCGGGTGTGGTTGTGGTTGTGGTTGTGGTTAAGATATGTAGGACTGGAGTAGCACGAAGTGTCGTCGAAGCTTGCTCAAGCTCTGGTTTTACTTCATATTTTCTTCTTGGCCTATCCCTGCAACTTGTTAAATTGGTCGATTTTTGCAATCCCATCGCTATCGTTGCCTACTCTTCTTCCAGGTATAACTAGAGAAGTTGTGGAGGTACGGTATCATTTTAGCAAAGATGATCTAAACAGTATTTGTTTTCGCACCTAGAACGTGCAAAGTCTGTACCTGGAATTGCTACCGGTATCAGACCTCCAGTACACTTTGATCTCGCTCAGCATAGAAACGGCGCTTCGTAAATGCTTTTAGATCTAGGAGAGTGCTCTTCATCGCAATTTGTAATTTTCTTACCAGAATACCTTTTTACCAATGCCACAGAGATGAGACTGGACCCATGCTTGCCTTTATATATACATCCAGGGTCTTGTAACCAGAGATTGACATTTTCAGCCTGTTTTTGATATAATATTAACCACTTCTTATAAAATGCTTTATAAGAATTGCGGAGGTACGAAACGGAGTACGGAGTAATGTCTTGCCCTTGCCTTCCGTGGATAATATTCATACAAGTGCTATTTTAATTTATCTCACCTGAGTCTGGCCATCTGCTCTTGCACGTGTTTCGAACCCATGCCTTAGCCTTATCTTAGTCAGCGCCTCTCTTAAAGGAAGCGTGATCCTCCATTCCAAATTCTAAAAGATTATGCAGTTTTACTCTTTCGAATGATACTCTGGAATATTAAGAGATGTATCGACTAAAACACGAAAGGGCCCTAAGTAAGCCTGGATTTTGTTTTCAGTAGTTTTATTTCCTGATTAGGTTCGCTGTTGAGTTTTGTGCTCTTGCCTTCTTAGATTGCACTCAAAGCGCCCTGTCTTTGGAATTCTGCTTATCATCCCATTTGGAGTAGAACAAGGATCTTGGCACCAGGGCCAAGTTGTTCTCGATGGCACGTCTGAGTCGTGGATGTCTCCGCTGCAGGCAGCGTGGCGTTCGCTGCGACGAAGGCCGGCCCTTATGCCAGGATGCATTAAACGCAATGAAATCTGCGAGGGGTATCGAGATAATGCTTCCATCATTTTTCGGGACGAGACCGAAAAAGTGATTGAGCATGTGCGCGCATCACAAGCCCTGCCGCAGCCCAGCTCAAAAACGTCTTCGCAACTATCGGCAAGGAAGCGCAGCAGATCTGTCGAAGCACCTTCGGTGCCGGGCCGGATTGTAGACCCCTCAGAGCTGGCCCCTGGAGAGGCCACTGGCATTAAGCTCGGAAATCCGCGTCCCTGGCTTAAAGGACTGCCGTCTGAAATGATGCCCTCGGTAGAAGAACAAGCCGTCGATAACTTCATGGAGAAGTATGTCATTTATCCATGCAACCAGACATCATCTCCTGGGTTCCTAGAGCATTTACCATGCATGTTCCAAGAGGTCAACATTAATGGGCGATACGCTTTGCGATGGGCCATACGAGCTGCTGCATATGCCGGTCTTTCAAAAGATCAGGATAGCAACATACTTGCAAGGAAGGCACTGCAGTGCTACGGTATGGCGCTCTCTGCCCTAGGAGATTCTCTTGGCATGCCGGGAAAAGTCACAGATGATTACGATCTGATGACCATAGTTGTTCTTGACATCTTTGAGGCAGGTTCGCATAATATATCGTGATAACATCCTACGCTCACATTCATAGACTCTATATACTCCTGAAGTAGCCGTCAAAGGATCACATGCTCAAGGAATGGCGCAAATCCTCCGATTGCGAGGCTCGGACTTGGTCTATAACTCACGAGGCTGGAGTCTTTTCCGACTTGCCCACCACAGGATCGTAAGCAATCAGACACTGCGTTCTCGCTCCATGCTAATACGTGTCAAGCAAATACAGCAATTATCTTTTAACATGCTTCCAAGTCCGGATACGACAAATTGGCTAAACCAGCTCAATGACAATGAGCCGTATGTGCGTCTTGAGAAGAACGCGAATGCAATCAGTGATACGTGCAAGCGTGCGCGAATGCTCCTAGATCTGATTAACGTTGGGGGCTTGCCGGCGTCTACTATCGTCGACATGGTTAAGGAGCTGCACTCCCTTGACCAATCAGCAATTAGCTGGCGGCAAACATCAAAGTGGTCTTTGAAGAATCTGACAGTGTCGGAAAGGCCGGATCTTGAACCTGCAGCACGCGGGATTACGGATACGATCCAACTGCATCCCGATATTTGGATGGCCTACGAATGGAACTACCACCGAGCAGCGCGCATCATCTTTCTAGAGCAGCTTTTAAAGTGCACCAAGGTCGCGCTGGAGACCTCAGACCCAGATAGTGGGGAAAATAAAGCGCTGACTGACACCATCGCCGAGTGTACCTCGACCATCCAATGGCTCGCAGACGAAGTCCTCTCAACAGTTCCCCAGTCCCTCGGGGATATCGGCCACATGGGCCGGGAACACGACTTCAAGGATGGCCCGCCTCGCTGCCGTGCAATCGGCGGGTACTTGCTTCTCTGGCCGATAAGGATCACCAAAGGTCAATCATCTGCGACGACGCTGGAGCAGAAACAACGTGCGTGCAGAATATTTGAACGGATTCGAGACTACACTGGAAGGAAATCTACACTTGGCGACAAGAGCATCATATGACCCTGTGCAGCACCCGGCTCTATTAGGACAGACTATCTAGACCCAAGTTTCAGAAATATATCGAAAAGTACACACTCCTCTTCGCCTCATCTCTTCATAACCGTCTCCTCCAGCTCCGTCCCATCAACCAGCTTAACCTTCTCAGCGCTGGCGGTGACAAACATGATCCGGCAGGTCTCGCTGGTACGGTTGATCCACTGGTGATTGGCACCACCCTGGATGATATACTCGCCAGGCCGCACCGTCTTCTCGTCGCCGTTGTCGAGCCTAAGGACGATCTCGCCTGTCAGGACGACGGCATAGTCGATGCTCAAGGTCCGATGCATTGGAACCGTGAAGTTGCCGGCGATATTGCTGATGCAAAATATGACGCCGCGGGGCGGGCATCGCGGCAGCATCTCCGCATACTCCCCCGTCGCCTCCTGGTTGTTCACTGGCACCGCCCCGCGCCTGTCAAATACGGCGAATGATGACCCTGCAGGTCCCATGGGCCGGAACAGCGGTACCTCTCTGTCCGCGCCGAATATCGACGTCCCGTCTGCTGCGTGTGTCGTCACCACCACCCGCGGGTTCGAGTCGGCCGAGGGCATGGCCTGGGTGGCGGCAGCGGTGGGGTTGCTGGAAGACATCTTGGAAGCAGTGCAAGAATTATGATGATTAATGTTGGATTATATTATTAGGTTGCTGTTATTGCTTGAAATGCTGGATCAAAATATCTTCTTGACAAAGACTCAGCGCCTCTTATATACCCATAATCCATCTCTTATTTATTATCTTGGTCACAAATATCGTGCATCTTACCGCAACGAGGTTGACTGCGAGGTTTGTAAACTATATTCGCGATGCCGTCCGAATTGGGAAGCCGACACGATTGGCTGATTCGTTACCAGACTAGTATATCAACTAGAGGTTCGTTCAATCCTTACCTAGCTCCTCCCCACCCTGCGGCCCCAGGATATAAGAAAATAGCTAATTTTAAGATCGCTGGAACTTGATTAATTTATCACATAAGGCTTCGGAAAGGACCTCGCAGCCTGACAAATTAATTTTACGGCACCTTTCTCTAATCAGAGACGCCAGCTAGCCTAAGCCAATCAAAGCGCTGTGATTTTAATCTTGCTGTCTCAGACCGTCAATTCGACATGTACAGAATTCGATCTTTTTAGTATCCTTATTTCATTCAGATTTTATATATATGAATACTTAGAACTCTCAGAACTTGTCCATCTCTCCAAAGTATTTTGCGTGATAATATCAAATGTAACATGATATACCAGCTCACTAGCCCCCTCCATCTCTAGCAGCGGCTTAAGGAATCCCAGATAATGATCTTTTATGTTCTTCCCATGTAAGTCTCCCTCTTTCAGAAAGCATTTTTGGTCTACTTGCGCCTCTACCTCTAGATCATTATAGCGTGATAGGACCCATACTTCTACAAGTCAGTGTTATACGATTTTAATAGGAGGAACATTGAAAAGAAAATTTCGATGAAAACAACTTGTAAGAAATAGTGAAAAGTATAGCATACAAGTATTTAGGCTTCTCCCCGTCGATGGCTCAACTGCCCATTTTGCACACCTCTTGACTCCAGTATACCCGATCCCTATTTCACTTTTCGCAACCACCTGCAATTCACTCTCATACCGCCTAAACCTATAGATTAGTGCTTGGCGATCGCCTTCCCCAGGATTGTTGCTGAAAGTCAGCTTGCTGATGGTGGTTATGCGGGCGCCTATTGCGGGGCCCACCAGTGATAGATGGCTGGTGACGGCGGGCGGATTGGGCGGAGCGTCGAGAAGTGGGTTTATTAAAGTCAGGAATGCGGAGTAATGGTTGGAGAGGAAAGTTTGGACATCTACTCTGCTTTTGAAGCCGGTGAGAAGTGTGAGGTGGGAGGGTGTTTCGTGGTGCCGGCCCCATGCAAAGGTGTCGAACTATGATCTATTAGAAAGTGGTCTTTGATGGAATCGAGTGAATAATAAAGAGGTTATAAAGGGAGGTCGTTACTGACACCGGGGCAGGAAATGAGATAGTCGACGGCTGTTCTCCATTGCTTTGCGGCGAGGGTGGAAGGCTGGTCGAAGGTGCAGTTACTCGAAAGGGTCAGAATCTGAATCGTAGTAGACGCCATTTTAAGAGTGATACATAGGGATGTAGATTTCCAAATAACAAATAGTGAGATATTTTAAAACCCGTCGAACCGCTCAATATCATATTGTTGTCTCTATACCAACTAGGTTAGCGCCATAAGCCGATGACTAATCCGTGCCCCCAACCTACATAGAGGATTCTTTCAGCCGTGAGCAACTAACACAACCAGCAATGTATTTTCATAGCAGACGTTCACAGTAGCGTCAGCCTCATTTTTGAGTATCAGTTTCACTGTATTTCAGCTACCGGGACAAGGTCGAATAGAACTCCCAGGTTCCTACAAGTCTTCAAAACCATTCCCGATAATCCAAGCCGCGCTCGCTCCTGGACAAGGACTGCCGCGCTCTAATCTCACTTAAATCTTACTTACTCGGACCTTCTAACCAATCTTTTTGAGCTAGCTAACCGGCATCAGGGGCAGCCTGTGGTTGGCTCTTTCGTATGGTAAGTATCGCAATTCGAGATTGTTGTGGCTTCAAAAAGAACATGGTACGTCAAATCTTACTTTGATTATAGCTTCCTTTTACGCTAAGAACTATAATGGGCAACCCCGTTATAGGTGATAAAGAAGAGCTAGGAAGGCTGATAGTTGGGCCAAGCGAACGTCTAAGCCAAGCAAGTGTCGAAGGAAGGAACAACTATTAGAATTCGAATTATTTTCACGTTCCTCATATAGAACCAATAGCAGAGCCAGCGTTCCCTGCATTCTTGCAAGTATTACTGCAAAGTATTACGTTATGAAGCATGATTCTTCACCTGATTTTCACTTCATTCGCATAGGAGGATTGTTTTACCGCCCCCATCTTCATTACGCCTCTTAGCTTATCCAGGTCTCGATCATATAATCTAGGCAGCCAAAGGATGTTTCTTTACGGAATCTGTTGGTAAGATTCTATTTGAGGTGTCTGACCACTCCTTCAGCCTCCTGTATTCCGATCATGAAGTCTTATCTCATCCAAGCAGGGTCGTCCTACGATTACTGCTATATCGCGAATACCTATGATCAATCAACAGCTGGGATCGTTGAAGGATTCTATGAGAAGGACTATTGGTAGAATCTAATGTTATGAAGCTCAGAGCCTGATGAAATGTGAATGTACATAAAGGAGAGCTGGTTTTCCCCTCTACTGCCTTTTTATTCCAGTTAATTAACATTGCCTGCTTTCTACCAGGGACGTTATTTTTCATTATCTGCCTTCATTATCTTTTGCGATGAGACTCTTCTCAAGTCGCTCTCCCCTCCGTGGGGATATCATTCCATTCTACTTTTTCTTCGGCCTGGTACCATTTATACCCCTGGTTACTGCTGTATTTGACGCAGCAACTTTCTTCGCATACATCGACCAAAGCTGCAGAGATGCCCCGACACCGCCAGCTACAGAAGGGTCCATTAAGGCCGAGTTAAGCCCTGCGGGCGAGGAGATGAACCTTTTGGTAAGGGCAGCCTTATCAAACGGCTTCGACTTTGACCTTAACGACCGTGATGGTGGACGAGCTGGCAGAGCTTTCAATGCTTTTTGGGGGCAGCTTCCCGGTACGCCGTCAGTATGGGATGCGGCAAACACGCAGCCAGTCAAAGATCAATTCGCACAGCTCGGCGACAACATGCAGGCGAACACTTACGGGATCTACTGTGACGCAAGCGCCTTTGAGTGGATTACAACTTGGCCTGCAGATGTCCCAGGTGGAGATGATTGGGGAAACCCAGGTGATCCGATACCAGAAGATGAGGGTGGAGGTATATGGTATATTAGAGACACAGCACGACGATCGCCGCATGAAGACGCCGCCTATTTTATAGGACCAATTCAGGATTCTACCGGCAAATATACGCCTGGCCCTGATATTTGTACAAGCAAAGACCCCGCTACAGGCGATATTACGCTTCTTGGTGGTGGGAGTTTGACCGAAGACTGGTTTATCATCTTGTGCCCTCCAGCCTTTTCATATCCAATTGGAGACCAGCTGGCAAGCTACGGATCAAGAGGTGCACTGCAAACTGGTGAAGACCTTGATTACTTTTCTTCGCTGGGGGCCACGATGCTTCACGAGTTCTCACATGCCATTCTAGCAACTGAAGATCACGCATATCGTGCCCAGTGTCTCGACCTGGCACCTACATATGGTGCTGAAGCTGCTCGCCAAAATGCCGACTCATTTAAGAACTTTGCGCTAGTCAGCTTTCTAAACAACAACGAGTGGTATCATGGGCTAGCATCGTCGCCTCTTGAAGCAGTCGTGCCTTCTACACCTGGAGTCGCTGGCCGAGACATACCTCGACCCCGGGATAGCCTCATTTCTCACAAAGACAGCCCCGTCTCCCCCAAAGATAGCCGAGTTGTCCCGATAGCGGGTCGTCGTTCTTCGCGCCAAAATAGCTGGCCGAATCGGCGCCAGGGTGCTGTTCAACCCAAATTAAATGCGACTGCTACACAGAGCTTTGCAAATACGAGTGCCTCTAGCTCCACTCTCTTGACATTAAGGAGCTCAAGCAGCTCGGTTTCTATCTCGATAACGTCAAATTCCAGTATTCTATCAAGTTCAAGATCTAGCACTGTGCGACGGACCGGTCCTAGTTCCTCCGACACAGGATCTCGACCTACAGGTTCCCAAACAAGTTATACATCTTCTAGCATAGTTTCTCCACGTTCGTCTTCGTCTTCGTCTTCGCCCTCCAGCTCGCTCTCGCTTTCCCTCTCGAATCCGATTTCTCTTCCAGGCACGACATCTCTCTCGACTTCATCCGATGCCAACGGTGGTTCTTTTACCTGGAGTGGTTCTTGGACAGATACGGAGACTCCAACACCAGCGTCCCTTAGTTGGTTCGATATTCCGACAGGTACTGTTGCTCCATCTCAGCAAACATCTGATGCGGTTCTTCTCGGCGGTCTTTTCTTTGCACTCAAAGCCAATAGGCTTCGGTTCACAGATCCAAAGTTAAAGTCACAATACATTGACGATGTCAATAAGGTCAAGGATCAAACTATAGCATTATTCAATAAACTGGACATTAAACCTCCAGAAGCGGAATGTTCTACGACCAAGAAAAGAAGGCGTGCTAATCGCATGTCTGAAAAGCAATTAAGGGCCTTTCTTGAGGAAAGAGCCTTACTTCACGATAGGAGCATTTTCTCAGGTGTTACCAATGCGATCAAAGATGCGGTCAACGATATTTCCAAGCTAATCAGCTGTGCTGTGAACGTTGTGAACAACTTGGTTGATTCTGTTAACAAAAGTACACCCGATATCAACCTGATCGAAAATTTGACAGATAGTCTGGCTGCCGTTGGTGAAGCTATGGACGAAGACCCTGATGATGATCCAACCAAGACAAAGCCAACTGAAACGAAACTGACTTCGACGACACATCTAACGCAGACATCAACTGCTTCTAGAACATCCATCACATCAGCAGCCACAACGACCTCTTCCGTATCGAGATCTTCCAGCTCCAGCTCGTCGAGACCTTCCTACAAAAGGAAAACACTCCAAGGTCCTGACGCAGAAAATACTGCCTCGGAGTTTCTCGATGCCTCAGATATGTCTAAGCTAAGCAGCAGTCTCGCGACTGAGATACTTGCTTCTACTACTTTGAGCAAGTCGGCTTTGACGTCTGTAAGCAAATCCGCTTCGACCTCCGCAATCACCGCATCCTCGACTTCGAAGATTCTCAGCACAGTGACCAGCCGACCTCTGCCATCATCATCATCATCAAGCTCGTTGAGTTCATCCGTCAGTCTACCACCACCCACAAAAACCTCAGTCTCAACCAGCTCCCTTATTGCCGTACGCTCCACCACAACCCAAGCCCCGCCCTCAACCACAACCAAAGCCCGCCCCTCTCCCACCACAGAGATCCACATCTGGCTAAGCTACTCCGTCGCCAGCGACCCCTCTCTAACCTGGGAAATGTTATTCTCCAAAGTCGATGGGACGGTCAACCCCTGCACCGACGAGGAAACTACCTTCAACGACAGCAGCCTGCCGGATTCCATGCAGTTTTCCCCGCAGCTGTATCCCACTGGTGACTTCGACGTGCCGAAGGGCAAGGGCGCTGATGGTTGCACATTCCATGGGGATGGAAAAGGCCCGGGGAGTGTTACGTGTGGGGGCGTTTCGAGTGACTGCGAAGATGATCCGATTCTTAAGCAACCTAATGGCGGTGTGGATGAGTGTACGGAGGAGACGACGCAGTATGCTGTTCTTATTTGCAACGTCCCTATTCCTCCTTGAATGCTTGGGTAGAAGACTACTAGGTCTCATAGAGACAGGGGTGGGCTTTTGCAAATTTACCTCGACTAAGACTATATCTTTCACTTTCTAGATTCTAAATAACTAGAACCGCACTCTCCTCTAGAAGGCATTCAGATTTATATGTTTATACCTATAAAGAAACTTAAGGAAGCATTCCACTTTTAGAATCATATTGCACTCTCATACGTCTCTTCTTACGTTGGTACTCCCCTGCGTCGTTACATAAGTGCTCCTCTGACTAGCATATGGATCTCCCGAATCTTTCGTTTGACCTTCTGTTAGTGCTGCCAACTTGTCCGTCAACTCGTCTGCTCCGTTCTAATAGTAGTCGCAAAATCCACTTAACCGATTTCTTAAGGCTTAGCCTCAGCTCTGCCGTTATCTCTAATAACTTCGACTTCGACCTGCGTTTAGTCTCTCTTAAGCGCTGTTTTCAACAACGAATTGATAAGCTTATCTGGGGTAAGGTCTACAGTGCCATGCAACAAGTCTGAGCACCCCTCCTGTTCAGGCTAAAGCTATATTATCACACCTCCCCTTTTGTGACGAGCTTACAACACGATATCACGTGGATTGAGGATGTCGGACGGCGTCGGATATGATCATATGACGCTTTTATACTATTGGCTATCCTTATTCACAGATGGCCTCTAGGCACCTTATTACCATATTAATAGTAGCTGACAAGGATAATACTGTGATTAGGAAGGTGTAGGCGCCGGCGGATATGCAGCCGTTGTTGGGCCATTATAAGGTGCTTGGGAAGCGAGTTGCGGCATCTATTTCAGGGAGCACGTTGATTGAGTTTGCCGATTCAGGACATGCGCTGCAGATTCAGGATCCGGCGGTTTTCCATCACAAACTGTTTGGGTAGTTGAGCTAGGACTTGGATTACAAGGTCCAATAGTGAGAAGGAGAAAGAGCTCGTACCTAGTAACTAGTCTAGAAGCTTGTGGATTCAATAGTATCAGTTCGAGTGACTTTAGAGTCCATTTTGAAGTGCTTTGTTCTTTGTCCTCAATCAAAAAGCATCTCCGCAAAGCGACTCTTGGCGGCTTCCGGGTCCCAGTCCACTATCTTCCGCTCTTCCCTGGTCTTCATCTTTCGCTCAACAAAAGGTTCCATCGCGTTTCTCTCATCCTCACTCAAAAGATCAATCCTCGCCTTCCAGTAGTGGTTCCTCGGGAGTCCCTGCTCACGTGGGCCAAAGAACCTCTCATCCAGATACTTCCAGAATATAGTCTCGAATGCCCAGCTCTTCCGCGCAACATATGTCAGCCAGAATCTGCCCGTATCCCAACTCTCTCGCATATACGTAGACAATGGAACACCGGCAATTCCGCCCTTCAACTCTGTGTCTTCTTCGGCTTTCTTCATGGCTGAAATCCAGGTTTCCAGGCGCGGCTCATACAGTCTGACCCAGTCGTCAAGACCGGCTTCCCATTGTTCGGGTGTGTCCAGAAGCAGCCACCACGGAGGGTCCAGGGAGAATTGACTCGGAGCAGCATATGTAAATTCCCAGTCAATGATTGCAGTAATTGTGTCCGACGCAGTAAGGAGAATGTTTCCTGGGCGAAGGTCATCGCAGTAAAGCCGGAATGAATCGGAATTCGAAGGCATTGAGGACAACTTCATGCTCTTGGTCTTTGACTGAGCCGACCAGTTGTCCTCTTTGAAACCAAATTTGGAGAGCTTTCCGTCCCTGGCGAGTCTGCGGAAGAGTTGTCGAGCGACGTACTTGTTTCTGCATTCCTGTTCCGTTCTAACGAGATCATTTTGCTGGAAGACGAGCTGAGCAATATGCATCTCTGCAAGCCATACATAGTATTCATCAGCTGTTTGATAGGTCTTCAATTGCGGTGGGAGAATTACGCCTGGAATATTTGCAAGCTGAAGCATATCGTTCATGTTCTTCGTAACAGGCCTTGCTGCGATTGAGAAGGTACCCGGGTTAACCTCGACCAGTGATCCGATTCGAGGGAATGTGTGTTGCGAAAGTTCGAGCAAGCATGCCGCTACATGCTGATAGTGGTTTTGAAGGACTTCCTCGGAAATATAGGGGTTCAATGTGAACGGGTTGGAGACATCCTCGTTTGTAGCATTTTGAGCTGTAGCCATGCACTGGGGGTGCTCGATATATTCCATAATGATAAATGATCCCAATTTCGGGTCCTCACCATGGAAGAAAGTCCGAGCGACCGGGATCTTGGTGTGCTTCTCGAGGTACATCATCGTCGCAGCCTCGATAGAGGTTTTCTCAACAGGAAATTGGTCGTAACATGGAATAGGTCGTCGAACCAAGACCTCAGAATCAAGTCCCTCAACTTTGAGTCTGTATATGATATTATAGCCTCCGATACTCATGTGGCTAACCCATTTCGCGGTACTTCTAAACTTCGCTGTCCCGAAGTCCTCAACAGCGTGTAGTGTAGATCGTTGGCGAAGCTTCGGCTGCACTATCTCCCATTCTTCGTCTCTCTTGTCCCACACGAGGTTATCGAAGTCGTCCGGGCCTTCAATCATGATCCCGACTAAGTGACGTTGAAAATGGCGGTGGACAGTGACGGCATGTGATCTTCGCTCGATGAATTGACGATAAAGGGAGTTTAAGAGAGAATAGTTCTATCGAATGATTGGATTGACGGATCGAAGGCGGATAGTAACTGATGAAATGTACTTCGACAAAGGGATGAGCTATTTCAGTCTGTTGGTGTTTCTATAAAGCAAATGTCGAGGAATACAACCTGTAAGAGATTGTGAAAAGTACAGCATACAGGTATTCAGGCTCTTCCCCGTCGAAAAGTGGGTGTAGTAAAGTCAGGAATGCGGAGTACTGGTTGGAGAGGAAAGTTTGGACATCTACTCTACTTTTGAAGCCGGTGTTAGGATTTAGTGCTTATAAATATGCATTAGCTTTATTATAATATATTATATATAAATCCGGCTCGCTATATGTTACTCAGCCACTATTCTTCAGCCTGGTCATGTGTGTGGCGTAGTAAGTTCGTTCTTATATAAAGTCTCCGGCTACAGTAAGGCAGCAGCATCTAATCACCACCCTCACTTCCCTCAACGCCTACCTAATGTCCGTGGGCTTCGGTTTCTCAGCTGGCGACTTCATCGCCGCCTTGCAACTTGTCGGTACCGTGATCGATGCGTTGCGCGACAGCGGGGACTCTTCTGCCGAATACCGCTCCCTTATCGGACAATTAGATACACTTGAAAGTGCGCTATTAGGCGTGAAAAGGTTGGAACTCGATGATAGTCAGCATATAGAAGTGATTGCATTGCGCCAGGCGGCAGCGCAGTGTCAGGACGATCGATGCATTTTGGGAGAAAATCAAGAAATACCAGCCGAGCCTGCGGAGCGGGGGGACTGGGAGTTCGGGTCAAGGATGGATGGAGAAAAGTTAAATGGTCAGTGTGTAAAAAGGAGGATATTGTGAAATTTAGAGCCGAGTTGATGGCTCATACGGAGGGGATTGAAATGATATTGACAACGGTGCGGATGTGAGTGTATTTCGGGGTGTTGGATCACGATATACTTACTGATTGGCATAGGGCTGCGACGAGAGTTGACGCGAAGAAAAACCAGGATCATCATAAAACTTTAGCTGGGAAGATGCAGGACTCCTATTTCGGATGTATGCAGAAGATGACTCTGATCTTGGAGACAGTCTCAACGTTAGTTCTATATTTTCTCTTTCTACATCTCTACTGATTTTTGGCAAGCGGTATTCGGCAGGGAAAGCAGCTACTGGAAATGACGGCAAAAGTTATGTAAGTTCAACCTTGGATCCAGAAAGAGGAGGAGCTGATAAGCTAGTCAAACAAATGTTCAAATCTTCCAAATAGTACTAAATCTCCAGAATATTATTATACAAATTCCTGGCCAAATCAAGTGTCAACAACCAGTCGCCTTTATCGATGCACTTGGTCAACATACTCCATTCCACTTGGAATTTATCACCTCTGCCGAAGCCCTAACATTTGTCCTTCAATGTAATGTCCGAGACATTGGTTCAGGAGCAACTAAGATCGCAAATGGAGAATTCGCTATCCAAGACTTAACTACTAAGAGGGGTGTGGATCTTCAATTGCCATGGAAAGCATGTTTTCATCCTGGGCAGCAAGTGGCTATGAGCATGATATTCAATTCAGAGGCAATGAATATGTGTTGCCCAAAGTGCCGAGATAACAATGGAGATATTGTTTCAGAGGATAAGGATATTGAGTGTCGGAAGTGCCAGACGGTGTATTGGCGATTAATCTCGTGGAATTCTTCACAGCCGCTGCCGAGCTCCTCGATGATGACAGCAGAGACCACTTTACCTATGGAGAATCAAACTCCTGAAAACGTATCCTCGATGGACACGAAGCGCAAATTGCCTTATGATGAAGATTATGAGATGGCTCTTTTCCGCAGAGTCCGGATAAAAACTTTGATCGAACTTCCAGCACCTCCAGCGCCTTTTGATTCCCAAAATCAAAGTAACATCCAACAAACCTCGAGCTATTGGAGTGTCCCGGAACAAGTGGACTCTCCCGTGTTGCTACGACTCTTTCCCGCGTTACTACGACGCTTTGGCACTGATTGGCATGGGACATCAAATATTATGACAACAAGGACGCCTTTGATAGTATATACACCACCGTTTTTAAGCAATGGCTTACAATACCGTCTGATAGCAATAAGATTCGACGTGTAGCTAACATCTAGATGCAGGTTAAGAATTACTACACGTGGCAGGTAGACTCAGGGAAGATGAGTAAGTAGGAAGAACTAGCAAGAGAAGCTGACGAGAAAAGAGAGCGAGGAGAGTCTACTGGTCCCCTACCTTCTTTAACCATTAGTACTAAGAGACGTTAGGGACCCCCAGGACTATTGTCAAGATCAGAATCTGTTATGGAGGGCGTATAGGACTTGAATAATAGCTAGGCCATAGCTATGCAGCAAGCTTTGCTTTCTTAGCTTTAGCTAGTTAGTTAGTTAGCTGCTCCCTTGGCCTTAACTGATGACTGACTGACTGACTTATTAGCCTGTCTAGCCCAGCCAGGGGTGGAGGGTTCTTGAGTGCAGGTGGCTGGGAAGTTTGTTGTGCTTGAAGCCGACACACTGCATATTGATGGGTGATGAGAGGTCTGGTTGATCGTTCGGTTGGAGGAGAGCGAGGCTGTAGATCATTTCTCGGAGTCCGGGGGGCAGACGGCGGAGTGGGTTCCGGGGTCTGGGGTCGACGATGAAAGCCATCTGAGTGTATTAGCTTGAATAAATGATCTAGAGTATAGGGCTTGACCGACCTTGAGGAATTCATCTAACTATGAATACATATTTGACGTTGACGAGAAAGTTGCTGCTCGGATCCGAGTACTTTCGAAGAAATAAGAAGCTCGGATTAAAGTGTCCGCGTCTGTAGCGTTAGCGTGGAGTTATTACTATAAATATGATTTAATAATGGAGGATAACAAGTGAAATAACTACTTGAGCCATCCGGACATGAACCTGGAGGAAAAGCAAGCTAAGCCTAATGCGGTTATAGGTCGCAGAGTTACGGCTTCCCTTTACCAAATTGTGGCCGTGGAAAGAATGCACAATGACAGCCTTGAGCAGCATCTAACAGGAGACAGAAGATATGGGTCGAGAACCAAGACAAGGCGCCTACGGGGATCCAACCTAAATCTCAACCCCCTCAACACCAAACACTCCACCACCCTCATTTCTAACCCACCCCCCAAGAACCCCTCTAACATCCCCCTTGACCTGATTTCTCCCATCCAGCAACCCAGCTTCCTTAAAATCCCCATACTTCTTCATTCTCAAACACCTCTCAACATCCGGCATACCAGCCACAACCGCAACCTCAAGCGCAAGCTTCCACATCCTCCTCTTACAAACCTTACTCGCACCCCTTACATCAAACTGTTTCCTTCCTTGCAGCGTGCCGCCTATCAACGTCTCGGTACTGTTTGGCATCCATGATGAGGCTATGTTGCTAGGTACGACATCTTTCGCGCTGCGTCGGGAGAAAGCGAATTCTTTTTCTGTCGAAAGAATGCGAAAGTGCTTGAAGGAGTAGCCGCCTTCCCACTGGTTCCCGACAAGGGGTTCGAGGCGTCCGGATGGGGAGAAGGCGCGTGTGACGGCGGTAGTGGAGAGCTGTGAGGAGGGGAGCACGAGCGTGTGAATGTAGATGTTTGCGGGGGATATGAGGAGTGAGGCTATGGAGCTGAGGAGGGAGGTAGATTGTTTTAGGGAGAGTTTGTCGGTGCAGGATTTGGACAGGGTTGGGGGCGCATCTGGACGGGAGGGTTTGCGGCGGACTATGCCGAGAGCTGAGAAGTAGGAGCGGCCGTGAAGAATTGGCTCTTGCCCTGAATCGGCGATGTGTGGTGTTTCGGGGGACAGGGTGTCTATGGATTGAGGCAGTGACCACGGAGTAGCATCGTCTTGGGAAGCCATTGTGAGCTCCATGCTCGCATCTCCGCCTGGATAAAGTCAGAAAGGCCTTTTTTCCCCACCAATTCTAGAGCTTTATGACATACATGGAGCCTCCGAGCAATACATGTGAAGATTTATGCCATCTTTTAGAGCAAATGGTTGAAATTGAGAATCCGTTCTCTCAAACTCGTCTCTTACACGGACATACTCTGAAGATTTCTTCTTCGAAAGCGCAAGAGAATTGCATTCTTCTAGTAAGAATCGATTGAACGAGCGAATGGCAAGAACCTCAGCATGCCAATCATGCAAAACCACGCCTTGCGCCTGAGGGACGCTCTTCTGGGGAAGACATTTCATGCCAGTCCTACCACGAATCAGCAAGCTAGCTACATATTGAGAATGCAATGGTCTTATACGCAGCAGCTAGACAGGTGAATCCATTTGTTCCTGTAGAAAAGAGTCAATATTAGAATCCTTTGCGAAGATTTTATAGACGCTACCTTGAGCAACGATCCCACTTAATGGCACCCACTCCCTTACACCATTCGGCCTTGCTAGAGGTTTCCTTTTCTTTTCCCAGCTGTCGAACTGCTTCAAAACGGCATCCGCAATGTCATCCCCAGAAATCTCCATCACATGATGTTCTTGCTATTATTCAACCAAAAGAGGAAAGAAAGTAAAAGTGAAAGACGGGATGTGGTGTGGCTGTCATTCATGCCTAAGGCATAAATAATTTACCTAATGAGCCCCACAAGTTTCTTTACATAATATCCTAAATCTAAGTATAGTTTTACTACTTTTGCAAGCAGTTAATATAATTCTCAATCCTTTACACAGCATTTAAGAAATAACAGAAACTTTTGATCAATATCAAGGCAAAGCAAAATATCCAACCGATGGGAAAGGAAATTTCTAAGTTGTAGTTAGAAATACTAAGTGTGGACTGCTGCTGAAAATACTTGATCTTAACTTAAAACCAAAGAACATACGTATAAAACAGCATCTGCAATGTTATTACCAGAAAACTCTATTACATGATGTTGGTGTTATCAAGAAAGGAACAAAGCACGGGATGTGGGGTGGGGTGGATTTCGATCGGCGGGACGGGACGTCTATGGAACGGAGTTATAATAGATGCGCTAAAATAATTCCAACACTGAAGGCCATAAGCAATAAGAGGAAGATTTCTCCGAAAGCCATAATAGAATAGGGATGCTCAGTTTACGACATTAAAATTGACAGAGTTGTTTACGGAAGTATTCTACATGAGAAATCCGCTGTGGCTACCTAGATATCTACACATCTACCCTAATTGTACGACACATTTGGTGCGGTTTCTCTGGCCTGTACAGAGTGCTTGATTTGATAAAATGTCATCCTCCTATCTCCTGATGCTCTGAAAACGGGATCGCTCTTCTACATCATCAATAAAGGTCTGTTAACCCAATCCTACCAATCGACCAGATACACTATCCTCATGCAAGTTTCCTAGGAACGATCCATGTAGGATTCAGCAAGGATGTGTATGAAACAGATAGTCTCGTCCTTCTTCCGCAAATCCTGAATAATATACCCCGAGGTATAGCGTCTAGAGGAAATATGAACTTATTGAAGCCTTCATAGGATCATATACTATTACGGAGGTCGCTCCTAACGTTTGACTCTATACTTGAAAAATAATTTTATTTCTGGATCACGTCCTGGAATCTTATCCTACTTATACCTTATTGCACAGGTAAAATGACGGGCTCTCTAGGTAAGATATCTAATGCAGTTTTTTATGTGAATCCTTTCTCGGAGAAATGATGACAATAGAAGAATTCTTGAACTATCTCCGCCTCGAACGTCAACAAGAAAGAGCTGACTGGCTATAATGTCCAGTCAGGATTGAGCAAACAGTAAACTCGGCTTCGAAACATTGAGGGGCATTTCCAAATGAATACTGATTGGTTCCACGGCATGCCCGAAAACTAGATACACGGTATCTCAAAAGGGGGGCATCATGAGTAGGCAATGCAGATGTTAGCGCATCCGCGTTTAATATGTGTATCTTTCCGTAGGGCTGGAAGGGATCTGGACCATGCTTTAGCGCCAAAGTGGCGTCGCCCAACAAGCTGGGAACCCTTTGAGAATTCACGAGGCATGAGTACACAGTACAAGCCAAAGAAACATCTCTGATAGCAGCATCATCAAGCAAAGCTATCGGCCTACCTTATCAACTTGCGCCACGTATCAAAAACTGGAGCCGCACGCATGGGGGTGCTACAGACTGCCAGGATTCCAACTCAGGCTTGGGGATTTTACATCTGCTTTATTCTTGGTCATAACAGCCACCGGCAAAAATAGAGCTTCTAGCCCTCCTATCTTATAATCGAGAATGGAAGTAGTGGAAGATTTTCATACCAGCTATTTTTACTCCTAGGTAAGGGCTGACGATGGTCTTGTTCTTAGCTCACCTTACCACACACCAAGAAGGGCAACCCTAAAGGTGATGCTGCGCAACTGTGGGATCTGAATTGAGTTTATTATTGTCTGCTTTTATCCTTTAAGACTCGACCAATTATCCGTCCCTTTTCCGCCTTTTTAACCTCACACCCCGCTTCTTACAACGCGCTGGTAGCCTCAAGTGTTTCAATGTCCTTGTAGTGCGGGGCAGATAATTATAATTTTCCTTGAAATATTTGATACGGCGTATTATAGTGGCTGAGTCACAATCCTGCGGCTGAGAATAGTGTTAGCACACCTATTTTAAGGGATTCTACAGGGGGCAGCCTCCCGAAGAGTAAGCACGAACCGCTTGTCGGTAAAATGGGAAGGCATGGCTTGGTTCATTTTCATGATAGCTGCAATACCAGGTACATTATTATAGGTCTTTAATGTTAATAGTGTAGTGGGGGCTTCTAGAGAGTAGGTGGCTAAGCTGATATGTACATGGCGTTCCTGTGTATGTACTGTCCAGCTTGGGTTTTTCCTCCTTTCACATCTCCAATTCATTTGGTATTCCATCATGTATTCTATTGGAGATATGTTTTCTCCACTTGATACAGTCCGCTTTGAAGATGGGTCTAGTCAACATGTACCCTCAGTATATAGCCAAACTTTTCCAAGGACAAGTTTCTCAATGCTCAAAAGCTCTAGTTCGTTTTCAGAAGTTTTTGGCAACACCGAATCGGTCGTGTCAACATCATACTCCAACTCTATGTCCGAAATTAAGAAAGAAATTGTGGTCAAAGATGCAGAGTTGTTGAGAAGAGGCTGGCGGTTCTATGGCACATTCGCCTGTTTGGCATTACTCAATCTGATCTGTGCTATCGATGCCACTATTCTCGCCGTTGCCTTACCTGTAAGATCGACTGTGCAGTTCATGGTATCTTGCTAATATCTTTCAAGACAGTTGCCACAGATCTCAAAGGAACCACCGCCATCCAAGCTTTCTGGTGCGGGACAGCGTTTCTGTTAACCTCAACCGTCTTCCAACCCTCTTGGGCCCAATTCTCAAATAGCATAGGAAGAAAGTCAGTCCTGCTGACTGCATTACTTCTATTTACTATTGGGACAATCATCGCTTCAGTTGCCAAGAGTATTTCCGCCTTGCTTGTTGGCAGATGCGTGCAAGGAGTCGGAGGAGGCGGGCTCGTTGGGTTGACATATGTTATCGTATCTGACATGGTCACTCTCCGAGAGAGAGGCAAATGGTTCTCGGTGATATCTTTGCAATGGGCTATTGGGAGTGTGCTCGGTCCTGTCATTGGCGGTAGTTTTGCCGAGCACACAACTTGGAGATGGATATTTTGGTTGAATATCCCATTCTGTGTCTTTGCAGCCATCGGTATCCCTATCTGCCTTCGACTCACTCCGAGAGAGGGGTCCGTTTGGGAGAGGTTGAAGCATTTCGACTGGCTTGGCTCTTTCATCTTCGTTGCTGCCACAACAAGCTTCCTTATTCCACTCACTTGGGTCAGTTTATATGAGTCGAGGTTTGGAAGCAACGTACTGACTGCGAATACAGGGCGGTGTCATGTACGAATGGCTGAGCTGGAGGACCCTTGTACCTCTCATTCTCGGCATCTTTGGCTTGATCGGTTTCGTAGTCTATTCCGTCTACTTGTCAACAGAACCCCTTATTCGCCGAAGTCTGTTCAACACCTCAACTTCGATCGTTGCATATTCCGGAACCCTTATTCACGGTATAGTAGTTTGGAGTTTGCTGTACTATATGCCACTTTATTTTGAAGTGGCTAAGAACTACTCTCCGGTAACTTCTGGCGTCGCCATCTTCCCTTTTACATTCACTATCGCTCCAGCTGCAGTCATGGTGGGTATCATAATAACCAAGAGCGGACGATATAGGCCATCAATTGTAAGTGCCAACCTGGGAATCTTTGCATTCGGGTGCTAACATACCTGGAAGTGGATAGGCTGGTTCCTCACAACTTTCGGCATGGGGTTACTGATCTACCTCCAACCATCCACGAATATGCCGTCATGGATCTTCCTTTCCTTGGTCGGTGGTTTTGGTACAGGAATGCTATTCTCCGCACAAGGCTTCGCAGCCCAAGCATCATCCTCCAATGCTGACCTACCATTTGCCGGTGCAATGTATTCGTTCTTCCGAGCATTCGGCCAGACCTTAGGAGTCGCCATCTCTGGTGTGATTTTCCAAAACACATTTAAGCAAAATATCAAAGCGACTGTGTATGCCAGTTTTGCTGAAGAATGGTCTCGGGAAGCGAGCAGTTTCGTGCAAGTCGTGAAGGCATGGCCTCATGAAGGGGAGAAGGGCATCATGCGAGAAGTGGTGATTAAGGCATATGTTGATAGCTTGAGAATGATATGGGTGGTAATATGTGTGCTGGCTGGAACTGCATTTCTATGTTCTCTGATTTGGGTCAAGGAGATCAGCTTGGAGAGAGACTTGGAGACTGATCAGGCCTTCATTCATCATCGGAAGACTGCCTCGACTGACGAGGAGAGCAACTCTAAGTCGTGACGAGGTTTTCACATTTTGTTGTATATATGTAGCGTACATTAGCGAATTTAGCTTTAGCCACGAGTATTTGAATTATTATCAACGTCAGTAACAAATATATAAATTACAGGTTTTCACTAGCATTAGACTATCTACCTAATTATGTCTATATTCTGAGAAGTCCCATGGCACGAAGGACGACAATAGTAACAAGTCTCGAAGTAGGTGTTTAGGAAGCTTTGGATTTCCAATGTCATATTCAGCAGCGTTGAGCAGCGTGACGAGACTAGCCAGCCGTGCTTTTTAACTTTGTTATGCCAGCTGTGATCCAATAGAGAAGAGGCGTACTCTACACGTCTCAGATGTTGTCATTACCTGATCTATAACTTCAAAGTCAAGGTATATTGGTGTCTTAATTTGGAACAATAGCGTGGGGGTCTTGTCCTTTTGCTCTGGAAGCATACAGATAGTACTATTTGCATTGGCTTATACAGGTACGATTCTACCTTCTGATGTCTCGGTACCCATGATACATTCTAGACCCCCGAAGCCAACATCTGTGGATCTTGTAGCCGACAAAAAGAGCTCTTCCTAAACATGCTAGATCCACGAGCAACGATCAAGACTCTTATTTCAATGGGACTTCAATCTTATATTTGCTGGGGAATACATGCCTTTACATCTCAATGTATGTGAATCTGAAAAAACCCATGCCTGGGATGTGGATTCACCCAAGACCTCAAGACATGTACTTGGACAGGGAAAAAGGCAACCACAACTGCTTCAACATCTTCAACATCCTTCTTTCCTCACAGCAATAAGAAACAGCATAACTTTCGGCAACCAAACAGAGGTATGGTCACCTCATCAACGAAGGCCCACAAAATGTGCTGTCCTAGAACCAAGCTCAGATAATCCACGCTGGTAGGCAAGCTGGCACTGCGAGGAAACCTTCAACCTCTATACACAGCATTCGATCCGAATCCGAACTTGAAAGAAGTCACTTTTGAGCCCCCAGTCGATTCCCCGATCTAATGCACAACAGAGGATATATCCAACGAGAACACGCCAAGGAAAGTGCAGCAATTTCAAGAGAACCCAACAAAACAGTAAGATCGCAGAGAGATTATTCAACAATCGAATTCCTCCGAATATTTATATTAGATATTCTGCGTGTACAGAGAAGTCTTACATGACTTAGGTGATGGTTCTGGAAGATCTAGAAAGATGCTAGAGTCCTTTTCACAACAGTGGCAGAGGCGGAATGACAAGCACAGCAGCCAAAATCAGTAAGACTGTCCATTTGCAAATTTCGTTCCTGATATATAAATATTAATATTAAAAATTCACTGATAACTGGAAAGGTACACGTAACAGGCCCGGTGCAGCACGAGGTTGCGCGTTACAGCTACAGCGACAACAGTCGCCAAATTCCAGCCGCACGACAATCCCTACCGCAAACAGATCACAACCACAACCTTCACTACCACTTACACACCCATCCGCAAACCTTCACTCACCCCCAACTACTGGAATACGCGTACCGACCAGACGAAGGTCTTCGATCCCCTTACTTTCCACCACAGAGTTTCCCTAGATCTCTGTACCAGCCGCCAACGACGCGTCCCCTCCCCGTCCCTCAGGTACCTCCCCCACCTGCTCTTACTCCTCACAATGGAGCACCATATTCGACCGCTGTAGCTCTTCGCAACCTTGTTCTAGCAGGGGCAATTGATAGTATACGTCCAGCTGCTTCAAATAGTTCCGCAATTTCTCGCACAGTCAAAGGGGGGGTCAATTCAAACGAAGTACCAATTATCCAGCCACTGGATATAACCAAACGCCGCCCGTTTGACATTTCGAAATTCAAAACTGCAGAGGACCTTGCGGATGCTATTCTTCTTGCCGCAGGCATCCATCCCACGTTGGGCGGTCTAAACCATCACCTCCTTTGGGTGCTCGACGATTTTGGTCCTGAAGTAAATGCGCAATCCGACCTTTCGACGTTTTCGCTGGGACCTGGTTGGCTTTGATGAGCATCCAGGAGGGGGTTGTAATAGGCCAAAGACATACACGCCGCCAGCTAGGAATATGATGCCGCACACACAAGCTCGTGAACATGGCGATGAGGGGATACCAGTTGGCGGGCAAGGGCTCGCGAGGAGACCGTTTGACCCAACTCCTCGTCAACCGAGCCTCCTTCGAAATACCAGTACGCTTACTTCAGGTTCCCGATTTTCGGTTGTACTAAACTCTCCATCTCAGATGCAGTCACCAAGCCAATCTCTATATCTGAATACCGCTCAAAATACAAATACGCTTGGGCCAGTCCAGCCGTCGGCGAACTTTACAAATTTCCCTCTGCAATCGAAGTCAAAATCGAAGCTCGAGGGGGGCTATAAAAACGAAAGACGGGTGCCAAGGAGTCCTGTCAGAGCACCCTCTACCCCACGGCTAGGGAGGCCACCAAAGAACGCCAGCAGCCCCCGAGTTGAAATAAGTAGCCCGGGCCCCAGCTCGAAGAAACGGTTTCGTCCTCGGAAAGAGGTTGATTATACTCTTCCTCCAAGACTAACTCCCAAAAAGCGTGGTCGGCCCTTCAGTACTCCCGATGCAGCTGCTAGAGCAGCAGCAAAAGCCGAGGGGCGACCGTATTCCAGTGAAGCTCCGAAAAAGCGCGGCCGGCAGCATAAGAAGTTTGAACATACCTTTATTCAGCAAGAACCGGAATACCTCCCATTCTTTTGTGAATGGAAAGACTGTCCTGCCGAACTCTTTAACCTCGAGACTCTTCGTAATCATATATTTTCTGTACACATGAGACAAAAAGGGGGCATACGCTGTCGGTGGGCGCGATGTAAAATTTGCCATGAAGAGAAAGATCAATCGCTTGGGCCGGCCACTGGCAATCGCCCGTCGTTCAATTCTAAGCGCGAGTTCAGAGAACACATGAACGCAACACATCTCGTTCCTCTTGCGTGGCACATGGGCGACGGGCCAAAGGAATCTTCATCAAGTAAGTCCAATACTTTGTAGGAAAATCGATTCTAACAAAGCTGCAGGTGGAGCACCGAACACCAAAAGGAATGATTTTTGGCTATTTGACGAGAGTGGAAAACAAGTCACCTCTTCAGTTGATAAGCAACCTACCGAGTCCGGGTACGCAAAACTAAATAACAAAAAGCGATTCGTAAAGAGACGAGACAGCGATGGAGAAGTCTACATTGTCCCTATCGGCTCTGAGGCATATGGAAAGGTCCAAGAATCGACATATTACGATGATGAAGATGTTCGGATGGACATGGCCGCTGGTAACAAGACGAAATCCCGCTTCTCTGTTGTTTTGAACTCCCATAGAGCTCAAGAAGCTCACTAAAAAGTCTTCGAACCCGACGAGTAAGCAATAGGATGAGGTGCGGCAGTACCAGATGTGGTCTGGGTTCAGAAATGGAGACCGACTAGCTACAAGGAGAGAGAGCGATGATCTTACTGCGCATCCTGGGCAGGACAATTTCGACCGCAAAACTGCGTGTTCGCATTGAGCAGTCAAAAGACACTTATCATGACGATAGATTTGAGGTCTGTATAACATGTAAACATAGTATTGCATATTGCATATCCTGGGCGTCTGGCGTTGACCAAATGCACGGCCGGTGGTCTTCAGATGAGGATGAAGGCGCATGATACCCCTTTATGCCTGGAGGGAACGGGAACGGGAAAGACTGAGAGCAGTTTCTTTGCCAAGAAGAATATCAATGGGATTCATCTCAAGCCCAATTTCCCATCGTTTTCATTCCAAGCCAATTGCCAATTTGGGCTATTTCTTCCATTGTGGTTGTTCTTAGATTTAACCCGTACGGAGTATGGTGAAGAGTGCGATGGTGGTCATGAATCTTGTCTCGTTGCCTCTAGGATAAACAAGCAAGCTAACATTGACTGCTAAGTGTCCTATATCTCGGAGACAAAAGTTCTTATTGCGATGGTAAATCCAGAACATACTATAAATGGACTGGGACGTAATAGATATCCAGGTGTTCCGCATTCATTATGGACGCTACCATCGTCCGCCTCTACCACTCCGAAGCAATCCTTATGCCAAACGGTCGCATTATGGTATTTAGGTGTGGGGTTGGTCTTCTTGCCGTAGATATGTCGTATTTCTCGAATCTTTGATACCGAATCATACATCGAAGATGGAAATAATATCATGTGTGAATTTTAGTCATCATCGAGCCTCTGTTACTTTTACTCGCAAATAGGTTTTGTATGCAAGTTGATCAATCGCAAATGCCTATAAGCTCGAGGTGATCGAGAGTGTTTTGTATCTATAATAGGCTTAGCGCATCCCGCTGGCCAGCACGCTCGGATATTTTTCTGGATACCTAGGCAGCCTCAGCTGGTTTCTTTCCTACCCATCGTCCCTCTTTACTAGCTAGCATTTAATCCCCTTAAATGGGTGCAGTGGCTCTTAGCTAGCGCACCCTCACTCATTGGCCCATCTGTCAGCTCGATCGAGAAGCGCTAGCTTAGAAGCTTAGAAGCTGTGTCTGCCCAATACAAAAGTCCCCCTCGCTTCCCTCGTTTTCTATGCTTGATGTGACTATTGTCGATATAACTACACGCTGGTCTTTGAATAGCTATGGATCCCATAAGTGCGGCTGGTATCGCCCTGAGCGTCGCTTCCTTAGCTAGCCAGGTCTTTATGGGATGTATTCAAGGTTGGGGGAGCCCCAATTACCCCGGTATTATTGCTCTCTAACAGCATGAAAAGGCATCCAATTTATCATTACTGCTAAAAACCTTCCCGAAGAGTCGAAATACCTCAATCTGAGATTGCGCATGGAGCAACAGCGGTTATTTGCTTGGAGTGAAACTTCAGGTTTAATGGATCACCAACAGGACAACGGCAGAAAAATCCAAGAATCCAACACTTTCATCATTCATCGGACTACTATTCTGGATCTTCTTGTCCAGATCCAGTGCCTTTTCAAAGAATTTGAGAAGGCGCAGACCAAAAATAAGCATCTCCAGATTGCTCCGGAGCCCGTCAACTCGGAGGATGAACTCATTTATGACCCTGCAAAAGACTCATCGAGCGCTCATGTGCCCTTATCAGAACCGCGGAGGAGGTTTATCATCAAAGCCATGAAGGAGCTCAAGTCCAAGGCAGAAGGAGTCGCAGGAGGGCTAAGTAATGGCCGAAGAAGACTTCTATGGGCCGCTTTTGACAAAGCCGCTTTTGAGAATCTGCTTCAGAGATTTTCAACACTCAACGACAACATGACAGACATCCTGGACTTTCGCTTGCAGACAGAAATCCATCGTACTACACAAGATACAAATCGTGGGGTTCTTCAACTCCACAAAGATCTTGCAAGTTTGCATCAGCTTGTCAAGGCACTTGACATCAAGATGCAAGCCCGCTCCTATCCCGTCCTCGAAATACCTCAATATGCACCAACAAATGACGCTGCTGGACTCCGTCTACTTGCCCAGCTCGCAAAATTTAAAGCCTTTAACGAGTCCCTGGATACGGAAGGACCGGCTCCCTGGGACGAGGCTACGGCCATGGTGCTTCAACTTGGTCAGCCCGATGCCGAGAAAGCCAAGACGAAGATTGAGCGCACAAGAATCCACTTGAACCCCAAAACATCTGCCACAGACCTAACTGCTGTCCGCTGTGAAGCCATCTTCGATAATGATATTGGTGAAAAGCAAAGAGTATGGATAGAGTGGAAAGAGTACGACTACCAAAAGCCAGGGGCTTCTTCACCACCGGCCCTCATTGTAGACCGCGTGGAGAAGCTTGCATCGCTGCTGCACCACAGTCCTAAGCCAGAGGCATTTCGCGTTCCTCACTGCCTAGGGTACTTCGACAATGGGCAGAGAGAATCATCAGAGCTTGATTCCGAAGGGGAAGAAGAGTCTCTAGATCCACGAATTGGGTTTGTTTTCGAGAAACCAAAAGATGAAGGTGTTGCTCCAGAGACGCCGCCTGTGTCGCTATTCAATTTGCTCTCATCTTCACCAAAACCTCGGATCACTGACCGGATTCGTCTGGCACATGCAGTTGCGAATTGTCTTTTGTACTTGCATAGCGTGAATTGGTTGCATAAGGGGTTGAGGTCGCATAATATTGTGTTCTTTCCGACGGCTTCGAAGGATAAGGAAAGAGGGGGCAATAAAGTGGACTACAGCAAGCCCTACCTCTCTGGTTTCGACTTCGCGCGTCCTGCTCGTGCAGATGAAATGACCGAGGTAAGAGAGTTGATATTTCGCTCGGGAAATCATGCTAAACCCCCTTTCATCTCCAGATACCTGGCGATGTCCCAGAATATAACATGTACCGACACCCCTCCACTCAAGGTCAAGGCTTTGGTCCTAGGGAAAGCTTTAGGAAATCTTTCGATATATACAGTCTAGGAGTAGTACTTGTAGAACTTGCGAGTTGGCAGACCATTGATAGAGTGCTTGGCCTAGAGGTGGGCAGGATGCGGACTGCTATGAAGATCAGAGACACGCTTCTTGAAGAAAGTAGGATACAAGAAGTAGGAAGCAATATGGGGGAGATGTATGAGAGGGCTACAAAAAAGTGTCTTGCGGGTGGCAGTGAGCTAGGAATTCTAGAGGGGGATGATGAGACGAGTGATGCTGTTGCAGCTAAGCTTTCAATGGCTTTTTATGAGGATGTTGTGAAAAGGCTCGGGGATGTTAAGGTCTAACGTTTTGGTATATAAAGCAAGTTTATGTTTGTCTCTCTGAAGCGTCATCACTCACTTTAGTAATCTCCTAACCGTTTGATAAATGGCAAGAGCCCCCGTCATTTAGACTCTTCTTTAGACCACATTACCTTGCCTTGCTTGCCCGAATCGACATTCAGCACTTGCCCAGTGATGTTCCCGCTCCAGTTTTCACTTGCTAGAAAGAGGATGCTCTTTGCAACGCTTTCAGGCGGAACAGGGCAGCGCAATCCGGTGCTTTATCCCATCAGCAAATACTTCCGCGCAACAGATACTTACTCGATCAACCTACGTCGCTTGAGCATCCACGTACAACTGCTCGGGATTTTCCCTGCATTCTTTCCGAAACTGCTCCGTATCTACCGGGCCAGGAGCCACAGCATTGACTCGCCCTCCCGGCCATATCCTACTCACATCCGCCATCAGGCTCTTGACGAGCCCTATTTGGACCGCACTCTTACCCGCCGCATAATCTGCATTACCTCTTTCCCCGAAATGTCCGCTCTCACTCCCAACTATTATCAACCCAACATTCCGCAGCTCTTCCTCCTCCCTCTTATCCGAGCTTGCATAATCTCTCAGCGCCCGTAGCCACGTTCGCGCCGTGAGGAACGTGCCCTCGACATTGATCCGGTGCGTATGCCGCCACTGATCAAGCTCCATATCGGCCAGACTCTCGTGGTGAGGCAGAACGGAGAGATCGAGAGAAGCGAGTGCTACGCAACACGCCACTGGTCCGAACCTCTCGGCAGCTATGGAAAACGCGTTTGTAAGATCCCATTCCGAGCTGATGTTGCAGGACAGGTGCTGGAAGTTTAGGGATTGCGGAGGGCTGTCCGGAACGCGCAGGTCGAGGCTGGTGACCTTTGCGCCGGCGGAGACGAGTGCCGTTACTGTGGATGAGCCTATGAAGCCTGATCCGCCGGTTATCAGGACGTGGCTGTTGGAGAGATTAAGGGAAAGGTCCATGGTGGTGGTGCTTGATTGTCAGTTTTGAATATCAAGCATTTTCTCCTGGAGAAGATAGAGAGGAGGCAGTGGGCCGTGGAGCTGAAGCCGAAGCCTTGCCATAACCCGCGCTATCCAAATAATAGCCAGCTATCTTTTACTAGAACGAACATCATGAAGGTGGCTGAGGTTGAGCTGAGTATTATCCTTGGCGTATTTATTAGCGGCCCAAGCCGAAGATTACAGTAATGATGCCCTGAGCCTGCTCGCCAGTATTAAGGTTGGGGCTAGCGTTGAAGTCCGATTGGCGAGGACAAATACCTATACGACGGTTTTGATTATGGGATACAGAGGGCTACAGTAGGTTTAGGAGTTGGTGTATCTTGGAGGTGTTGGCAGGAGAGCGTGACGGTAGGTGAGCATAGGTCATTGGCATATCTCCAGGGCATGTTCACCTCCATATAGTCTCTAATGCAGGCTTCATAGCAAGTATATATCCTTGTTCCTATTAGTATAAATGCATAACAGAATCGTCAATAGGCAGCAAAAGGTTCCAGTAATTCACAGTTTGATGCCAGTTTAATTTCAAGCGCAAGATAATTTGTCTAACCCTACATGTAACGGAACATGACTCTCTTCAAAGCCCCAACACAGTCAGAAAAAATCTATCTCTCAAAATTGTCAGTAAACAGCTGGATCTCTTCCAATAAATTTCTTCACCTACAAATAATTGAGTAGTATCAAGCTATCAATTCAGGACTCGGGATTCGGGTTCGCCTCCGGGTACCCCTTTATGAATTCCTCCGAACAAGAGTCCGGGAATGCAAGCTTCAGAAATTTATCCGCAGTTCCTCTGCTGATATTGTTGCGGATTGTCCAGTACCTTCCAGCCTTCTGCACATCGGTAAGGGTGTCGAGGTTGTGGTTCTTCTTTTGCACTCGTGATTGTGCTTCTGCTGGCTTTGAAGGGTCGACAATGGCAATGGGAATGGCAACAGTTTTGCGGTCTGCATATGTGGCTCCCATTCCTTTCTGCTCTGACATTGAGGCAGAAGTGAAGTTTGGCTCTGATGTTTGAACATTTGGCTTGCTCCAGTGGATATGCTTCTTCTTTTCCTCTTGTGGCTCTTGTCCACTTGGCTCGGAAATTTTAGCTTTCTTCTCCGCAGCCGGATTCCTCATGAGTTCAGCATGAGCAGCCATTTTCTGAACCGGGACTGAATTTCCCTCATCCTTCTTTTCCTCCTTCGCTTTTGCTTTTGGAGCGCGCGAAACGGGCTGAATATGCTGGAAGATGGCCTTTTGCCATTCAGGAGTGTTTAACTGTTGCATAACGAGGGCCTGGCGCCTGGCGTTTGCATTCACCTCACGTGAACCTTTCCCGACATTCTTCTTTTCTTCTTGTGGGCTGTTCAAATTTGCAATGTCCAAATGAAAAGCGGGCCTAACTGGCAAAGAAACCTTGGGAGAAGTAATGCTTGCAGTCGCCTCCAAGGATTCCATAGCAATGGCCTTGCGCTTGGCGTTGTCTCTCAGAGGTTCAGAGCAAGTGTCTAGTCCCCGGACGGAGCGAGGCTCTTTCTCCTTGCTTTCCGCTTCTCGGTCTGCTTTTGGTTCAACTGCTTGGAAATTGTCTTTTCCGTGAGCTATTGCCCCCTGTTGCGAGTTTGTAGCAGTGGCGGCCTTGACTATGATGTTGACTTCGACTTTGCTGGCCACGGGGATTGGCTGCCGAATTGGAAGAGCGGCTTCTTCCGCATCCTTCTTTTCCTCTGGCTTTGGCTCAATTGCTTGCGCAGCGTTGTTCTCTTCTTTGGGTGACTTTGGAGATTCGGTGACTGGCTCAATGGGTGTAGGCACGAGCACGCTTTGCTGTTTCGATACCTGCTCGTACAGCTGGTATGTCTTATACGCATCCTTCGCTGCGTCGATGGACTTCTGAGCCGCTTTTCTACTATCTTTCAGGTCTTGGGCTCTCTGTTCTCCGGCCTTCACAGACTCAGCAGATGGAGTGCGGCTGTCCTTCTCGGCGAACTCTTTCTTCTCCTTGTACACCTCATAGTGTACGTTACTCTCCCTGGTGAGCTCTACGGCTTTGTTATGACACAACTTCACTTTTTCCTGAAATCGCTGTTGGAGCTGCGAAGCCCTGTCCTGCAAATCCTGGAGCCTTTTCTCGCATTGGCCTGCATGGTTCATAGCTCCCTGGGCATCCTCAATCGCAAGCTTGCAGCGGAGATCGGCATTATCCTTCTTGTGCGTAAGCGTGTTGATAGATTCTTTGTATTGTGTCTCGCTTTCCTTCCAAGATCTCGCCTGGTGCTGGTACCATACTTCCCTTTTCACCCTTTGTTCGAACTCTATGGTTTCAAGATTAGCCAATATTTTGGCCTCCATAAGCTGCTGTTCTGCTTGCTTATCCTTCTGCAGTAATTCTTGGACCTTCGCCTCGCTAGCTTCAGTCGCAATTTCGATTGCTGAAACGAATCTCTCGGTGTTCAAAACTCCGAAGTTATTGCGTGCTCTCTCATCCTGAAGTTCCGCTTTCAGCTTTCCGACTTCTGCTCGCGACGATTCGATCTCATCGTTCATCTTTTTCCAAACGTTCATCTCGTGGTTTCTAGCCTTGACTTTTGCTTCATCGCGATTGCTAATCTGTCTTCTGAGTCTCTCGTTCTCTTGGGTGATGGCAGCGTTGTCGTTGGCGGATGCTTCCAAAGTGTTTTCGAACTCGCTTGCAAGGTCTGCGAATCTGTTGTTGAATTCCTCGTTGTCCACCTTGAAGACAGCGTTTTCCTCCTTGACAACGCTGATGACTGTTCTGGCTTCACGCAGCTTCTCTAGGCACTGAGCGTAGGCATTTCTGGTGATTTCAAGCTCCGACTTCATCTCGTCCAACTTTGATGTCGACTCCTGGAATTTCGACCTCATCTCGGTGTAACCCGACTTCAGTTTGCTCATATAGCCAGCAACAGAAGAGATATCGAACTTCAACGAGTTAATAGTCTTCTCATTTTCGTCGATATCATCACCGAATAGAGCAACGAGTTCCTTCGCCTTGGCCCGACATGGGTTGTCGTCATTGCTGATAATTGTCTCGCAAGCAGAGCTGCTGAGCACCATGTCCAGGAGCTCCCCGGTCTTATTTTCAATCTCAAGTCGAAATCTCTCAGTTTCTGCTTTCGATTCGAGGTCCTGGTAGTCTTCGAGGATACCGATTTCCTCGGATATGCCATTCGTGTTCAGTTCAACATCCTCTGCGTCGGTCTTTTGAGCAATGGAGAAACCCGCATTGGATACGATTTCGTAGCTGGCTTCGGAGTTTATATCGCTGTTGTCGGAAAGTTCAATGTCCTCAAAGGGTCCCTGAAGTTCCAGGGTGTCTGTCGACATTGTCGCAGCTGAAGTCGTGGATGATGTCTTCTAGAGCTCATACACCAACAAGAAACAAGAGTTTTGATGCGTTCAGTGATATAGAATAAAAGAATTTCAAATGTGCGAGAACCTTCTAGCAGGGCATCGGTCTAGTCTACCAAGCGAGCGATAGGACCCGGAGTTTGAAATAGCGGTGTTTTGAGTACTATAATGTCATGATATATGATGTAATGCGAGTCCAAAAGCTAAAGAGACAAGTTTCAGGCGGACTCCCGCTGTCAAGAGCGGACAGAGTCACCAGACTGACTGCGTTCATAATTGGCGTGCAAAATTTTGGTCCAGACCAACAGGGCATTCCAATGTCTTTGAAAGTGTTGGGGGCTCAAAAATTCCTACAACCTCACTGATTATTTCCCACTCGATGTGAGCCTTCGGGACGAGGAGAGCATCAAGCACATGATTTCCGTCCATCAAGGCAGGTCGAGACCACTTAGACCAACTCGAAATCAGAAGTACCCGGACAAAAGTACGACTAGCTTGCACTACCGTATCTGATTTGGTCAACCAGGTTTGAATCCAGACACAGTAATAATGAAACATAGAACATGTCAAAGATTCGAGAGCAACTTTACACTCTTAAGCGGTGTATTGGAACATCTACTAGTGAGTCCTCGCAAGCCAAGGGAATATTAGAGGGAGGAGGGGAAGGGGGGGTTGCAATAGCAAGAGGAAAAAGAGAGATGTCGTCGAACCCCCAATACGCAATCATTGGCTGCAATCCCTGTGACACTGTGTAGACGTGGCGAATTCGGAAACTGGACGATGATCACGTGGATTAAATCCACCTTTAAGATGCGTCACTTGAAGTGACTGTAGATATCCTCTTTATTTAGTGTTTAATAGACCTTAGGGCGAATCTTTTGATCTCACGTAATTATATCAATGTTTCAATCTCTGGGTATCTTCAAATCAGAGTTTACTTGCCCTTAAGCTCGCCGTAATACTGTGAATCGGCATGGGAAACTACAAGCGAGGTCGGTATATTTCCTCCTTGTGTTATATAAAAGCAATGCAGCTATGTTTATCATATTCCACCCTGCTTAATGATGGTTTAGTGATCAGTCTCAATTTGAACTGAACGTTGTGTTTTGTTTGCTACATCGACCTTTACAATCAAGCATGACTTTTTCGGTTACCTCGTTGCTCTTTTGATAAACTCTCCTATTGACAATACCCCAGGAAAATATATATGACTATTAAAATGAAACTATTTAGCATGCATCGTATAATGCTCTCCGATCCTATAGATTCCGTTTCCACCTAGAGCCAGTGGCCCTTTTGAGTACCCCCAACCCCTAAGCATTTTATAGGCGAAAGGCTGAAAGTCAACTATGATGGAAAGTATGCGGGAATGAGATGTGTAAAACATTTAACTTTTATTTGCTAGCACTTTATATGCAGCTTCGGTATTTGACAGCAATTCCCTGGACATTGTTATTCACTTCATGTTCCACTTCTGTGAGTTCTCCTTCTCCTCGCTGTCGAACTTCCAGGTCATGCCCACAGTCAGAGCGCGAGAGTTGTCTTCTGGGACAGAATATTCCAGCTCACCACTCAGCTGCTCTCCTTCTTTCCTGCTCTCAGGCTTTGTCTTCGTGTTTTCGATAAGCATGACGCCTTGCTTCCAATGGGTTGCTGTCCCATTTGGTCCAGTGGTGAATGCATTCCCCCTTTTACCGGTCTTGGCCCACTCTTCAGCTTTCGCATCCTGGGGAACAATATCTTCTCGCGAAGGCATGAAGAAGGAATCGAACCAGATGATGAAGCCATCCAAAGCATCAATATCCTGCTTCAACTTTCCTACCCACTTTCGCTTAAACACGAGGTCTTTGACAGTAGTGGAGTGAAGACTGAGTTGCAAGAACGGGAAAGGCTCAGCGCACACCGTGCTAGCTGGCATATGAAGGACCTGCGCATCATCATGAATCCCCGCCTGCATAGCCTTCATATCAAATCCATACACATCCCTCCAAAACGCAATATGATCCGAGACATAGTCTGGATCCGCAATTGGCGCAACCCACATATTCATATGACTCGGTACCATCAGGCCATCTGGTCTAAGATACCTATCCCGAGCCCAAATAACACTATCAAGCATAGCCTCATACAACAAACAATACCCCATCCACTCACTCACAATGATATCGACTTTGTCGACTGGGAGATTGACTTCTTCGATTTTGCCACGTAAGCAGGTGATAGTGTCGGAGAAGCCATTAGCGAAGACGTTTTCACGGGCCTTGTCGATGATAGCGGAGTTGTCGACGGCGATAACGCGGGAGGCACCTGCTTTGGCGCAGAACATGCTGAGGATTCCGGTGCCACAGCCGACGTCGAGGACTACCTTGCCGGCAAAGAGGGATTTGTTGTTGTAGATAAAGTCTCGGTAGGCGTCAGTACGGATGGCGTCTTTGAGCATGGTTTCATGGATGTCTAGACATGTTAGTAAAACCTCGGTATCCAGGATGTAGGATACTCACCATTGTACGAGTATGAGCTGAAGTAGTGACTATCATCATCCCTCGTTTCCTCCTTTTTGGCGTTGGACGATTGTTCAGTGGTGTCTTGGTTATTCCATCTCTCATCCAAAGTCTCCTTGACAGTAGCCCGGTAATTGTCAAATTGAGTCTGCATCATTCGCAACTCCTCTTCCAGCTCAGAAACTCGAGATACGAGCTCTCCGGAGTCTCTCTCAGCCCCCTTGCCATTGTCCTGTGAAGCCGAAAAATTCTGCTCTACATCTGGGAGTTCATCCAAGCTAAAAAGCAAAGCGTCATCTTCCAGGAGTGGCTTGAGGAACTTCTCATCTTCAAAAGCCTCCTTTGAGACATCCTCTGTGACTTTGTGCCCGTTGTGAACTTGAGTCCGGATGTAGTTGACCAATTTTATATTGCCGTAGAAGTCTAAGCCGAGTCTTTGCCTGACTTGGAGGAAATCAAAGTTGTGTTTGTCTTTGCAGTGATTCAACATAGACATAATATCTGTAAAAACTTCGTCATCTAACAAGGAAATGAATTGCGTTTCTTCCTCGTCTGGTTCTGCATCTTCCCAGCCTTCATCATCTTTTAAGTCCAGGATATCAGAGGCTTCCGAGCTCCCAGACGAAGGTGGGGCTTCCTTTTGGATTGAGGGGTTGGATTCCGACATGATGAAGCCTTTCTCGAACGGTGAAGAAGTAAATAAGTGTTTGGGTCAGTCGAGACAGATCTTCTATATCTTTCCCGATTAAACTATAGATTTTGAGCGTTGTGCGTTGGTACTGTGGGGGCAAAATTCTGTAAACAAATTATTTTGTGAGAAGCGCGATAAGGATGGTTTCACGTGGTGATAAAAAAGGTAAGTGTCCATTTCGGGACATCTGTGACTCTAGAGGAGAATGTACGTTTACGTGTACAATATTATTGAAAATCTTAGTGAGATATGCCATGAACACAAGACGGAAAGTACCAATAGTGCAGATGAAACAGAACGAAACAAAATCTCACCAGGAGAGAAGTTTCCCCTGCAAAGTGAAGCGGCACCCATTGTTTCATGGTTGCCGTCCAACAGGGGTTGTTGGGCGGGCACCTTCCAAATGTTTTGGCTCCGAGCTCTGCCTGTGCCCATACATACCCATGCCCATGGCCTCGCTGCACGCCTACCAGACACAAACAACACACAAGAAACGTCAGCGTCTCCTCCCGCGTGCCACCTGGGAAAGTATAGAATCGGGATATCTACCTATGTTGCTCCTATTCAAACTGGACTTTCCTTGCCAATCTGCTGAGATTTGTCAATTGCCCCTCCCTCAACCCGACTCGCGAATGTAAACACGGCAGCTGTGGAGCTGACAACACAACAAAATGTCGTTCCTATTCGGACGCCGCCCGCGGACAAATACAGTTGATCTGCCAAAGCAGGCGAAAGAACAGATATCGAAGCTTGATGGACCCGGCGCAGCTGCAAAGGTGTGTGGTGTCTGACGAGAGTGGGAGTAGCAGAGGACAAGGCGCTGACTTAAAAGCAGGCCGAAGAGCTGGCTAAGACACTGGGCCAAATGAAGTTTGTCCTACAAGGAACGCAAGGTATGTAATATTATATTCTCCGTTGGATGTTCCTCTGCGCCGTTTTCTGATTCTGTTCCCAGAGACCGAAAGTAGCCCCGAGCAAATTTATTCCCTGGTAACGGGAATGATCCAGGAGGACTTACTCTACCTACTCGCCTTGAACCTCTATCGTCTCCCATTCGAGTCAAGAAAGGACGCACAAGTTATATTCTCCTACGTGTTACGATTTCGACCGCCATCCGCATCGCCCAAAAGCGAACCAATGGCCTTGAGCTATGTTATCAACAACAGACCGGAGGTTCTTGTGGAACTGTGCAATGGCTACAATCACACAGAAAGTGCCGCACCGGCTGGAACCGTTCTTCGAGAGGTTTTGAAAAGCGATGCTGCTACAGCAATTATTCTATACCACGACCCATCCGAGGGAAGCCCAGGCGCCAAGGGTTTAACGGGAATACAGCCAGAGGCGAGGCAGAGTGGAAGGGGCGTGTTTTGGAAGTTCTTTGATTGGATCGACAGGGGCTCTTTTGATTTGAGCGCGGATGCCTTCAATACCTTCAGGGTAAGTTTAAACCGTAACAAGGCTTGGCTTTTTTTCTAACGAGGTAACAGGATCTCTTGACCAAACACAAGACAATCGTCGCCCAGTACCTATCCACGAACTTTGACCTTTTCTTCAACAAATACAACACCATGCTCGTCCAATCGCAGAATTATGTCACAAAGAGACAGTCGATCAAGTTACTCGGGGAGATATTGTTGGACAGGGCGAATTATGCAGTGATGACTGCGTATGTTGACCGAGGCGAGCACCTAAAGATATGCATGAATCTCCTGCGTGATCCCAGGAAGATGGTTCAATACGAAGGCTTTCACGTATTCAAAGTATTTGTTGCGAACCCGCACAAATCAATTGCAGTACAGAAAATACTGCTCATCAACCGAGACAAACTGTTGGAATTCTTGAGACACTTTTTGGAAGACCGGACGGAGGATGAGCAATTCATTGATGAGAGGGAGTTCTTGATCAAGCAGATCAGGAATATGCCCCCGACACCGGTCGAACCGGCCCAGAAGCCGGCCCTTCTAGGATCTCAGGCGCGTTAGATTGAAGTGGGATTCCTGGGTGGGTTATAATGGGTTTGCATTAATCGTGAGCATAGGAGTTTTGGGCATTGGGAGATGGGAGCGTCTTCAGATAGATACTGATAATTGTATGCAACCCTGGCGTTAGTTACATATCAGACTTGGAAATCAAATGTCAATGAATGACTGAAACAGTCCCTGGGTGATAACAATGTTTACTTATATTTGCCAATTCTCAGCGGGCAAAAAGGGGAGTTGATCCGCTAGGCCCCATTCGAAATAGCCGCCCTGCCTCACCATTCGACAGTTTCGCGTACTTCGATTTTCCAACGCGACGGTATTATTTGTAGGGATACTTCACACGGCTGTCCACTTGCGCAACAAAACCAACAAGAGCTCTCTATTTGGCACGCATTCACCAGAAATTCATCATGCAGCCCGCATACCGTGGCTTTCCCCAGAGGTCTCCTCATGCAGCCGCGCAACCAAATTCGCGGCGTGGTATAGGCAAGTGCACCCCGATTTGCACCAGACAGTCTCAAAGCCTCTAGCCACATCGCACCTCCCCAAACTTAAGTCTCAAGCTATGACCCCTCTACTAACCTGTGGTTTCTACAACAGGCCCAATGGTGGGACCCCATCCTCAGAATCAATTGACAGCCGCCCAAATGCAGGCTCAACAAGCTGCCCAGAACCAGGCCAGCGATCGCGCGAAGCTGCGCAGTCGCAAGCCAACGGATAAGAATATGCCGGATGGTGTTGAGGAGTGTATTATCGGGGATGGGGTTCAGCGCTATAGAGACCTCAGGGAGATTGAGCGGAGGCTGGATGCTACGATGACGAGGAAACGGCTGGATCTACAGGATTCTGTGAACAGAAATGTCAAGGTATGGTGGTTTAGAGGCACTTTCAAGACCGGGGCTAAATCCTGGACAGCGTTACAGGACTTTACGGATTTGGGTCAGCAATACGGTGGAAGACCAGCTGTGGCAGGCGGACACTCTTGATGTGGATGCCTTTGATTTCAGCACAAACGTGGACTCTTTATACCGAGTGAAGATCGAAGGACGACTATTGGACGCCGATGATGAGTATCTGGACAGTGACGACAGTGATGATGAGGACGGAGACACAGAAATGGCGGAAGATGGCCAAGAGAAGAAGAAAAAGGACAAGGCACCTACCAAGAAATACAAGTTATCGCACTTCTTCAAGGCTATGACAGTAGACTTTGACAACCGGAACAAAGCAAAAGATGGCGCAGATCAGAGTGTTGAATGGAAGAAGCCTGTTGTGGCTGCCAATTCCGCCAATCTTCCAAACGCCGCCGATTTCGACCAACTGGAGTTCAAGCGGGGCGGCGACGAAAACACAAACATCACCATCAACCTCGTTCGCGATGAGAATCCCGAGCGGTACACCGTAAGCCCAGCACTGGCTGACATTTTAGATGCCCAGGAGGCAACGAGAGCAGAAGCGGTGATGGGAATTTATGAATATATAAAAGCAAACGGTCTGCAAGAAGATGATGAGAAGCGCTCATTTGACTGCGATGACCGGCTCAAAGCCGTATGGAAACATTTCCTCATACAAGTATATCGTGATGGCCAAGTTAACAAATACGACTCGCAGGTTCTTCAACGCGAGAAAGGCTACATCCCCTATCTGCCTGATGTGGTCATGCAACACATGACTTCTCTCGAGCCCGTTAAACTCCCTTACACCATCCGGGTCGACAAAGAATTCCATGAGAACCCGCAGCCGACGATTTATGATGTTCAGGTCTTGGTCGATGATCCGCTGCGGGCGGCACTTATGTCTTACCTGCAGAATCCTACGTACGCCCAGAACCTCCTCGATATCGCAGACCTCAATGACCGCGTTGCAGTCTTGATTCAGAAGATCGGGAACTCGAAATCTAAGCAAGGCTTCTTTGACGCCCTATCGAAGAACCCCACCGAATTTATTGCCAGGTGGCTGAGTTCTCAAAAGAGGGACTTGGATATCATCTCAGGAGAGGCTGCGAGGGGGATTAGTGAGGATGCCAAGGGTGATGAGTGGAGACGTGGTGGGAAGGATGGCATTTGGGGGAGCGAGAATGTCAGGGAGAGCGTAAACTTGATTGTTGGGGCTAAGAACCAGCCTGTGTTGGCTCCTCGGTAAGGGTTTGCAGTTCTATTATGGCGAAACGGAGGAGTTTATTTGGGGGGGGGGCTCGGGCAAGAAGAACTTGTATGATGATAGAATATTTTCGATGGGACAAAATCTTTTAAGTCTATGTTTTATGTTTCTTTCGTCTCTATTTTCTCTTTTGCACCAGCAAGTTTCTACTCCCCGTCCCCTAAAGTCATGATAACCTCAAGAGTCAAGAAGACATCGGATTCGGCGTCGGCGATAATATTGTGGCGTTTTATATCCGAAATCATGCGTTACGCATAACTGCGTCACTCCACTTTGCTTCACCCCACCACGCTATACTTTAGAGCTTCAGAGCTTCCCCTCCCTCCTCTAGAGCTTCAAGTCCTTTATAACATCCGACTTCAATGCAAAGATCTCTCCCACCTCGCTCTCTCCCCCAAATCCTCTCAAAATTACAATAGAGTACAATTACTTCCAACATCCCAAAACACCCTCTCATCATCTCATTCCTGAACCTATTCCCAATCCCAATCCCAATCCTAATTCCAATTCCAAACCCAAAGTACCCCACAATCTCCCTCCCCTCTAGATTTCACTCTACCCGCACCCATACGTCGACAACGCCAAAAATGTCTTCCACAACACCACACCCCGTTTTCTCCCCCTCCAACCTCGCCGTCATCACCGGCGGTGCTTCAGGAATCGGCCTAGCCCTCGCCCAGAAATGCGCGTCCTACGACATGAACGTGCTAATCTGCGATATCAACGCCGCCAACTTGAAGGCTGCGAAAGATGTTATCAAGGGCAAGGGCAAGGGGAAGGTCGAGACGGTGGAGCTTGATGTTAGTAAGTTGGAGGATTATGAGAAGGTCGAGAGTGTGGTGGAGAAGGAGTTTAATGGTATTTATTTGCCCCTTGCTTGTTTCACTTCTTAGAGGAAGGAGTTGGTTGTAGTTGGATTGGTGTGGTGTGGTGCTGAGATGTGATGTGAATAAAGGCAGAATTTCCCTGCTCGCTCTTAACGCCGGCACGACTGCAAGGGGTACTTGGGGTGACAGTGCCTACTTTGCGCATATCCTCAACACGAACCTCTTTGGCGTCATCAACGGCCTTAACAGTAAGTCAAGTCACTTCTCCTAGTATTCTACTCCTCCCTCCCTCTTTGAAATATCCGAATCCGTCAAGCCTTCACTTTACTTGACCAAACTCCAAGTATAGAATAAATAAATACTGATTTCCGAGCAGCCCTCTTGCCCCTCGCAACCGAGCACTCCACAGCCTCAAACCCCACCTCGATAATCATAACAGGCTCCAAACAAGGAATCACCAACCCGCCCGGAAACCCCGCGTACAACGCGTCCAAAGCCGCCGTGCGAACACTGGCGGAGCAGCTCTCCTTGGACCTCTCGCGATCCACGCCCACGACATCAGTGCATCTGCTCGTCCCGGGCTGGGTCTTTACAGGAATGACTGGGAATGCGGCGTTTGGAGAGGCGCAGAGGGAGAAGCCAGAGGGTGCGTGGAGGCCAGAGCAGGTGGTCGAGTATCTCGAGGCGAGGATGGCCGAGGGCAAGTTCTATGTTATCTGTCCTGATAATGATGTTAGTGAGAGTACGGATCGGAAGAGGATTGCGTGGGCCACGAATGATTTGCTGACGGGGAGGCCGCCGTTGACGAGGTGGAGGGAGGATTATGTGAATGAGGCTAATGAGTGGATGTCAAAGCAGCTTCTGTGAGTATTGTGAAGTGAAGGAAGGCGTTGAATGATTTAATGTTAAGGTAATGAAATTGAAATCTGGGGCGAATCAAAAACAAAAGTCTTTGGAACAGGAAATTAATTTCCTTCATTAAACACCACTGTATGGTATCCTTCATCACTCTCACCTATCTCTCTAATATACAGTGCAACAAAGCCTCCCCCCAGAGTAGTAGGCGCTCTCTTCCTACAGGTATCATTGAATCGAGGGAGGCCGAATGCAATTATAGTATGTAACCCATCGAAAAACCGCCAACCCAAACGAAGATATCTCACCCGTAGATCATCTAGCCAAAGAAGAAATGTTTCTACCATGCAATGCTAGCCAAGATTCACAATAATATAAGCCTAATTGAAGTCGTGAATGAACAAACGAAAAGCCCCACCCCCCATATTCGTTTTTGTTTTGCATAGGAAAGAAATGAGGACTAAGGAAAAAGTCTTGATAAGTCGTAAAGGGGTGCCCAACCAAAGGAGGAAACTCTTGAAAAGGCAGGCAAGAAGTGGACCAAAATCCTACGCCACGCTACTAAATGCACCAGCAAAAGAAATGAAATATGTATTTCCTAGCCCCTGTAATAGAAGTCCGTGGTATTTGGGGCTGGCCTAGGTAGATGCCGTGTCACTACTAGTCCACGAATGCGTAAACAATGTAATGAATCTTCAAAATGGAGTAGACAGACCATTTTTGGACTGTCTTTTGCTGAATCGGTTTCGTTTGTTGACCGCTTTCTCACTCGGCTCGTCCAGTCCTAAGCTGGCTTGACTTTTGCTCAAGTGGTTTCTTCCAGATCGGTCGGTGACGTTGAAGCCTTCCGGGTAGATGTTGTTCCCGTGAAGGGTGCTGCTAGGACTTGATACGGAAGAAGACAGGTCAAAGCCGTTTTCGCTGTTATATGATCCAACCGTATTCAGAGAAAGAGCTAGGTCTTTTGCCCGCTCGATAGACTCGATCCATTCTTGCGCTGAAGTTTTCGAGGGGTCGCCTGTAACGGAGGATTTGGTATCTTCAAAGGTGTAATGCGCACCTCGCTATGTAGTTGTTAAGACTTGGATCTATAAGAGGAGCAAAGATTACTTACTGTATCAACACACCAGATCTCTTGACCCTTAACGTCTATTTGTGTCCGCCATGTACACTCGGAAGCAAGGAGTGAAATCTCCGACTTGGTCTTCTTTTCATCGCCTCCAGCCGCAGCCATGATTATTCGTCCGCTCGAAGTGACCATCACTAGCCTTTGCCGTTTCTTGGTTGTGCTACCGCCAAAGAATCTCGAAAGCTTCTTCTTCTCGTGACCATCGCCGTGGTCACCATTCTTTGAGTTTGGGCTATGTGGCACTGGAGTGGACAGCACCATCAAATTCCCCAATTTCAGTATCCGCTCGTTGTTCCTCGTTAACACTGGAGACCACTCAATATCGAGTTGGGTCGGCGGAGGAAGCTCAGTGATCACCCTGGGTTGCGGCCGAGAACTACCGTTCGATGAGCTTGGAGGTGGTGGTGCCCTTGAGGTCGGGATGGGTTGGGGAGCTGAAGCACCTCCATATCCACTGAGCTTGATGAGACTCGGCTCCTGCGTTGGGGGAACGTATGGCTTTAATCTTGGTGCTTTCTGTCTCCAAAGTCCTCTGCCCCATTTTATCCCGTCGAAGAATTCATGATTCTTGATGTGCTCAATTGATAACCTCCGTTGCGGATCTAGAACCAGAAGTCGTTCCACCAAATCCCTTGCTGCCGGTGGAAATCCTGGGGGAAACTCGTAGTCTAAGCCGACAATCTTCTGGAAGGTCTGATATTCGTTTCCAGCTTTGAACGGGGGCCGCCCTGCCAAAAGTTGATATATGATGCAGCCAAACGCCCACAAATCACTAGCTTTGCATGCACTCTTGTCTGTTAGCAATTCCGGACTAACGTACTCAGCAGTGCCAACAAAAGATCGTGCCCGTGTGGATTCTTCTTCGACATCTGTTGGATCGTAAGGTTTTGGTGGTCCAGCTGGCTTTCTCGGGTCTGGAAGTAGTTTCGCAGTTCCAAAATCTGTGATTTTGATGTGCATTTGATCATCCAGTAAAACGTTCTCCGGTTTAAGGTCCCGATGTATAACTCCTCTCTCATGCATGTGCTCTATCGCAGTAAGAATCTGGGCACCATAGAATCTTGTGCACTCTTCATCAAAAGAACCAATCTTCTTCAGCACCCCCAACAGCTCACCCCCGCTGGCCTGTTCCAGAACGTAGTATAGCGATGAGCTATCCTGGAAGGTGTAGAATAATCGAATTATACCCGGATGTTCAATCAACTGATTTAACGCATCCTTCTCGATGTTAACATATTTTATCTTCTTCTCCTTGATTATGTGCTTCTTGTCTAGAATCTTCACCGCGTATTCCTTCAATGTTTGCCGATCCGTAGCAAGGAGAACTGTGCTGTACGATCCTTCTCCCAGTGTCCGGCCAAAGACGAAATCCCTCACTCCCTTCTTGACCTGCTTCAAAACTAGTTTCCCGTTGGCATCGTACTCTTCTCGAAGACCAACAGCTGCCCCTTTGTCTTTCCATTCTTCGCTGCTATTTGGCAATGGAATTCCGTCGGGGTCATACAACTGGGTTTTGTCGTTGGGTGGGCCTGGAGGCAAGACATCTATATGACCTCCACTGGTTCCTCTCGTCGAACTCCCTCTCGGTGGTAACGGGGTGTTCCCTGAGGGTACAGATACTGGCTGATTCTGGCTATACGAACGATCCCTATGACTTGCTTCCCGGGAAGGCACACCCGCCTGCATTGCCGTAGCAGCAGACCTCGAATCGCTTCTTGTTGGCATTCCTAATATTGATGACCTTGATGATTCGGCTCGTAATCGGTATGAGCCTGGCTCCCGGGTAGGTATGGCATTAGGCGGGGGATGGGCAGAGTAGACTCCGGAAATTGGGCGTGAAGCCCCAGGAGGGGGGTATCCTCTGCCGTTCTGCATTGCATTAGATTGGTATGGAGGGAATTGTGCTTGTTGCTGCGCTTGGTGATTCATAGGCATAGACTGTCGATACGCCTTGGCGGCCGCAGCTCTCGCTATGGGGTCCTCACTGCTACTCGAGTCTGGATTATGGGATTTGAGGTCGGAGGGTGGAGGAGGAGAGCGCGGTTGCGGAGCGAGGTCGACAACAGAGTCTCCACGGCGGAGAATATTGAATATCGAATGTCTTTTGGACTGCGGTTGTGATTGTGGTTGGGGATCTGTCGAGGACCGGACTTCTCTGGAGACAGGCGTAGGTGAGGGTGAGGGTGACGGTGCGTCTGATGCTGAGGGAGGATAGAAGGCATGGAGATCTTCTAGGCGCGGTTCCGAGTCTGCGGCGAGATCTCTCGAAGAGGACGCTGGAGAGCCGTCATGGTCGGGATTTGCGATACGCAGGCCACCCAGCGACTGGGACAGGCTCAGGTCGTGCTCCATTGCTTGCGACGACCGACGCCTGCAATGTGGCGGAGGCTCTCTTCCAGGCCTACCTAGTTATCGCATCTCACAGCAGCGGGTAGAGCTATACTGAGTCTAGTGCCCCGTGGTGGCAGACTGGGAGAATGAATAACGGCTGAATCAAGTCAAAGCCCCCTGAGGATATGCTATGCTATGCTATGCCCTGCCTGATATGATACGACCTGATAGCTGTCGGGTGGGAGGACAGCCAACAGATTTAGTTGCGTTTGGGTTGAAGGTGGAGCCGCAAGCAAAGTTGCAGGCGCAGATGCAGTTGCAAGGTTCGCAGATTGATATTGTTGTTCTGCCCCAAACGATAGGGACAGCACATACAGCACGAAGGTATAGTATACGAAGGTGAGAAGGGTATATTATTCGAAGGGTTCGGCTCGAGGGATTTGAGTGGTATTTGCCAATTGGTCAGCTGTGCAGATGAGCATCTTCATCTCGTTAAAAGGTTAGGACGTGGGTGGACGTGGACAAGAAACCAGCCCGTGCAGATCCAGATTCCAAAGCGCGCCGCCGGACTTCAAAATATAGTTTGACCTCTCCTCTGCTTGTCTTGTTACTCAGAACTCCAATAGTAGGTAATATTGTTCCGTGCTACAATTGGAAGACACCGGCGAATAGCTGTTTGCACTACGCGACCAACATCGAGCCTCTTCAGCTTGTGCTTGTGCAAGTAGGTAGTCTGGGGAACATGCGTGCATGATCTATACTTGGTTAACATATGTTGACCGAGAAGTTGCATGAATATGTTATGCAACTACGCGGCTGACTCAGGTGAGAGTACTGCCGCGAGTCATTTTCGGACATCCAAGGCTCCAAGCCAGGGAATATAAACACGAACGGCGACCGAAGAACATCATACGACATATTCAGTAAAGAACGCGTATACATAACTTGCTTCCACCCACCTTTGGAGAATCTAGTGAGTGGTTACACCTCCCATAGTTCTGTTACATTGTCTTCTGTTACATTGTCAATCATTCCACGCGGCTCTCACAATTTGACCGTGCTGAGGCCTGAGAAGCATCCTCTGATTTCTGTGATAAGGATTCGAAGTTTATACTGTCCCTTTCTAAAAAGACATCTTATCTTACAGTAGCCAAGCAAAGTATATATCTCAAGTACTTTAAACTCGACGCTCTCAAGTGTGAAGCAACTCTCCTTTCAAATCGTCCACCCACCAGAACTTGACGATTGGAATTTGGGTGTCCTCGTTCTTCCCTCTGCTGTCTTGCCTTCACATTTACGCTTTTCAGATAGTATTATGAGGGAAAGAATGTCGACAGAAGCGTGAAGTTGATTCTCGTCGCTCCTTCCCCCTATTGTACAGTAAATTCCATTCATTTAGTCTCCCTATAGCAACTTCCATCCTGCTCAGCATTCCCTTTTCTTTCTCAATAGGCGACGCTCAGTGAGATCGCATTTTATTTCATTTCGCACCAAGGATTGCATTGCGTTTCTTCTCGCTACATCATGCTCCGACGGGGTCCCACTGCAATTGCCCTAGGGGAAAGCGACCTTCAAGACTTTAGAGTGCGTTCTCAACGTCGCCGAGAGGTTGAGAAGGAAAATCGCAACCAAGAACTCGAAAGGTCCGCATCCGCTGCTAAAGATGGGCCAGCCTTCAATACCCGCGCTCAGCAGGGAGGGCGATCACTAGGGGCAGAGCAGAGCATCATTCAACCTTTCGGTCATCCCTTAACCACACAGACACAAGTATCTCAAGGTGTAGATGTAACATCAAATATTCTAGATTCTGAGACCGCAGAATCTTTAGAGCCACCGGATTCATTCAGTAATGGACAGAAGAGAAGTGCGTTAGAACATACAGCAGAGGGGATTGATATTTCTTCGCGCGCCTTCTCACCTGAGAATGTCGAGACTGAAAGATACCCACCATCTTCACCACTCAAGGACGACGATTTCTACTATGGGGGATTTGTTGACAGTCCAAGTGAAGATTATACACAAACGAGGGCTTCCTCTTTTGGTACTTTTAGTTATCCGTCGTTTATAAGCCCCTACTAATTGTGTTACAGCTTCAGAAGATTTCTCAACACCTCAACATGAATCCCTCACGAGAGTCCGATCCAGAGACCGCTTGCCTCGGTCTCCCCTATACCTGTCTCAGAATGTTATAAGCTCACCCGAACAGCATCCGACTTCGGGTCTTACCCCTCGTGTAGTATCTCGTGTTGCTAATCATAACTCGCCTGGTATTTTGTTTGCACTACCACCTAGACGGCCACCGCCACAACATCGGTCCTTCAGACATCAAACGAATAGCTTCTCATTTGACTCTACAGAACGATCTAGTGCTGCCTATGATCAAGAACGTGTCTCTTCAAGTTCCACCAATAACAGTACTTTCAAGTCACAGAGAGAAATAAGTCTGGAGGAAGAGCTTGACGGGGTATCTCTAGCACGCTCTCCCTCTAACTCCGATGACTCCTCTGAAAATAGCACTGCGGATCCAGATGACTACCTGTTAGTACTTCCTCAGGACGCTCAAGAAGATCCCGGTAAATCTTTCATATTTTCCTCGCCCCCTCTTCCTCTCCCGCCACCATTTTCGACCGTATCACGCACCGTGTCTGGAGAGCAGGTGGGACCGCACCCACAGGCAAGTCCTATTGCGGTTCCATCTTCAAGTCTGCCTAGAAGTGGTGCAGAGGAAGAGCAGACGACTCCTAAACCTAGCTCAGTGGAAGCGGACGGCGTCGAAATAATGCCAAGATCTACAGTGAGACACCTCGCTCACCAAACGTTTCCTGTACTGATTCTTCTTTAGTCTGGCCGGAATCTGACTCCCAGTGGCCTTCTGGCGCGGCTCAGATCGGCCTACAGAGCTCGTTCTCCTATAGGTCGCCGTGGCATACCTGATACCTCTGCTTCTCCATCTTCATCACCAAGACGTCAAGGAACTCAACGTACTCAGGGTAACCCCCAGCCGCAAACCCCAGGTCTTGACATCCACGTATATAATGACACCCTCCCTCCAGACTCACAGCCTCAAACGCCAGCTCATTTGCCTGGAGCTCGACATCAGTCTCGCTACCACCCATCATACACTGCCCCAATGGACGGTGGCAATGCAAGGCCTACTGCCAGATTTCGCTCTGATCAGGCCCATTTTGCAACCCCAACTCGGAGAGGGGCAGGAAGATCAGGTTCCCCTTCGGGATTACTGACATCTGGGTTTCAAGGCCTCTACGGAGGAAGGGAGAATGGCGATGAAGAACGGAATTGGGTTGAAGGCGTGCGATCGGACAACCCGGAAGTCAGGCTTCTGGGATTGAGGGACACACGAAATGATGGAAGAAGTCTGAATAGAACCCCAGAGAGGGAAGAATTTAGACCAGGCCGGTGAGGTTGGCGGGTAGGAATAGCATTGTTCTGGCTAGGAATGGGATTTTTGTTGACTTGATCCTTTTACTGATGGGACGGTATCAATATCATCAACTACCGGGGCTAGGAGAGAAAGATGAGTACGTCCAATATTTCACACTATTGTATCTTAACTTTGATGGGCCAATACCCTGAGCTTTTGATGGAGGAACTGTATTGTTGGTGGGAAGTAGAATTAACCAAGCCGTAATATGCTTGAATCGCGCCTTCGATTTTATTTACATTAGTATTGGAAGTGCAACATGGCAAATATCTCTCTGCCAACGCTAACGTTCTGTTCTAAAAAACAAAACAATGAACTCCTTAGGGCCCTACTTGCTAGAAATTATAGGCGACGACTTTTGGTTCAAGAGAATTAGGTGCAGAGAGAGTAAGATGCAGAAACCAACTTACAAAATAAAGCCGAGGCAGTGCAAGTATTCATACAGTTAGTACTTCTCATGAAGATTTTCTAAGGGAGATTTACGTGAAGATGTGACCCCGCGCCCGCGCTTCATCAGCTCGGTTCCGATTGGATGCAACATCTCCACCATGACACCTCGCTCTTTAAGCCTCCTTCCAGTCCTTATATTCTTATATCTATCACCTCACCATGGATCTCCTTTCCCAAAGAAGAAGCTATCTTCACATCTTGGCCTAGTCCAAACTCCCACCTCCCTCCTATCGCACAGCAAGCTCTCACAATGGCGCCCGACAGAGGCGAATCTAGCTCCCCCTCCTACCAAACCATCCCACCCTCGGTCTCCAACGAAACTCCTCCTCCCACGGAACAGCAAAGACGACGAAGCGATGCGCGTCGATATATTGCTGCACATGCCTCGGAAGGCCAGAACTTCACTATGCGGGGTCTGGCCGTAGGGCTAGGCGTCGGCCTCATAATATGCTTCTCGAATATGTATTTCGGGCTCCAAACCGGCTGGGTCTCATCCATGTCCATGCCCTCGTCCCTTATCGGCTTCGCCTTCTTCCGCACACTTTCGAAGCACCTCAGCTTGCCTTTTACGCCAGTGGAAAATGTGCTAGTGCAGACTGTGGCGGGGAGTATGGGAACGATGCCTCTGGGATGCGGGTTCGTTGGTGTCATGCCCGCGCTGAATTATCTGCTGAAGAAAGAGGAGACCGGGCCGATTTTCTTAAGCATGGGATCCATGGTGCTATGGTCGCTGGGATTGTGTTTCTTTGGGGTTGTGTTTGCGGTTCCGCTTAGGAGACAGGTTATTATTCGGGAGAAGCTTAAATTTCCTTCTGGTACTGCGACTGCGTTGATGATTGGGGTTTTACATGGAAAAGAGACTACAGCTGAGGGACCGATTGAAAATAGAGAAGAGATTGCGGGAGAGCCGGATGAGGAAGAGGTTGATAAGGGGGCACAGAGTAGTTGGAAATCGAAGGTTAAGCTATTGGTTATTTCCTTTGCCGTCTCGGGGGCTTATACGCTTGCAACCTATTTCTTTCCTGTTTTGAGGAATCTACCGGTTTTTGGATTTGCTCTGGCGGAGAATTGGCTTTGGACCCTCAATCCGTCTTTGGCTTATGTAGGCCAAGGCATTATTATGGGACCGGCAACCACTACACATATGCTGCTTGGAGCTATCGTCGGATGGGGCATTCTCTCGCCTCTGGCAAAGAATAAAGGATGGGCTCCTGGTCCTGTAGAAGATTGGGAGACTGGAAGCAAGGGCTGGATTGTCTGGATCTCACTGGCAATAATGCTCGCTGATTCAGTTATCAGTCTTGGATACATTGCTTTTCGCCCAGTGATCCTGAACGGAGGGAGATACTTCAGCGAAGTTCGCCGAAACTTGAATAAAGGCGGTTGGAAAGGTCTTCTGAAAATTGGAGGTGGAAATTCTACAGCTGGATATGCTCCTATCATGGGACGAGAGGAAGTCTCTACACCCCTCGAGGAAACAGGGCCTTGCACGCAAGGCGACTCCTCACCTACGTTTTGCCAAGGAATCAAAGACATTCCCGAGCCAGATGCACCGCCCGAACACCTAGTGTCCAACCTCACCGTCTGGATCGGCCTTGCACTCTCAATCCTCTTCTGCATAATCGCCATCCGCGTCGTCTTCGGTGCCCTCGTCCCCCTTTACGCAACGATAACCGCCGTCTTCATGGCTCTGATCCTCTCCATAATGGGCGTCCGCGCCCTAGGAGAAACAGACCTCAACCCGGTTTCCGGCATCTCGAAACTAGCGCAGCTCTTCTTCGCACTCATAATCCCGCAATCAAACAAGAATTCAGTGCTCATCAACCTAATTGCTGGTGCCGTATCGGAGTCCGGTGCTTTGCAAGCTGGCGATCTGATGCAAGACCTCAAGACGGGGCATTTGCTAGGTGCAGCGCCTAGTGCGCAGTTCTGGGGCCAGATTATTGGCAGTGCAGTCGGTGCTGTTGTTTCTGCGCTGATATATCGGCTTTATACCAGTGTTTATGTGGTCCCTGGGGACTTGTTCCAGGTTCCGACGGCGTATGTGTGGATTTTCACAGCTAGATTGGTGACAGGAAAGGGATTGCCACATATGGCGTGGCAATGGGCAGCAGGAGCGGCTGTTGTATTTACGGGGACTACGATGCTAAGGATCGTTGGCGCGGGTAAAAAGTGGCATCCTTGGGTGCCTGGGGGAATCGCTGTTGCCGTTGGTAAGTCCCCCCTTTTCAATCATCTTTCTATCCCTGGTACTGACAGGTGCAAAGGCATGTACAATGTTCCATCCTTCACACTCGCCCGAGCTATTGGCGGATTCGTCAACTATTACTGGCGTACATACAAGCGGCGTGAAGAAACACCACTTGTGATTCTCGCCAGTGGCCTTATCTTAGGCGAGGGTGTTGTCAGTATCTTGAATTTGTTACTTGCCAGTGCGAAGGTGCCGCACTTATAGCAGGCCGGGCCATTTCATCTAGATAACAAATGCCATATATTTCAGATCTTATCTTGTCTGGGTACTGGGAGAATCAGGAAGAGCTTTTCATTACTCGCAGGATGTTGACAGGTAAACACCTTGCAGTTATACTCAAGGACTCACTGAGCTAGCTATCTGGGAAGGCTTGAACCCCCCGCGATTCGGCCGAATGCATTTAGGAACCAGGATCACGACACACCGGTAAATATCCGTTCCGTAATGTTATGCGACGCCGAGATTCCGACGTGGCGTTTGTGAGCTGGAAACAGACATAAAGCCTGGTATTGATATTGATAGCGTGACTACAGTACTTCCGAAAGTTGGACTTTGAGAACCATTATCAGGACGCATTCCCGTTGTGGCGAAGAGTAAGAGGGACGATCAATTTCTGGATTGTGTTATCATACCTTTTGCGGGACTTCACGCTCAACTTTACAGAGGAAGCAACGCGACATCTGGGCGAGTGTCGCGCTCTCCTTTACCTTTTTAAGTTGACCTCGGGAACATTATTATTACTATAATAATAATTCATATCAAACAGCCATATAATACATAGAGTACCATATTATATGCATATTCACGTGAGAAGGGGCCAATGTCTCGCCATTTCTACTCATCTCAGTCACAAGGTTCCGCGGCCTATTCAATTTACCCAGTAATATTTGCAAGTTCCTGGAATACAGGTAATCCGAATACGAAAATAGGTCGCTAACGTAATAAACGATATAGCCAGTTAGAAGACGCAGGACGCGAGGTGGGGTGAGAAGGGTAGGTAGCTTATTCGGGTTAAGGTCGTGGAAAGAGGTCGGTCTAGCCTGCTCCCGTCCCGTTCAAGATGCAGTAGTGATCGGAATCTCGAGGCGAGAAAGGGATGTCATTGGCTGGATTTAAAGATTTATGATTACGCTTAAAACATACTAGTATATGCATGTATGCAGTGATGTTTTATTTTATTTGTCTAGCGATGCTATTAAGGATAGTTTATGAGAATTAGATGACATTATAAAATACAAAGAAACCTCCTATTTATTAACATCTTGTTTATTATCTTCGATTACTCCGTAGAAAGAACCCGACTTTCTAATACGGAGTATACCCCGGTTCTGGATTAGGAAAGGTTTTGCGCTAATAATTAAGGCTGTAAATCCCCCGCGCCCCGTCTTCCGTACTACTGTACGGAGTCCGAGAGCCAATCTCCAGATCAAAGACGCAAGGGTGCAAGGGTCGTATGTCGTGCCTCCAAATTCGTATTCGGGAACTGGACTCACCAGTTCACTACGGTATTTACTCAAGTATCGTTCGGCCGATGCGCGGCTCTAATAGTTCGTTGTTCCTCCTCTTGAGTCGAGATTCCCTTCTCTTCCTTTCCTTTTCCATTCATGTAAATGAACATGATTCATTGGCCTTTCTTGACTCTCCTTTCCTCTTATTAATCTGATTAATTGTGCTACTACTCCGACGCTCTTCAGCATCTGGAGCCAGCCATGGCATCTTCTGCTCCGTTTGGAGCCTTGGCTCAGGCAGGCGGCGTGGCTGAGAATCTTGAGGAGAAGGTACAAGAGTCCGCCGAGAAGAGACCCGAGAGCCCCCAACTCGAGCGCGAGACTACGCGCGGAGAATCTATAATGGACTCCTCGGACGATGGTGAAAAAGTCCAGCGAATCAAGCACCTGGCGCGCACCCTTACACACAATTCTGTCAAAAACACCCTTGGGGAGCATGTAAATCCTTTCAACGGCTCTGATAACCCCTCCCTGGATCCTTTGTCAGGCAAATTCAGCTACAGAGCTTGGGTCAAGACTTTGGTTGGACTTCAGTCGCGAGATCCTGAACGATACCCCCAGAGAGTTGCTGGTGTTGCCTACAGGAATCTTGGAGCATATGGCTTTGGCGAATCTACCGACTACCAAAAGACCTTTGGTAATTACCCATTAGAGGCTGCAGGACTTTTTAGGAGAATTATTGGAAAGAGACAACAGACCAAGATCCAAATTCTGAGGGATTTCGATGGTCTTGTTCGAAGTGGAGAAATGCTTGTTGTGTTGGGTAGACCTGGGAGGTAAGAACTAGTCCCCTTGTACCCCAAAATCCACCACTGATTTCTCAATTTCCAGTGGATGCTCAACACTGCTCAAAACAATCTCCGGAGAGACACACGGGTACTTTGTTGACGAGCATACCTCTATCAACTACCAGGGAATTCCAATGAAACAAATGCACAATGATTTCAGGGGAGAATGTATCTACCAAGCCGAAGTTGATATCCATTTCCCTCAATTGACAGTTGGACAAACATTGGAATTTGCCGCGCAAGCACGAGGTAAGTTCCAAGCTTATGGACCCTATGCTAGCTCCAATTGACATGTTCTAGCTCCTCGAAATCGGATTCCTGGTGTCACGAGAGATCAATATGCCGCGCACATGAGGGATGTAATCATGGCTGTCTTTGGACTTACACACACACTCAATACCAAGGTTGGAAACGACTTCATTCGCGGTGTGAGTGGTGGTGAGCGCAAGCGTGTCAGTATTGCAGAAGCGTAAGCCATGAAAGTTTCAGTGTTTTTGATGAAAAAAGCCACTAACTGTCATCAGAGCTCTCGGAGGCAGCCCTCTGCAGTGCTGGGACAACAGTACTCGTGGTCTGGACAGTGCCACCGCGTTGGAATTTGTGAAAACCCTCCGACTTTCGACTGAAATGGCCGGCTCAGCAGCCGTGGTTGCAATTTATCAAGCATCACAATCGATCTACGATGTCTTCGACAAGGTTGCAGTGCTGTACGAAGGTCGACAAATCTATTTCGGAGACATCCACGCTGCAAAAGAATTCTTCATCAACATGGGTTTCGACTGCCCGCTCCGACAAACGACCGCCGATTTCCTCACCTCTCTTACTAGTCCCGCCGAGCGTATTGTCCGACCAGGATTTGAAGGCAAAACTCCTTACACGCCCGATGAGTTCGCAGCTGCGTGGCAAAAGAGTGGAGACAGAGCTCAACTGCTCCAGGAGATCGCAGATTTTGATGAACAGTACCCGGTTGGCGGCGAGCACCTTGAACAGTTCAAAGCATCCCGTCAAGCAGCTCAAGCTAAGGGGCAACGTGTTAAATCTCCGTACACCCTCTCGATTCCTATGCAGGTCAAGCTTTGCACAAAACGTGGTTTCCAAAGATTGCGCGGTGACGCGACTTTGTTCTTCACAGGCCTTTTCGGCCAGACTGCCTTGGCTTTGATTATTAGCAGTATTTTCTTCAACCTTCAAAATGTCACCGCAGATCTTTATAGTAAAGGCGCTCTGCTTTTTTTCTCTATTCTGATGGCAGCTTTTCAATCTGCTTTAGAGGTTGGTCTGACCTTTTCTCGGTGTTGTTCTTGGAACACTATCTAACGGGACTAGATCTTGACGCTTTACGCTCAGCGAGGCATCGTCGAGAAGCATTCGAAATACGCCTTCTACCATCCATCTGCGGAAGCAGTTGGTAAGTAAACTCCTTCCAGAAGCCCCTTTAGCACGACAGTTGTTTCACAGAAAAATTGGCACACTGAAGTTCAATTTCTCATTCTCTGGGCTGCGTATTTCCTTCGAATCTCGATCTTACTAACGCTTTGACAGCCTCTATGATTACTGACCTGCCGAATAAAATATTCACCACTATTTTATTTGATCTGACAATCTACTTCATGACGAACCTCAGAAGGGCACCTGGACCCTTTTTTATCTTTTTACTATTCACGTTCATGTGTACCTTGACTATGTCTATGTACTTCCGTTCTATTGCAGCTATGTCACGCAGTCTATCGCAGGCAATGGCACCCGCGGCGATCTTCATCTTGGCCTTGGTAATCTACACCGGTTTTGCCATTCCAACTAAACAAATGCATCCTTGGTTTAGATGGATTAATTATCTTGACCCTGTGGCTTATGCCTTCGAGGCACTCATGGTCAATGAGGTAAGAATCTTTCGTCGTCTGTTCATGACCCGCAACTTGCTAAAACAGTATGCAGTTTCATGGTCGTCAGATTAGTTGCTCTCAATATATACCAGGTACACTGGGTGGCGTATTCCCCCAATATGGCAACTTGAAAAGTGATGAACAGGTCTGCGCAACTACTGGGGCTTTACCGGGCTCCTTAAATGTTGACGGGGACAATTATCTGGATGTCACCTACCAATACTCCTATTCTCACCTCTGGAGGTAAGAAACACCACCAACTCTAATCTAGCGATGATTTCTAATGAGAACATAAAGGAACTTCGGAATTATGATCGCACTCATGGTCTTCGGATGTACCATTTACATTGTGTCCACAGAATATATCTCTTCCAAGAAGTCTAAGGGTGAGGTTCTGCTTTTCAGACGTGGCAAAGTGCCAGACTTCGCCCCGAAGCCCGACGTCGAATCGAATGTCGATGGCCAAGAAGTTCGACTTGCTCGGTCCAAGACTACCCCAGATGCTCCAGCTAGTATTCAAAAACAAACCGCTATCTTCCATTGGGATTCCGTCAACTATGACATCAAGATTAAGAAGGAACCTCGTAGACTTTTGGATGAAGTCGATGGCTGGGTCAAACGTAAGCTAAATTCAGATCTATTCATTTCCCCTTTAGACATGTTTCGTAGGGCTAGGGCATATTGCTGGGCCTTGTACTCCAACAATGGCTCGCGTCCTTTGGTACAATTATGCCTACCTAAGACCTTCTCGAAAGAAGCGAACTCTACTCGATGTCCTTACTCTTTTGAGCATCTCGTTTTTGAGAGTCAACCAGTCCTAGGAAATCATCTCAAATCCTATGAGACATCTTTCCGACTCACAAACCTTACTGTATTAGGCAATGCTGACTCCAAAATCTTGAACAGCGGGTACTTTGACGGCCCTCATGGGTGTTTCTGGTGCCGGAAAGACCACGCTACTTGATGTACTTGCTAGCCGTACCACAATGGGAGTTGTCACCGGTGAAATGCTTGTCGATGGTCGACAAAGAGATACTGGATTCCAGAGAAAGACAGGCTATGTCCAACAACAGGATCTTCATTTAGCAACCTCTACAGTTAGAGAAGCGTTGAATTTCAGTGCGATTTTGCGTCAACCAAAGCATACACCACATGCCGAAAAGGTCGCTTATGTCGATGAAGTTATCAAGGTCTTGGAAATGGAGACATATGCAGATGCTGTTGTTGGTGTTCCGGGCGAAGGACTTAACGTGGAACAACGAAAAAGACTCACAATTGGTGTGGAACTTGCAGCAAAGCCAGCCCTCTTGCTCTTCCTTGATGAACCTACCTCCGGTCTTGACTCACAAACTGCATGGTCTATCTGCGCGTTGCTTCGTAAGCTTGCAGATAATGGCCAGGCTATTCTTTGCACCATTCATCAACCTTCAGCAATCCTATTTCAGGAATTCGACCGTCTCCTGTTCCTTGCGAAGGGAGGTAAGACGGTTTATTTCGGCGAGATCGGCGAAAACTCCAAGGTTCTGACCGACTATTTTGAAAGTCACGGTTCAAGAAAGTTTGGAGAAGATGAAAATCCAGCTGAAGTTATGTTGGAGGTGATAGGTGCTGCTCCTGGATCAGAGACTGATATTAATTGGCCAGCGGTCTGGAACGAGTCTAAAGAGCGTGCTGAAGTCAAAGCTACTCTTGCTGAGATGAAGGCGACCCTGTCTCAGCTAGAGCATGTGGAGGACGACACAGCTCTTGATTACTACGCCGCTACCTTCAAAGTCCAACTCTGGACTGTTCTACAGCGCGTCTTTGCACAATACTGGCGAACACCGTCTTACCTCTACTCTAAAGTAGCGCTATCTACGCTCACTGCTTTGTTCATTGGATTCTCCTTCTGGAAAGCTTCAACATCAATCCAGGGACTACAGGATCAACTCTTCGCCATCTTCATGCTGCTCACCATCTTCGGCAATCTCACCCAGCAAATCATGCCTCACTTCGTTACCCAACGCTCCCTCTACGAGGTCCGAGAACGACCGTCCAAGACCTATTCGTGGCAGGTGTTCATTCTATCAAACCTTTTGGTCGAACTTCCCTGGAATGCGATGATGGGTGTACTAATGTTCTTTTGCTGGTATTATCCTATCGGACTTTGGCGAAACGCTGTCCCAACGGACGCTGTGACGGAGCGCGGGGGCCTAATGTTCCTTTTCATACTCACATTTCTTCTTTTCACATCGACCTTTACCACCATGGTCATCGCCGGTATTGAGTCTGCAGAAGAAGGCGGCAACATAGCCCAGCTTATGTTCTCAATGACCCTTATCTTTAACGGCGTCCTCGCGTCTCCGTCCAAGTTCCCGCATTTCTGGATCTTCATGTACCGCGTTTCCCCCTTCACCTATCTCGTATCTGGCGTCCTGTCGACAGGCTTAGCAAACACCGATGTCGTATGCGCCGATTACGAATACTTGCACTTCAACCCGCCTCAGGGAATGAACTGCTCCACGTACCTCGATCCCTATAGAGGTCTCGCGGGCGGGTACTATCAAGATGGCGGCGCGGTTAATGATTGCACTTTCTGCACCTTGAGTAAGACAAACCAATTCTTGGAGCAAATTAACGTCAAGTACGACGATCGATGGCGCAACTTTGGGTTGATGTGGGTTTATATTGCTTTTAATGCTGCCGGAGCTGTCTTCCTGTACTGGTTGGCTAGGGTGCCTAAGAACAAGAAGGAGAAGAAGGAGAAGAAGGATTAAGCGGGTGTATGATTTATTGTAGATGGAGGAGTTATTGCATATACACTTGCCGCATATCATATGGATAGGCAAGTTTGGGATATTGCCATCGCCATCGCGGCACCAGACTTTTCATTTTCAGTTTAGTTTATGATAGAACAATACAGTCAGGAGAGTACATAGAATAGATAGCTACGGCTCAATTCGGGAATAATGATGGATATTTGATCGCAAATGCCTCTGCCTCTACACACATCATCGAGACGGCCGTATAAGACACTGTAAGAGTTATATCCTAACTCTTCTACGACCCACTTCGAGAAGGTATATGCAGGCATCATTGGATATATTTCAGCCCCCATGAGATGACCATGCACGCATGCATGGATCGGTGGATTCAAGGCGTTTTCCTCAATCCGTCACCGACGACCTACATGTAGAATATGGCTGATGATCAGCTCACCCTCATCATCGAGTCACAAATTTCTCTTCTCTTCCACTTGGCACGAGAAGTCGTGTTCTAAGGCTGGAATAAAAGACTTTGAATTGTCGCTATGAAAGCGAGAGCCGGGCCCGGGCCAAGGAAACGACGGAGACTGGATAAGGACGAGGTTGAAGATGAAGATGATATTGCATAATATGATGCTCAAGCTTTCAATTTGTCTGAACTGAACGGGTGGAAGTGTACGTGCAGATCCTACACCGAACGCCTGTACGTGGGGATAGCCTCAAGCCCGCCGCGGTACACACTGGCGTACACTAATGCGGCCACGCTGGTTTGGTCGAGAATTTCACTTCTGTACTTACCTCCCCTTGTTTGAATATATAGAAAGTCTCATCCTTTTGATCTCCAGTCTTAGATTTCTAAGTTATAGCCCGCAAAATAAATCTTGATATTGCATTAACACTTATCTAAATCAAAATATCCTGAAACACTCCAACGATTGTTCCCCAGAGAGTCCGATATCAATTTGCATATCTAAAAATCCAAAAACTGCCCAAAGAACACTTGAAACAACACGCGAAAGAATGATGAAGCAAAAACAAAAATATCTGACCAGCAGATCCCGAATAATGATAACCAAGAAACAATATACCGCTGATTGGCAGCCATTTTCACACAATGCCTAAAACATGCTTTATCTTCTTCACCTGGACCATTCTTTGGGGCCCCGAATTGGCCCTGGCATAGGCATTCACAAATTCCTGACGATGGGTAGCATTCAACTGAGATCGAATGTTGTAAATGGGCTCCATATAGTTGTTCACAAGGAAGACGATATCTTGGTAATCGTTGCTCCCTGGATTACTTGCGCCTCTAGCAAAGAAGGCGCCGAGTTTGCTGTTCATCACGGTGGGTAGGTCAAGCGCTGGCCATGCTCTCGGACCAAGTGATGTGGTGCTATTAAGCACTTCGGATGCAGCTTGCAGATTATCAGGCGCTCCAAGAGAACCTGCTCGAATGCTTTAGTGGGTGTCAACTGAGTCGCTGGGTAGATGGCACTCACCACGGAGGATAACATCCACCATAACTTTTAGTTCTGGAACTCCGGAGTTTTCCCCACCAACCTTAATAAATAAGCGGAGAACACCAGAGGTAGGACCAAGAGGCCGCCATACTCTAGAAACTGTTAGAAGCTGAACGGGATTATAATTAAGATAAGTACTGTACGTACTGGTTCTGAGCTTTGACAACCTGAACAAGTTGATCCATGGCGCAACCAACGGTGAGATCAACGTCATTTGTTCCTCGCGTGCTACCACGTAAGAGCAAGGAGTATCCTCCCATAAACGCGTAGGGAACATTGTTGGCACTAAATACGCGCACCAAGAACTCGGCAGCAAGATCGAGGTGGGGTCTGGCTGACACCGCCGATGCACTGGCCAGCTCAAAACCTTGCTGCACAGTGTATGTTTGTGGTGGCTGAGAGCTTCCTCCCTGTTTGGCAGGACCGGCCGGGAGTCTCTGAGATTGCATGGTCGTTTTGGCTGTATGATACTAGGGAACTGGGTATAGATGCTTTGATTATCTGGTAATTGAAAGAAGATACGATGGGAGTAGATGAACTGAAGATGAGGAAAGAGAAAGCAGAAACGAATGGCAATCTTCTCTTAGAGATACACATTGCTGTGTCTGCCCATCACTGAGCTGATCCACGTGTGTAGCCAGCAGTGACCTACGCGGGCGGTTATTCTCAGAGAACATGCTCAGCCGCCCGGTTCCTGTAACGAAACACTCTATTATAACCGCTATCTTCAGAAATAGAAGCAAAACCGTGGGTCTACGGAAAGGTCCGATGACATGGAGGTTCATATGGAAATAAGACCCAGTCGGTGAAGTTGAAACGTAGAAGAAAGAGGAGGAAATTTGACTAAGCGCGCGTGTGTAGGACATATAGACTACGAAAAGCCACCGTAGCTCCACCCAACAGCAGGGAGGGAAGAGCCAGGGCCAGGGGGAGTTGAAGGGGAAGTTGGGCATTCAGTTGGCCTACTAACGGCTTGATAGAACTAAACGACGAAGAAAGGACCACATAGGGATCAAACGGGCTTGCTCCTACAAGTTTGAAACCTATGAATCGCGGCCCGGGGCACTTGCCCGTTCGCAATATAGGAGTTCGAAGGGTCTGGCACTCACAGTCACTGAAAAATTGGGACTTTGTTATATCATAAGCGCCGCTAGTCAGATGAGGCCTGTGCGGGACCGCGGCATAGTATAAGGCCTGCCTAGTAAGTCCTAGCACCTACTAATCGAACACTCAATTTGCTACCAAATTTACTAACAAAAGTCGGTTTTCTTTCTACTTCGCTTCGATTGAAAGTTAAGGTACATGATCCTAACAACAACTTTAAGAAGTTATAGTTATTAAAAATAGTTCAACTAAAGCTCTAGAGTATCGTATTTGAAGATATGTGTTTTTAGCAGTTATATTCGATGTTCTTCCAATTAATTAGTGCTAGATGAGTGTTCGGTTGGTAGGTGCTGGGACTTAAATCGCTTCCTCCTCAGCTGGCGTTTTCAGGGGGGGCACAATTGAATCAATAGAACCCGGAGAAATTCCAACAATGCCAACGGGCTGCAGAAAATCATAGTATGTTAGCCCATTAGCGTCTTTGCGAAACTTTGACCTCCTGGCCACCTTTCCCGTGTAGCCTGCGTTGTTGGAAGTTTGTTGGTCATTTGCGCCAATCACAAATCACCTGTGTGTTGGTTGTGAACCCAATAGAAATCTGCCTTCTGTAGAACGGCGTCAAACTCTTATAGAATTAGATTTCAAACAAGACACCAACAGAAATAATTAATGATTACTATTAATAGACTTGGGGAGAAAATGATCGTGTTTAGAAGTATAAAAGGTAGCTTTAAGAACCATATCTAAGAAGCCTTTCATATCATTCAACCATTTGCAAAATACAACTCTAATTCATATCGACACCCAGCACAAGCAACTCTCATTCCCCCCCCGAACGTTTTAAACATCGAATCTGAAACACCGCTATAAGCAATGGCAAACATAACGCAAGTCGGCAGTAAAATCTTTACTTATGCCCTCATCATTCCATTGCTCTTATTTTATCGTACATTCAACCCTCCAAAAGCTCACTAGATGGAAACCTGACTAAAATTAGCTCTTCTATTATGTGGATGTGTTTCAACCTCCCCAGGGATACCGAATCTCCACTTGGTCCAAATCGAAGTTGATGACGAAACCAAAGTCCGAGTGGGTTATTATGGTATGCAATAGAGGAGGTCCAGATGTCCCCATTAGCATTACTGACTTTGCCAGGAATATGTGCTATTGGAACTGACAACACCGATTGTATTGCTTCGGCGTTCTTATCCAATTCCTCCATTTCAAAGAAATTTCAAAAAAGTTTACGAGGACAACCTTTATCTCAGGACTCCCTGAACGAAGCCATCAAGCTGCAAACTAAAGTTTTCCTCAACGTCTTTGTAATCGCAGGCCTTCTCCTCTTTTTCGGCCTCTTTTTCGAGCTGATTCGAATATGCAGCACTAAACGCAAACGCAAAACAACACCAAGTTCATCAACCATTCGTCGTCAAAATTTCTACCGACAGTTCTCACTCGCCTTGGCCTGGGCCTCGTCCGCGTTCACATTGGCAGCTGCTGCGGCAAACACACAAACCGGCAAGGGACTCAAACAGACTTCTGAAGGCACGATTTCCCCCGGTCAAACTTCACTAGCCCTTCACTGGGTGGCCTGGTCGGTGTCGCTGTTGTTCTCTTTCGGGCTAACAATGCTTCACCGCGGAAGGAGTGGTGTCGCCTCGCAAGCTGGGAAGATGCCCGACTCGAGCTTCGATTAAGGTCTAACGTCCGATGCTGCTCCTATGGGGATTGTGACAGTGTAAGGGTGCGCTGCATACCCGTTGGCCTCAGGCCGCCCCCCACTTAGTTCCCCCCCCCTTTCCCCAACACCCGCGGGGCATATGATAGTGGCTCGGGCAGGGTTTCTGGGAAGCGTGCAGGCCATGCGACGGAAGGAATGCCCGACACTACAATAACTACCTCAAAGATATAATAAAAAGCTAAAGAATAACTCCATTTCCAGATGCAACACGATTGTAGACGAATGCATCTCATGAGACTGGAGTGTGATTTTATAAGGTAAAAAGGTGACTGAATTTCTAAGACTAAAATCTAAGGTGTAAACATATATAAAATGGTAGAGTAACGGGCCCGAACGCACGTGAGTAGGCCTAGCAGTCAAAATGACAGGAGCGAGGTTCTGCATTCACGTGACTTAGTTCTAACCACCTGAAACTCTGAAGCAACCCAGCCCAACGAGCGGCTGAACACCACGACGAACAACATCTTAGAAGTTAATAAAATCATTAAACGCATAATGGACGATAATACTTCTACACCGGTGACCCCGCATATAGCTAGTGCCTCGATATGGGAAGGAAATCTAGGAGACATATATCCACCCGATGGAGGAAGCCAACAGGCTAAAGACGTCATCAATGCCCTTGAAAGCGCCGGAATACCATGCTGCTTAGTGGGTATAGCGGCGTTAAAATACTTCGGTGCCGGAAGAATATCAGAGGCAAGTCGCATTCTATCCTCTTCTCGTTTTAATTTCTCTTGCTAACTATCTGCAAGGATTGGACAATCTGCGTTCCAACAGAACAATTAAGCGCTGCATCATCTGTTCTACAATCACAATCTACTCATGAATTGTGCGCTCCCCGTAATCCGTATCCTGAAAGGCTGTTTCATACATTTCCCCTATTCAAACTCAAAGGATCCGTTGCCTGGATCCAGTTAGTTCCTTCCTCAGATTGCCATTTTGAATGCACCCCTTCCAATTTCGAGCGGAGCCATAAAGGTCTTCCCTACGCTCGCCTGGACATCTTCGCACAAAGCCTACTCGACACATACGATTGGGTTGATCTGGTTGATCTGGTTGACGGGATGGACCTTTCTCCAGAATGGGGTATCGAAAACTTGCAGCTGGATGGCACCGTCGACGTCGCTTGGGCTGAGAGAAAGAATGAGGCTATTAGGGCGTCTGTGCCTCTAACAGACTCATCGTGTCTTCTTGAGGTTAACACGACGCCGTGGGGGAGAAGAGAGATTTGGGAGAGAATTGTGGGGGGTAAACAGAGTAGGATTGGTCCTGAAATTCCCAAGGAGTTTTGGGCGACGAGGTTTCGGCCGAAGGGCGATCAGGATCCGAGGTTACCGCGTGAGAAACGAGCATTCGATCCCTTGAAAGATGTCGAGTGCTCCGGTGATCCTAGTAATTACGACGTTGTGGTTGTGAATTGGGGTCAAGTGGCGGAAACTTGACCTTTGGGGGCTCCGGTCAGTAAGTGGGGACGGAAGGGAAGGTGATAAAGTAGCGCTCACACTTGCCATATATATTCTTTTTTATTGATTCTGACTCATCTCATGAGTTCTTCAAGCAAGTACTAATCACTTCATGTAAGACTTGGGCGGACTTTTCTTTTCACATCTCGCTCGCCCTGCCTAAATCCACTCACCCTCGTCAGCACCTGAGACCCTTCCTACTACGTCCTCTTCATCAGTGCTAGCTAAGCAAGTTTTACCTAAGCTCTAAGCTTTCAGTTAATATACATTCTGTATTAGTCCCCGCAACTCTCAATTCGCACCAGTCTGATTCGCACTCCTTTCTACGCTCTCCCGAGGCCTGATGCTAAGCATGACCCCCCCCCCCCTAATCACAGACCTCCTTTTGGGTTTCTGGACATTGATCAGAACGAAAATATGAGATCACAATGCCTATCTCAGATAGCTTTGACTCTGAATTGGACGGACTCGCAGACAGAAAGAGCTAGGGTCACCAAATTGGCCCATTAAACATCAGACCACAGATTACAACAAGGTACTCTTGATGCAGCTAAACAAGAGGCGAGACACACCTCAATACCGGCTGCCAGAAGATTATACTTTTTCAGGGGAGAAGGTTAATGGTCATGACAACGTCGAGACTTCCAGAGCGAATCTTAGCGAGACAATGAAGAAAGCTCGATGTTGCTTCAATTGCCGGGAGTTCTACCAGAAATGTGATACAGACAGGACAGGCTCTCACTGCAGCGCATGCAGAGAACTAAAGATAGAGTGTCGTTCCTATGATAAGGCTGTGGATTCCGCGGCAAGAACGATATGCAGCAGTGAAGACCACTCGGCTTCGTCCCTCCGAGGCATGCTGAATCGAGTCAAGAGTCGGTTTTGGGAATGAATGCAGTTACGCAGTTACAAGGGATGACATTACGGATATCATGAAAACGTTCTGAGCTGTGGCAACGTATTATATTGGAAGTAATTAAGGTGCCGTAAATAGAGAGTGAGAGTAGTTCAGAGAGGTTCAGAGAGATTCCGAGCCACACCCACTTATTTCACGCTAAATTGCTAGCGCCAACTTCTTTCTTTAGCAAGTTTCGTCGGTTCCGCACGGAACCAATGTCTCAACACCACAACTCTGGCTGAAGAAAGGAAGGAAGCGGTCGAACGCCTAGATCAGAAGTCAAATTCGGTTCCGGCTCGTGAGTGTCTTCCCAAGGTGATATGGTTCTGAGCTTCATACTTTGAACCACGCCTGGTAGCAGAGAGATTTCCTTTTTTTCCGGCTCCCCTGAGTTCGGATCCGTGATTTCCCCTACCACTCAAAGTTTTGTAAGTATGTAGACCTGCGTCTACCCAAAAGGATATATAAGGCTACCAACATATCCTGTCTCTCTCTCTTTCCCTCTTCATTTCAGTACAAAATGTCTCCAATCAAAGTAGCACTTGCTGGTGCCACTGGAAACTTAGGCGTGTCTGTCCTCGAAGCTCTTCTCGGCGCAAACTTGCATGTAACCGTTCTCTCGCGCATCCACGGGAACTCGTCCAAGTTGGCGCCCCATCCGAGGCTCACAATTACGGAAGTTGACTTCAGCTCCACCCAGTCCTTGGTTGCGGCACTACAAGGGGCCCAGGTCGTCATCTCTTGCCTCGCCACCTTAGCAATAGGAAGTCAGAACCCTTTGATTGAAGCCTCGGTTGCAGCGGGAGTTACACGCTTCATCCCCGCTGAATTTGGCATGGACTCTCGGAACCCCCTCTGTGTCGTACTACCTGTCTGTGAACCAAAAGTCAACACGCAGAAATATCTGCAAGAGAAAGCCAACTCCAATCCGGAATTCTCCTACACCGGTATCGCCAACGGATTGTTTCTAGATTGGGGTCTCAAAGTCGGCTTTATCTTGAACCTGGCCTTGCACTCTGCAACACTCTACAATGGAGGCGATGTCCCTTTTAGCACCACGATGTTGGGTGATGTCGCGAAAGCGATCTTGGGGGTCATCGACAACCTGGAACAGACCGCTAACCGCATTCTTTATATCCACTCGGCTGTAACGACGCAGAACACTTTGATTCAGTACGCCAAGGATGAAGATAGCAAAGAGTGGAATACCTCTATCAAGGACACTGATGAGATTAGGCAAGAAGCTTTAGCAGAGCTGGCTCAAGGCACACAGGGAAACATTCAAGCTGCCATGGATGGGTTTTGTGTATGTGCCTCCTGGAATACGAAGTACGGTTGTGATTTTTCAAGTCACCTGGACAATGATTTGCTGGGCGTGAAAATGATGGAGGAAGATGAGCTGAGGGCGTTAGTAGCCAGCTATTTGTGATAACTACGATCTAAAGGGAAGTATGGAACGCGGTGTATTTAGAAGAACATGTTTTACCATTTCCCATCCTCGTAAAGGATGCGGGCTGTGTGCGCGAGGGGTTACTCATTACCAGAGTATCGTCGGATTTGCCATAGATGCTAGATTTAAGTACGCTACAATAATGTAAAGGCCAGGCCGAACCCCAAAAACCTGTCTCAACATATTATTCCTCGAGTAGTCTATTTCAGTACAGTAGCCCAAAGCGACCCCACACTATCGAGCCGATCAATTATTAATCAAGCACTCCCTATCTAGCCTAGATTTCAATAGAAAGACTCACCTCGTCTACAATATATAGATGCTAATTCTCCAATTTTACCATTCTTCCACATCATACTTACTTAAAATCGAATTGCTATAAACACTTGACTAGCAAAAACACCACACACGATCTTCTACTTCCGCTATTCCACACCCCCTACAACACAGCACTCCAAAGCTATATACATATATATGTACTGTTCCGATCAACAGCTTGCTTCTACGCTACAGTAGTGTACCTATCGCCTTCGGATAGACACAAACTCCAGTGCTCCACCTCCACTTGACACCCTGGGATATTATTGATCAATGCGACGCAGGACCCAATACTCGAGCTGCGATGCATGCCGGCAGTCACGTGTAGCCTGCGACGCGTTAAAAAACGGGCATCAACCTGGTGGTGGTGGCGGTTCATGCTCGAAATGTGTTGCGAGGAATGTGGATTGTACGTTTAAGGTGAGTGAGGGGAAACAGTTACAATTAATCTACCTTGTGATATATTATTTCTTTGCACAGAATCGTTCGCTGCTGACGAAAGGTGTTTTCATAATTAAGTGGATCAAAAAATCACCTTGTATGAGAGGGAGAGGGAGTGAGGGAGGGGTACGGAAAGATTTGGGTTCTGGTTTAGTACTGACGGCAGAAGGGGGAGTAGAGCGTGCTGTTTCGGTGGTGGGAGGTGAGCCTTCCATTGGAGGAGCAGAGACGGACAATACATATTGTATAGAGCATCCTCGGTTAGTGTCCTATCTCTGAGACGAGGACGAGGACGAGGAATAGTCTGACCTGATACAGTGCGCCATCGCCTGAGATCTTTGCAGTCGAGCCAGATCCGAAATCGACAGACACTCCCAGCTCAAATGCCGAGTCCGTGGATAACCTCCTGACTCACTGGTGTGAGCAAATTTTCCATCATGGTTTCGGGTCTATTTTTGGTCATTGGGTTGGTAGGAATGGTTGCCCCTTTGTGTAAGTGTGGTTGTTTTTACCTTAAGAAGACGCGAATACGCGCCTGACAAGTTTAGAAATGACCCCACCAGCGACATTTTCATCGCTCCGTTGAAGCTTTTCGGGGAGCTTGACGCGTGCATGGATAAGCAACTAGATGGCAATTTGGGCTATACGTTAGTCGCATTGGAGAAGAGAGCGGGGATAAGGTATCAGATCGAACAGTCTTTACGCCGTGCGATGCAATCGTTCGCGGCGCAATGGCTTCCAGCTATGATTCCAAAAACTGTAGGTGGGCCGATTCAATACGAAGAAGTCGTTACGCAGCGCTGGCGCATCGCTAGGAGAGACATGCTCAAGGTCATTAATCGCACATCTTACCAGTCTGTGTTGGCATTATACCTTTTCGGCCAGACTCCTGTTCCTTTGGGAATATCCGAGGAAGAAGAGATGGATGGTATTAGCGGGATGGTATGTACTCAGACTGCTCTGCTGCAACTTCAACAGCTGCGTGAGAGGCTGCGAGGTTGTCAATTCAGTGGTTCGGGGGTGTCAGGTTGGTCAGACGCAGTGACGGGCTCTGTTGAAAGCCCCAATCTCACACAGGCATTTCTAGACCTTGAGAGTAGAGCTTATTGGGTGGCAGTGATTTGGGATACGACGAGCTCTGTGACGTTGAATATCAGATCATCTCTCACATCTGGATTGAAGGGAGCATGCCTGGAGCCGGCATGGCGTCTAGCGAGAGGTTTTCTGGTGGGTTCATTCCATGCTAAATCAAAAGATTGGCACAAGAAGGGTTTCGAGGTATCCGATGAAATAGCTACTCAGATCATCTCTGCAGCCGCTGTCGGTAGGCTTTACACATGGAGAACCATCGCAAGCATGAAGGAGGCACTCAGGGAAGGGGTCGAGGGAAGTGATGTTCTTTTTGCTTGGGATGCCTTCCTTGATGCCCTTAACGTATTCAAGACCACAATATATCCTCTCCTGAGTAACTGCGAGAGACGGCTGCATTTCCTAGGACCGGTGGAGAGGCTGAATTGGTATGAGGTTGTCTTGCACTACCATCTGGGTATTCTGATTCTAGCCGATGCACTCGAGGCCGCCAACCGCCTAGATTTGCTCTCACAACTGACGGAGACGAGATTAGACGCCGAGCAAGAATCGTTCAACGTTCTCAGATTCGGTCTGGAGAGCAGATACAAAATCTATGCCCCGCTTGAAGTATCGTCTATTGCTTCAGATGTCAATTCGAATCCTTACTCGACTGGACAGCCGATCACCACATCGTTCATCGCCATTGACCCATATCCGCACCATGTAGTTGCCTCGGTGCGGCTGATGAAAAAAGCCATCAGCCGCAAATATCGACAAGGCAATATCAAACTCGAGGCTTACTCCCACCTCTCATCCACCTTGCTTGAAGCTCTCGAGCAGCTCCCTCAAAGCTCCAAGATGGCCCAATGCGCCCGGGAGAAGTTGCAAGCGTCCTTTCAGCTCAATGTGTGATGGGTGATTTAAAGAGGATGAGCTGTCCTTTCCAGGAGACAGGACTTGGAAAGTCAAGATACTTTTGATATATCAGAAAACACGTGATAGTCACATGTTCGAAGAGTCACATGCCAACCCGCTTTTCCGATCGTTGACCCGTCCATCGACAGAAAGAAGTTGTTGCTGAAGGTCTCTCGATCTTTGTGAAAGGGGGCAATAATTGCCTATTTGTGCTGCTTTTGAGCTGTGTGGTTCGAAATGGATGCTGCATTTGATCTATTCACACCTAACTTAAATCTTGCACAATAGTTCGATATATATATATATATATACGTAACCTAACTGTCCCTCCCCTCCCCTCCGTCTCGGCAAAACTAAACCACAAGCCACACCGCACCCGCCACACAGTAACAGGACCATGAAGATCAGTTCCAGACGGAGCCTCGCACATTACTATGCTTATCTAAGATACCCATGACATGGCTTTAAACAGCACCCTTCGCCTACCTACCATGGATGTTGATATTCCGTGTGCTTTGACTATGCTTTCATCGAATCATCCATTCCCCTCCTCCTTCCCCCCTCGCCCTTAGTCCTTCTACACAACAGTCTAAACGTTCCACCGGTTAGAACATCCGTCGTATTCAACGTCTCACTCAACCCAAACACCGTACAGCATGGCGTCTCGCTCGTCTGAGCTGAAGCGCCTACGGGAGGCCCGCAGATTCTATAGGCGACCTCCCAATGGCTTGGCTAACACCAGAGACACCCCTGGAATACCCGTGTCGGGCGTATCCACTTCTGCTGTCTCGAGTCCAAATAAGACATTGACCGCACTGATGCAATTGATTGCTTGTAGGCTTGGAATGCAAAGAGCCATGGTATCCGTCGTGGACGAGAATGAACAGGTCCTCTTCCTTCCCCCGCTCTTATCTGCAAATTTGACAGGATATAGTATTTCCTTGCCGAGTCGACGAGGACACTGGACTTGAATGATCCCTCTAAACATGACGCAGGCGATGGCCTCTGGGCAGGTTGTGGTGGGTAAGTATCCAGTTCCTAAGAGCCCATCCGAATGCGTCTCACATACTTTACATAGAACAAGCCGTGGTGAAGCCCTCTGTGCAGTAGGCTATCGTCACCTTCATATATACTGGCATTGACATTATTTGTAGAATACAATTGAGTTGCCTTCAGAATCGGATAGCTACACATGTTTCAGCGTGTTAGACCTTTCGAAGGATGTTAGATTTTGCAACCTACCCTACGTTGTCGCGGGCCCTAACTTCAGGTATTATGCTGGAACGCCGCTACTAACACGAGAAAATGTTCCAATAGGTAGCGTTTTTGTTATGGACGACAGGCCACGAGGACCACCAACCAAGTTCGAAATCGACTTCCTGGGAGTTATGGCCCGTAATGTTATGGAGTACTTGGAAATGAGGAGGGAAAGTGAGATGCGGAAGAAGTTGGAGGTCATGAGCCAAGGAATGGCAGCGTTTCTGGAGGCGAAATCTAGCATTTCGCCATTATGGAGAGCGGATACCTTTGCTGAAAAGGAACGCAATCAGCTGAAAGTCAACAAAGGAACTCAATCTGCGCCACCTGTGGAAGCAACCCTGCCCATCACGGACTATTCTGCTGCGAACCCCGCCCCTCCAAATACTCAGAATGGCAGAAGAAATTCGCATGACACCAACGTCGAACTTAAAAACCTGCCTGGAAACGATATGTCGTCTCATCAGAACACAAGCTTTCCTCCCCAGGACATCCCCACGAAAGATCAAATTCTCTCGCGTGCCGCAAATCTGCTGAGAGAATCACTCGATGTCAACTACACAGTGTTTTTGGATGCCAGTGTTGAGCCATCCACTACAAGCGAGGAAGTATTCGGTGATGAGAGTACAGATGGTAATGTTTCGGGGCTACAGGAAGAGCAGGAATTGGCACCTCCAACTAACATGAAAGAGGAAATGACAGGATCTCCAATGAAAGAATCTTTTATTACAGGAACCCGTTTCCCGCAAATTCGCAAACATGCGCAGATCCCAGCGAAAGTACTAAGCTTATCTACAGAAGATTATTCATCTTTAAACGATAATGTATTGAGGGAAACAAATGCGTTCCGACCACCCTACTACATATACCTCCGAAGACTCCTCAAGAAGTACCCCGAGGGAAAGCTATGGTCCTTCAGCGACACGGGTGTAGAGTCTTTGGTCGAAGACCACCTACCACTGAATCCGGCATCAGACTCAACCTCAACCTCTACCCAAGGCCATTCTAAGACCTTACTCGAGGCAAAGTACCTCTTGAACTGTTTTCCTGGCGTCAAACAATTACTCTTTGCTCCGCTCATAGATGTTGAGAGCGCTGTCCCACTTGCAGCATGCTTTGCTATCTCGCTCAACCCTATATCGGATTTAAGTGCTGAGGTTGAGGGCGCTTTCCTCCGCGGGTTTTTGAACAGTGTTTCCATGGCTTGTAGCAGGGCAAGCATGGCTGCAGCAGATTCTCAAAAGGGGAAGTTTATCTCGAGCATATCTCATGTAAGTAAATCCATTCCACGAATATTTATTGAACTACGATCGAAAATCATTTTACCTGCAATCGGCCTCCGATTGGCATTCCTTAGTTTCTCTTGATAATATATGCTGATAGTTTCTTTGCTTCTAGGAACTTAGATCACCTTTGCATGGGATACTGGCTTCAGTTGGTAAGTTGTCCTTTTGTCAACGAACGTTGGTTCATTGGATTGCTAACTCTATCACACACAGAGCTGATGACTGGAACTACACTTGACACACACCAGAAAGAATTATGTACTACTATATCTACGTGTGGTCAAACGCTCCTCGAAATTATAACTGGTATACTGGAATTCACAAAGGTATTTAGTACATAAGTCTTCTACTCTATATTCATCGTACTTCTCGACAGCGGCTTCTCTTGAGATATGTTTGAGACATTGTTCAAATAGCCTAGTTTTTCAATGCTAACTAGACAGATAAATACGATTCGCAGCGACGCTCGGAGTCTTGCTAAGAAGCTTTCCCCTGAAACATCGACACAAAGTCTCACCCGCCGAAACATACACGCCCCTGGAATGATAGTAGAAGCGTCAGCTTCATCATCTGCAGACCTAGGGACTGTTTGCGAAGACGCTGTCACTATAGTTGCAGCCGCATACATGTACAACATCTCAACCGAAGACCAACCATTCAACCATGGCTTCCCGCGTCCAAAATCAGCCATCCAGCCGGACAGAGACAAACCCCCGAAGCCACCATCTGTTATCATTGTACTGAATATCACACCTGGTGACTGGAACTTTACAATGCTTACAGGCTCTTTTCAGCGGCTGATTATGAACTTGGTAGCTAATAGTCTCAAGTATACGCGATCGGGTTTTATCAAAGTTGATCTCAGCGCCCGTAAGGCGCCCCACGAGAAAAAAGGGCAGTCGAAAGCTTATTATGATTCGATTATTGAGCTTCATGTCATCGACAGTGGAAGAGGCATAAGTGAAGACTACCTAAAGACAAAACTCTTCTCGGCATTCGCACAAGAATCTACTTTAGCTCCGGGAACTGGTAAGATCTAATCCATTATTCGGGAATGTACACGTCACTGAAAGTCTTAGGTCTTGGTTTGTTCAATGTCAAAGGTCTAGTGGAGCTACAGAACGGGACTATCGATATTGAAAGCGAAGTCGGAAAAGGCACACACGTCACTGTCAGACTACCATTGCGAAAACCAGTCACTGATGTTACATCTCAGGGCTTGATGCCGATACTGGCAAGCACTGCCGATAACTTTGTGTCCATGGTGGTTGAAAGCCCGAAACCTAAAGACTTTGCCTTTTATGGTTTTGGTAACAATACGGCGGATCTGGTCAAAAATTCCCTACATCAATATCTAGTCCACTGGCTTCACATGCCAAGCGTTCATAATGAACAAGAAGCTGCAATTGTGATTGTCGATGATGAGGCTCTTTCCGAGTGTCTGTCTGCGGTTTCTAATTATCGTCGAAAGCCAGGGGTCATTGTTGTTTGTACCCAACTGAGACAACAAGCTATATTCAGCTCCTACGCCGAGTCAGATGTTCCGCTGGAAATACTCACCATTCCATTTGGACCTACCAAGCTTTCTAAGGCTATTTTTGCTTGCTTGGAACCTACTCCAAGGATTAAGGTAGTAAATGATCGCGTAACTTCGAACGAGAACCTCGATGTAGAGGAAATTGTACCTCCAGTCCTCGAGTCACCTCTTTCTAATAGTAGCGCCTCACACCCAAATATGAAGGACGAGGCTGTTTTCACCAAAGTACCAATTCGCACACTCCACGGAGCTCGACCCAGCAAAGAAAAGCTAGAATTCTCTGCGTGGATGACAATGCAATCAACCTTCGCATACTCAGGATATTCATGGAGAAACTCAACTTCCGAGACGTAGCCTTTGCGGAGAACGGCAGTCAAGCTTTCGATCTTGTGAGATACGACAGGAAAGGGTTCGATGTCATATTCATGGGTAAGCATTTACTTCCTGCCTAGAACGTCTCAGATTAATACATCCACTCCTACATACTACCAACTAACCAACAATCTATTCACCTAATAGACCTTTCAATGCCCATCTGTGACGGATTCAAATGCACGTCTTTGATCCGCTCACTGGAAAAGATGCAGCTGAAAATCACATCCCCTAATGCTCCTCTCCCACCGTCGGCGTTGATCGTGGCGTTGACCGGACTGGCGTCTCAGCGTGATCAGGATGCTGCTAGAGCGGCAGGCGCGGATCATTTTCTCACCAAGCCACTGAAATTGTCGAGGCTTAGAGAGCTGTTGGCCGACTGGGGCATTGATTGAAGTGCGGGCATAGTATTTTTCATTCGCCCCACAATAAATGACCTGAGTAGCATATTGGCGGTAGAGAAGCAAGTTGACTAGAGGTACAGAGTTGATGGAGGTAACCGGCTCAAGATATAAAGATAATGGTGGATATCACAAGCATGCCTTGGTTTTGGAAACCTCGCTTTCAAATCCCAAGACACAAAAAAGGGGGAACAAGCGCTGTTGCATGCAGGTAGTTTGTCCTTTACACTATTTGAGGATCTTTGAACGCATTGCTCATTCAACTATCAGAGCTACATACTTGTACACTAATATCTAGTTATTCGGGAATAAATCCCCCACCCTCATCATCATCGTCATCATCGGGGATAAAACCTCCCCCATCATCATCTGGGATATATACATCACTTGCCGCACTCTCATCTTGCACACTTCCATCTTCATCTCCTTCCCCCTCAATCGCATACCCATCCACTCGCGCCTTGATTTTCAGCCCCACAAGAAAGCGTTTCCACATCCGAAGTGCAGCTAGTGAACGCATCTCCTCTCTTTCCCTATCTCGCTCGTGTCTGAACCCCTGGATCACCTCCTCGACCGCTTCGCGGAATCCTGAGGCAACGACGATACCTTTCAGGATGGCGGTCCCGTGTCGCCCGCGGAAATCGAAGCCCGTGAGCGCGTCTGCATAGTCAATACCTAGGATACGAGCGGCTCGAGAAGCTTCATCGTCTGAGAATATGGTTAGTATAATGAATGGTAATATTGCAGTGTGTGGTGGAACTTACAAGGCAAATGCACTCCTCCTTTGGGAACCATACTCGGCACATAAACATCGATATTCCCAAATGAGTTCTTAGGCACCCTGCCATTAACCACTGGCGGAGCCTGAAACAACTCCGTCTGATCCTCCGTATAAAGATTCGTGCCCGGCCGCTCATCATTCTCACCACCCATATCCACATCCTCGTCCACTCTCCCCTTCGCAGGAACAGTCTTGACAGGCTGCTCGCCCATCTTAACATCTCGCCCAAGACGATACCACGCATCAGCGCTCCTCGCGATTTTCACATCGCGTCGTCTGTACACATTTTCAAGTCTCTTTCCCCCAGGCGTCCCCGTATCCCGACCTGCGGCTACCTTGCCAATTTCGCGTGTCGCGACTAGTATTTCATTCCGTCTCAAATGGCGCTCTAGAGCGTAAGTTGGGTGGTCTTTGAAATCTTGAATGTTCTTCGGCATTGGCTCTCTGGCTTCACTAGCTGCTAGCTCCGTATTCTCAATTTGATCCAAATCAGTATTCCACGGCGGCGAGAACTTGCTCATAGTTTTTCTCCACCACTTGTCTCCTCCATGAGTAGATTCGACCCGATTCTTCCTCGTCTTGGAATTATATGCCTTGGCATATCTTCGTGTGATGTCCTTTGCGTTACCCTCGTCTTCAAAGCATATTACATACGACATGTTGTTTTCGCGATCTGCGCCTGGCGGTTCGAAGGCTCGGGGCTTTGCGATCGTTTCGGTGACAAGAGGATCAACCGGAAGCCATTTCTGATGCGCCTCGTCCAGGACCTCAATCCAGTAGACGGGGAACGGTGACTCGTGAATTTCTTTCTTCTTCGGCCTTGGTGGAGGTCGCATTGGAGCCCTGATTTCAGGCATATTGTAATCAGCAGCATTGGGATGCCCTAATCGCCGCCGTGGAGAAATTGGCAAACCTGCAACACTTGGGCCTGGGCCAAACGATGGGATGAAGGATTGGACATTGACAGCTTCTTCTTCACTCTCGCTCGTCTCGGGACTAGGTGGTTTGGGGGCTCGTGGTGCGCTTTTGGACATTGCTGGACCACCTGCACTGAATGACAATGGCTGAAGAGAGCAAACTAAACGGACTTCGAGGCCTGCACTGCGAAGGAGAGCACAATAGAGCTGTGCGCCCAGATCTCTAGAGCCTTTCAGAGTTTTGGCAGCTGTTCTAAAGTCCGACTTTTCTATAGGAAATTCAACGTCACCAGGCAAGTTGTACTATACCAGATCAGCTAAGATTTATGTCGTTGTAATCTACATAAACTCACATTATGGAGATCCTTCTCATCATCAGCCCAAAGTGCCCTCCTTACCCCCCTAGCCGTAACCCTGAATTTTCTCCTCCACATGATCCCAGCTTGCTCAAGCCCCCGCTTGACCGACTCTGCCCTCCCAAACTGCGACATGTCCGACTTGGGCCTTAAAAAAGTCATCATCTTCTTGTCCAACAGCGGTCGCAGCGATTTCTGAACTTCCGCATCATTACACCAATCATTCCTTCTTTCCACATGTGATAATAGACATAGGATATGCATCCTATGAATCTCCAATCGCGTAACTCTTTCAGCCTTTGAAACCACCCTCCGCCTCGTAGAAATCTTCGGCCGCTGAGGAGTTTTGTTCGCCGTGAGCGTCAACTCCAAATCCCCACTACCACTCGTCTCGCCATTCCCCGGCAGACTCTCAAAATCCACGCCCGCCCATTCCAACTCGTCATCTTCTTCCGATTCCTCGTCCGAGTCTCGGTATGCCGTCTGCTGCGTCTTGACAGGCTCGTCCAGCACGTCCTCGAATTCGAGATCTTCATCGCCATCGCCATCATCCTCATCCGCTTGTCTCGAGCTACTACCCGCAACCCCTTTAGTATCTCGGGGACCCGTCCGTCGCTTCTTCAGAGGCCGTTCCGACACATCTGCGTGCGAGGGCAGAGCTTCGGCAAGCATCTCTTGGTAGACATCTGGGACCGCGCTTCGTTTTACCGGAGCTTTTCCTTTTCCCTTCCCCTGTTTCGTTCGAGCTGCGGGTTTTCTGGGCGCCATAATGACTACCGGAGAATCACTTGTATCTCTAATACTAGGGATTCCATCAAGGTCTGGCCCATTTCGCGTCTTCGGCGGTCGTCCTCGTCTTTTGGGTGGCATGACACCATTTCATAGTTGCATGTCCGAGGGAAGGAGGCTCGTATGCTTTATATAGTTGGAGTATATATGAGTGATAATTATAGTGGTCAAACGCGCTCAAGAAACTCGTTGTCGCGATATGACGCATCGATCTTATCACAAGCGCAGACGCGCGCTTGAGAGTTTATCAGTCCCCCTTGTCGTGCCACGGAGGCCTTTTCATTTGGCTTCAAATCAGCCAACAAATTAGGTCAAGATATTAGAGGTTTTCATTTTATTAAAGCAACCTGTTATGTTATATTGTTTCTATCGGCTACTTGAAAGCCGAAAAAGAGCACAGCTGCCCGGTCGAAGAAGTCAAAAATCCCATTGGTCTTTCGTGGCACTCGTCGCTGAAACATTCAAATTATCCAGCTGCTCTCAATATACATGTATGAATTCAAATCTGTCTGCTCTATGCATTCAAACCTACTCTCTGTCTGTTGTATACACCTTCAGATCCCCGCTCATAATCTGTCTTCATCTGCACGCAATTAAACCCCGCCCACGACTCCTTAGAATCAAAGAAGGTGCAGTACCACCGTTCAGCTCATTGAAATGTCCCTCCCGAAACCAGAGAGGACGACTATTGGGGGATCTATTGGCATTCCTCGCATGGTAAATGGATTATGGCAGCTGGCTGGCGGCCATGATGAACATGTCGATTTTAGCGTTGCTACAAAGGCAATGGATCATTTGTAGGTGCTCGATATCCCTCATAGGAGCCCGAGGCATACTGAATTTGATTTCTAGGATCTCAGTAGGGTTAGATTGCTTCGACATGGCTGATCACTATGGAGATGCCGGTCAGTCCAATCCGAAATTCCATCTATAGAAAATGCCAACTTTCAATAGAGCTCGTTATAGGAGAACAGCACAGGAGTTCTGTTCGGAAATCAACTGCTTTCACGAAATGGTGTCCAGCTGAGAATGGCATCAAAACCTTCAAGCAGGCAGAGGACGCTGTTGACTTGGCTCTTTCAAGAATGGGTCACAAATCTGTTGCGCTAATGCAGTGTATGAGTCCCCAAATCTGGTCATTTCCAAGCTAATTGTAGATTGAAAGACCATGTATGGGAATATACTGATGATACATACCTCCATAACCTCCATCACCTTCGCACACTACAGATTCAAGGCAAAATCAAGCACATCGGCGTCACAAACATCGATGCAGCACATCTAGAACTCCTCATCAACTCGGGCTTCCCTATCGCCACCAACCAAGTATCCTGCTCGGTTATCGATCGGCGGCATGTTCGTGGCAGGATGGCTTCAGTCTGCACTCAGCATGGAGTCAGTATCCTCGCTTACGGAACTCTCCTTGGTGGCTATTTGAGTGAAAAATGGATTGGTCAACCCGAGCCCCAGGATCCCAAAGCCTTAAACTGGAGTCTGCGAAAGTACCTCCGTTTCATTCACGCCGCGGGTGGATGGGCAGCTTTTCAACTTGTCTTACAAGTTATCTCCGCAATTGCCGAAAAGCATGGTGTTTCCATCGCTGCCGTGGCTACAAGATATGTCCTTGATCTCCCTGCTGTTGCTGCTGTTATTGTTGGATCTCGCCTATCAGCTGACTCAGATAAATACACCGCGAGCAATTTGGCCGCGTTTTCAATCAGACTTTCGGACGAGGATAAAGCTCTTATTACGAAGGCTCAGGAGAACCTAGCGGATATTCCAGGTGATTGCGGGGATGAGTATCGGCGACCGCCTTACTTAACGGCTACGGGGGATCTGAGTCATCATTTGCACAAGAGTGAACAAGATCTCGAGGTTGCAAAAGCAGCCCATGAAGGCAAACGCATCGAATATTCTTCGGCCAGCGAATGGGAGCCGATTGCTGTAAGTTTTCCATATGGATTTACGAGGATGTCCTAATACCTGTAGGGATACTGCCGTGCTGTCCGTACCTGTAACACCGTTCGAGTCTCAGGCACGACTGCAAACTCTCCGCTATCTTCAATACCGGTCCTCGGGGGCTCTTCTGCGCGTAGTCAAACTATAGCCGTGCTCGATATAATCGCGCGTGCCATGCAGAAGCTGGGAGGATCACTCTCGGATATCGTACGGACTCGTATTATCATACGGAACCCAGAAGACTGTGAAGAAGTCAGCAGAGCACATGGATGGGCCTTCAAATGCGTTGGCGTACGGCCTGCGAATACGTTGATAGTGTCAGGGTTGGTTGGGTCTGAGTTTCTAGTGGAAATTGAGGCAGAGGCCGAGCTTGGGTTCAAAGATGTGCTAAGAATATAGGAATGGCGGCTAAGTGCTTATGGAGTTGGGCTTCATTGCGACTACTACGTGCTAGAGCCCAGATCCCACCTGGTTGAGATCGCCTGATGATACTTCTGGTATAATAATTACTTCCTTTTTAGGTTGGCTCAACTCACAGAAACGTCTACTTAAGCTCTGTGAGTTCCTATTCGTAGAGCTTAAGTACCAAGTCTATATTTACTAGGTCCAACTTTATATCTATGCATTCCAAGTCTGCCGAGCAAATCAAGCCATGACTAGGTAAAGCTGTCTTGGCGAAGTCCTATTTAGAGCTTGTTCAGCCTCATCGATTGCCTTCCAAGGGAGATTGGAGCAATCGATGGAGATAACTAAGATAAAGCAAGTATACTTAATAAGGTCCTTACCTTACCTACTGACCTCGGCCTTATTCTAAGTAGATATTATGCACTAGCAGGTGCTTCAGATCATTAGAAGAATGCAGCTGATCAAGTCTGGCGTTTTACATTTCAAGGTCGAACGCAAGACCTGACGGTTGTAGCTGGGAGAGAAGCCGCAACTACCTTACGAAGTCACCTGCTCCGTAGGGCAACCCCTGACTAAATAGGCTAAACGAGGCTAGGCTAAGCTATGGATCCTCCACCTTCCCAGCTGGTACCTGTCCCGGCCGGGAGACTTTTTTTTAGGTTCGGCACTTATGACTTGTCCAACCAATCCATAGTGGGAAGTGGCCCATGTGGGAGGCGGGAACCAGCACAGAAGGGGAAAGTACTAAATAGAGCAGTACTGGACCTCGGATCATCCTCTACATGTGGAGGATGATCTGAAATCTCGATATGGCTTCATCCCTCCATCCTCCGTCGCAATCCCAATCCCAATCCTAGTCTTAAGCATAGGTATAGGTACAGTAACAAATACTTCGTAGGAGACACATCACAGCGACCCCCTGCACGCAAATCATTCGTTGCTTAGTGGTTACCATATACGAAGTAAAATACTATACGGAGTAAATTACTCACGGACCAGAAATCCATAAAATGTCCACCTTTTACACTTGTAGGGGTTCGTCCGTTGTGTTCCCCCCCTTTACTTAAATACGCTGACCCCGCAAATTGACGAAATATATTGTGTTCTTCTCCCCCTCTTACTTTCTCTCGTTGTGATCTGAACTTCCATTATCTTTCATCATTATGCATTTTTCTTCCCTCCTCATAACGGCCGCAGTTGGCATAGCTAGCATAAATGCGCAAACTCAATATACAGCGACCAATGCTGCTTCTGTAGCAGCAGCTAGGGCAACTGCCAAGACTTTGAGCCCAACAAGTTCAGTCAAGGGGAAGACTTTTGATCGATTCGTGAATATCTTCTTGGAGAATACCGATTTCGACATGGCAAGCGCCGATCGTGAGATTTCCTTTCTCAGCTAAGATCATGTTCAGCCACTAATAATGGCAGCCAACCTCCAATGGATCGCAAGTCAAGGCATTACGCTCACCAACTACAAAGCAATCACACATCCCAGTCAGCCCAACTACATTGCTTCTGTAGGGGGGTCAACTCACTCGGTCATATGGGACTTGTATTCTCGGATTTCCAGTTCGGCGAAGACAATTGTCGATTTGTTGGATGCAGCGGGGGTGTCGTGGAGTGAGTATGAGGATGATATGCCTTATTCAGGTTTTGAAGTGGATTATGTCAACCAGGTACGATAATTAAGAACCTATGTGCTTCTATACGGGCGCTTCGGGGTTCTTTCGCCGTCAGAATGCCACACTGCTTCTGAAGCAATATTATGTGCTCCTTACAATTGCTCATATGAGTAATAAAGCTAACTCCGTGCTTCCAAGGTCAACGGCGCAAACGATTATGTCAGGAAACATAAGTAAGCATGAAAGGCTTCGGATGCAGATAGAGAACTGACTTCAACCCGGCAGCCCCCTAATGAGTTATGATTCCGTCACGTCTGATCTCGACAGACTGGCAAAGATAAAGAACTTGACGATGTTCTATAACGATCTCGACTCAAATAAACTTCCACAATGGATGTTCATCACCCCAAATATGAGTAAGTGCCATCTCCGCCAGTCGACACCAGGCTTGTACTCACATATAACCAGCAAACGATGGCCACGACACCTCAGTAACGATTGCTGGCGCATGGGCAAAGGGGTTCTTAGAGCCGCTTCTCACGAACCCAAACTTCCTTTCCAGGACACTTGTTCTGTTGAGTCAGTTTCCCCGGTACTCGATTTAACGCCTGGAGTAGACTAACAAATTGCAGCCTTTGATGAAACAGCAAATTACCTTTCAGACAATACCGTCTTCTCGGTCCTATTTGGGGATGCGGTGCCCGAAATCTTACACGGTACTACGAATGACACAGCTTACAATCACTACAGCATCATGTCAACTGTCGAAAACAACTGGGACCTGGGAAACTTAGGGGAAGGGGACGCGGATGCCAGTGCTTTCTTTTGATTCAATTCGTCATTTGTCGAATAAGTGATGGTCAAAGGATTTTTTGGATGTGTCCCGATATGCCTTTAATTAAATTGTAGCTTCTGTTAACTTCCACTCTGTCTAGCAGGGCATCAGGTCCATAAGTCCTTTCCAGAGACACCTGCTAACTGATCTTCCCCTATATTGCCTTCCACCATCCCTTCTCTCACTCTGATAAAACTTCACTCACGTGAATTTCATGCAAGTCCTTCTGAGATCCTTGCCAAACGTGCGAATGCGGGGTTTGCGTTCAGAGTCACAGCCACAGCTCCGCCTCGTTGCGCACAACATTTTCAGCCGTATCGTTTCACAAGACAACCAATCTTTTGAAGGTTCGAAGATATTTCTCTCATCCCCAAGTTTCATACTCAGGCGTCTTGTTTCCACAAACCCCGAACGAAATTCGATTGAGCCTCCACGAGACAGATTTCGCTCATTCCCCGCATTGAACATACTGACTAGGTGGCCTTGTCGCAATGGCTGACGCTGACACAAGTGGCATTGATGGCTGGCATCTTGTTCCAGCAACAGTAATTCGGGAGGAAGAGCAGATAGAAGAATGGGGGAAGTCCAATGGAAACTGGTCGGGCGTCGGCAAACACTTAACGAATTGGAGCGACCACAAGACGCTACGAGTTCAGGGTCGAGAATTGGGACTCGGTTCATATGGAGAGGTGGAACGCATCACCTATAAAGCCGTTACCCTGGCGCGAAAACAGTAAGGAGCAATCTATTCATGTACAAGCAAGAAACTTCAATCGTTGACAATTTGCAGTGTCAGCCCAAGGAGAGGACGCTTGACGCTCGAAAAGCTTCGAGAAGAAGCTAATGCGATGGAGCGGCTGGATAATAAACACATATTAAAATTAGTCGGCACTTATACCTTCAAAACCAAGCATCTCTATCTCCTCCTATACCCTGCAGCTGTGTGCGATCTACACCGATTTCTAGAGGAGGTTGACGATATACGTTCTGGAGCTCATGCGGACCGACAAGACGCCATGAAGCGCATACAAGATCTTGGATTGAAAGATGTCAGCACAATTGAGGAACTTGCATTTCCGAAAAATCAGTCCCAATCAATTCCTCGGACAGCTACAGCAGTTGGCTTCCTTCAGCAGATCCTCGGGTGTATAACGGAGGCTTTGGCTTATGTACATGCACAAGGAATCCGACATATGGATTTGAAGCCTAAAAATATATTGCTTAGCCCTGGAAAAGTCTACTTGGCGGACTTTGGCATAGCTAGAGATGTCAGGGAGTCAGAGGATAGTATTACAAGTACCCGCCTGGGGACTCCATATTGGATGGCGCCGGAGGTTCATGATGAGCAAGTCCATGTATGTGCCTTCATAACCTCCTTACAGAAGAGTTTCCTACGTTGCAATACCTTAGGAATAAGCCTAAATGTGGACTACTCCTGATATATTGTCTCGATTCCCTCGGAACAATATTCCTACTCCCAAACCCTGTATTAGGCAAATTCTGACTCTGATATCTCGCTGTATAGCACATGGCCCCTGCCGATATTTGGTCGCTCGGAAGTATTTTCCTAAATACAGCGACTGTTTTTTACGGCGAATCTTTAGAGTCATACGATGAGATCATGAAAGGGCAGGACTGCGAAAAGAAGTATAAAATGTTGCCAAAATACCTAAATGGATTAAGGACAAAAGCTGTCTCTGCGGCACTTGAGGACTACGAAAACCCGACTTTCAATGTCAAGCATATCATTGGACTCATCGAAGACATGCTCAAATACGACCCAGAAGAGAGGCCTACGGCAATTGAAGTAAATGAAAGATTATCTGAGTTGGGAGGTCTAGACCAGGTTTATCATCTTTCATGTTGCCATAAGAAGAACGCATATATATCGAAAGTCATTAGTAAGTTTAATGTCCAAAGTCAGTATGCCTCTTGCTAACATGTGAATACAGACAAGAAACTAAAGTCTGTCCATGAGGTGAATGCAGACTCCGTCCTCCAGATAGCCCAGCTGAAGGTGGAAAACGACGAGTACAAGGAACGCCTTCGACGTCTTGAGGAGCTCAAGAATACTTGGGAGACGCGGCTAGACAATCAGAAAAAACACAGTGGTGACCAGTACCGAGCACTGCAAGAAAAGTACAATCAAGAAGTCGACGCGCGGAAGAAATTCGAAAAGGACCACAAACCATTCCGTCGGCCGTGGTCCCAAAATAAAGGCAGGGGCAGGGGCAGGGGCCAGGAATTGCTTCACACCACTGGCAACAAACCTCCTCCTTTACCAAAACCCCTGAAACATGAGATGTACTTGAACCCTCGTACCCAGCAACGCGCAAGTGGTTTACCACTCCCGATCCGACCCTCAACACCGATCCGACCCGCTCTCAGTAGAGATCCAGGAAGCAGTTCGAGCACGTATGTCAGCTCGAAATGTTCAGTCTTCTCGCGCGCCAGCCCCAACGAATCGCTCAGCTCTGTCAGCTCTGTCAGCTCATTGAGGACAGTAAGGAGCGTCTCGCCTAGCAGTCCTACGACAGCAAAACCTCGCAATCCTGCAGAAACAGCATTGGATCTGTCAGCCTGCCCGGCCGTGGCAAACGAGATTCTGAAACCGGCTGTTGTGAAGAAGGTCGATCATGAGGCGAAGCCGTCTTGGGCGAATGTGGTATCATTGCGGCCGATACAATGAAGGTATTAGAGGGCTTAAGAGGCCGTTCTAAATCTGCGGGAAAGAACGCTCTCCCATCGTCACTCCTAAACTTTTACGTCCCTGAAATGGGATACTCTTGAGTTAGTACACCTTGAGGATTGGTGCAGAGCACCATGGATGGGTCTTACATTAAGTAATTCACTGTGTACATTACAGTTCATGGAGTAGGGGGGGAATGACTAGCGATTGTGGAGTATACGGCTTATATTACGGGATTACTTTGCACATGCTGCTTCTTGCTATGACATGTATGCATAGTCAGTGTATAAAAAAGTAGGGCGTCAGAATAGGGTTTGAAATTGATAATGGCGGAAGGCTCGATCGTGGCCGACTTTTCCGAGGTCTAGACGGATGCAGCTCGAATAACTATAGCTACTATGTATGTATGCCGAAGCCTTCCTCTACGACGATTATCCTAGAAAGTAGAATCCTTTCACATAGAGATTCATTATTTGAAAGTGTTAATGCGCATTGGTACCGCCCTCGCTTAACCCGAAAGGGGCAGAACGAACATAAACACCATCGACGAAGTACCTGCAAGAAATTAAAAACGGCTGCAAAAAATGGAGAAAAAATATAAAGGGGAAAAAACTCCAAGCTTAAAAATACCAAAAGGTTCACCCAAACCTGATTTACGTTCGGATTTCTCCTAATAGCACTTCAAACTTGGACTACATCCTCCTCCATGCAACACTCTGCAATGTGTTACTTGGAGACTCTATCACTCTAGACTCCTCGATTGTTAATGCCTAGTAAGAACTTCTCACCGTGGATCATTGAACTAATTAGTTTTTGGTAGTGGTCATGGAGCGTTGGTAGTTTAACGTCATTGCCTGGACGAGTCACAAGTGTTAGTTGCTAGCAATGTGTGGATTCTTGCTGGCAATACATGAATGTAAATTGATTTTTGTTTGACTTGATTTGTTAGGCAATTTGCTTATTTTGAGCTATGAAGCATTCAATTGTTCGGGCAGATTTCGGCGGTGTTGGAGTGCCAACAAGCGACGGGCCCTCTGTATGATTGTTTTACTAACTATGTGCGTTCACTTATGCGTTTCTGTATTGTTGAATGCTCTGGAACGTTAATATCTAGATTCTTGGGTACTTTGTCGTCATTATTGCATCTTTTCACCGTCTGGGAGTGGTGACTGTAACTAGGTGGTATATTCGGCTGACATCTTTCTCGAGGCTCTCTTCGCTATTATGAGATCAGGTTCCAACTGCAGTGTGCTCATGCACTTAAGTAGAATAGGTTCGTATCTATGATTCACAGTCATCTTTTCTTTCGATAAGAATGTACAGATCGCTGAGGTAGAAGTAGGTCGTTTGCATTGGAGGAGCGGATGTTGCGCGGCATCTGTCAGAAGGAATGATCAAGCCAACAAAGCGATTAAGAACTCCTAAAAGTTCTCTGAACTCAAGATCTAGGCCATTGACAATGTGTCTCTGGGAAAGGGCAATTCGGTTTACTCTGAGTATGTCTCCCGCAGCTTCAAGCACAGAAATATTTCATTGTCATTCCTGATATCAACGTTTAACTCCACCCGAAATTTGCATCAGACTCCAATTTTACACATCTCATATCACCCCTATGTATCTGCTCCATCCTTCACACCGCCCTTCAAGTCCAGATCCCCAATGATGGGCTTCAAAATATCCGGCAATATCGTACTCGCATCTCCCTCAAACAAGAAGTCTCCCTTTCTTAACCCACTCGCAGCCCCTAGCTCCTCAGAATCCATATTAATCACCACAATTCTCGCTCCCGCCTGCCTAGCTTCCTCGACATATCCCGCGGCAGGGTGTACTGTGGCAGTGGTACCAATCACAAGACAGAGATCAACGCGCTTCTCTGCAATCCAAGTATCAATCTCCTCGATGGTATCTTCGGGAAGTGCTTCGCCGAACCAGACTACTCCAGGACGGAGCAGACCTGTCTTGCATTCTGGGCACTTGGGGAGGTCGTCAACCGGGATAGTGGGTGGGGTTTCTGGATCCACCTGAGCAATGCGGGTAGACATTGTGTTGCTTGATGCTGCGAGGCGGTCGTCATCGCCAGACTTGATGTCAAGACTCGGGTGGAATGGATCGTCAAAGTTGTTTAATTCAATGCGAGAGCATTTAAAGCATTTGATATCGAAGAGGGAGCCATGGAGGAGCTTGAGTTGTTCTCGCGGATGGTTTGCTCTTTGAGAGAGGCCTATACGTCAATAAGGTGGAATTAGCATTGCCTGATATAGCAGATTTTAGGAATCAGAACAAAGTCCCATGGCGGGTGAGATCATAGCTTAGGGGTAGACTTCAGAAGGTTCCTGAAATAATCAGGATTATGATATATGCTCCTTGAGAAGATAGGATAATTGCCTAAGATTGTGTCGGGTATTTAGAGGGCCGAAACAAAGGAGAGTAATAGGAGAACATGACAAGAAAACGAAGCCAATTAGGTGATGTCCCTTATTTCGAGATGGATCATGAATAAAAAAGCAACATACCATCAACATTCTGCGTCAAGGTAATGAACTCGGGCAGCTTCTTCGATAGCTCAGTTAAAGCATAATGACCCGCATTCGGCTTTGCCTGCAGCGCCATATGCCTCCTGTAAGAATAGAAAAGCCTGGACCAGATCAAGAGTCAGCAATATAATCCATCGATATATTGAAAAGGTGACAAGTAACGGAATTTACCAGACAAGCCCAGGGTCCTTCTTGAACGCCTGTGGGGTAGCTAAACTGGTCGCCTGGTAGTTACGCCAGAGGCCTCCTGCACCTCTGAAAGTACCCAGTCCACTCGCTGCACTCAATCCAGCACCACAGAGCGCCATAATTCGCGTTGATTTCTCCAGCACCTTGTGGAAATCCTCGATCGAGGTGCTGGCTTTAGAGACGGATGGCATTTGCTTCATAGGCGGCACGGAGTCGATAGGAAAGAATTTAGGTTGAGAGGAAGACATTGTGAGGTTGCGGATTCGGATATGCTTAGGGGTAAAAAAGAATTTGATTTTGAAGGGGTAGAGCATAGAGTTCTACATGAGTGTGCTATGATTTGCTCCTTCTGTGTCACGCCGAATGAATGGAAGGTAGACAACAGACACGTGACATGCCTCGATCAGCCTCGGTGCTTATTTTCGACAAATGTCTCCGTGGAATTTAACAAGTGAGAACTGTCAGTGGGGCCAAAGTTGAAATTTCAGCTGTGCTATCTCTATTGATCAACCCTCATAAGTCGCGTTCTGACACGATGGAAGAAGCTAAAAGCGGATTTGTTCATTGATTTATGCATTCGGTTTTATCATCAACTTTCTTCTTTTAAATGTGGGCGCTGGCAACGAATTCTATAAATTGGGATGACTTTTTGAAATGCGTCTATCTACCTCAGCAGCAGGCTTCAACCTATTGCTTAGAATACAAGGATATCATCCATGTCATGCAAGTCGTTTTCTTTTAGCCCACTACGCTGCTACCTTGATCAAAGAGTTACTTTGCAGATAAGCTCAGTTTGCTCATTTATGCGTTCGCCGCAGCAACATCCTCTGCTGAAATCAATTTTGTGATCTTACCAATTGCAATCGTTTGTCCCTGCTCAATGTTAGCTGTGATCTAAGAACATGAGAATAATCAATCCTTACCTGGTCTCTAAGAGTAAATCGTCCTAACTGCGGATAGTCCTCGAACTTTTCCACACATACAGACCCTGCGCCACCAATCACTTCCATTCGTGCGATAATGCTGTCACCCTTCTTAGCATGCGATGGTGGCACCTTGCTCTTTCTATTTGTTCCCTTTTGCAACTTGTGAAGCAATGCGCCGAACGTAACCTCTTCAATAGCCGAGTGAACGTGCATAACACAGTTAAAGCCGGCAGACAAGATGGTCTTCAATTCCAGAACCCGGATCTGGGCTTCAAAAGCGACAACGCAGTGTACGAGACGCTTCGGTGAACATAGAACGAACCCTGGAAGGATGTCTTCTTCTTCGATTCCACGCAATCGTAATCGCACTTGGTCTCCACATTGTGCAGCATTGGTTTCTTCCTCAGTCTCTCCGTAAACAGTGGCCACGTCAACCTTGTCCCTATTCGGCATCATAATCAAAGACATTTGCTTCTTGACAACGCCTGACTCGATCTTGCCTTCCACCAAGGTACCCATATCTCGGTACTTGCCGTTGATTGGCATCATGAATGGGGCGTTGACCTTGCGTTCGAGTGTCTTCATGTTGTCTAGGTATTCGAGCAAAGAAGGCCCGTCATAATAAGGTGCCACACCTTTGGGGATCCGATCCTTGATACCCATGCTTTGTTGAGCGGCAATCGGCATGAAGAAAACGTCTGTCTTTAGGTTGTATCCAGTTGCCTTCAGGAATTGGGCGAGTTTCGTTGTGCACTCGGTATATCTCTTCTCAGACCACTCGACCGTTGGATCATCCATCTTGTTAATGACCACAATCAGCTTGTTGACGCCTTGCGTCTTTGCCAACATAGCATGCTCTCGGGTTTGTCCTCCCTTCTCGAATCCAGTCTCGTACTCTCCTTTTCGGGCACTGATGACCAAAATACCAACATCGGCTTGTGAAGCACCACCAATCATACTTGGCACATATGTCTTGTGTCCAGGGGCATCCAAAATACTGTATCTGCGCTTTTCTGTCTCGAAGAAGCCTCGTCCTACTTCGACTGTTTTCCCTTTTGATCGCTCTTCCTTGGTCAGATCCAAAGCCCATGATAGATACCATGTCTCACGACCCATTTCTTTAGCCTCCTTTTTGTTCTTTTCCATGGTTCGCTCATCCACCATTCCCGTAGCGTATAGAATCGAACCACCCAGTGTCGATTTACCGGCATCGACGTGACCGATGAAAATGATGTTGACGTGCTCCTTGCCGTAGATTTCCTTCAGGGTCTCCTCATCTACATCCGCCGCCTGTTCTTTCTCAACCGCGTCCACTTCACGAGCCGCTGCTTTGGCAGTAGCCCTGGAGGGACTAGATCGACCAGAGGAAGGGGTGGGTGAAGTGTTTCCGGATGCTTTTGCGCTTTCTCCATCCTTCTTGTCCGTTTTCTCGATCGCCTTGGCCGCGGTAACTTTCGCTCCTTCTACAGCGGTTGGAGGTGTTTCCTTCTTCGCTACTGGTGTGCCTATTGAGAGAATCTTGGCTTTAGGCTTCGGCGCATCTCCTCCGATACTCAGCACCTTTGGCGCTCCATCCTTTACCGTCACCGGCTTGTTTAAGTCCCCTGACGAGCCATCTGCTGGTCGCTTCGCAATTGTTGGGGTTTGTCGCGGAGCTTGTTGTGCAGGAGCAGGCGCTGCTTGTGGCTGTTGAGAATAGCCAGCGTATTGTTGTTGTGCTACAAAATCAGGCTAGTTAGATCTGGGTGGGTAAATGGCAAACAGAAATAGAAGATTTCGTGTATACGAATGTGTCTGAGTACTCACAATAGCCTTGATTGAAGCCAGCTTGGTTGTTGTAGCCTTGGTTGTAGCCTCCTTGATATTGATTGTAACCGGTTTGCTGGGCGCCATATTGGTTGTAGCCATAGCCCTGGCCCTGGCCTTGGGCCCCTTGATTGTTGTAGTAGTTTTGATTATATCCTCCGGCTGCGCCTGCGCCCCCACCGTATTGTGGGAAGTTCTGTGCAGGCTGGAATGATTGTGCGCCTGGCTGGAAAGTGTTTGCATTTGCAGCGGCCGGTCGGAAGCCCCCTCCTTGCCCTTGCTGGGGATTCGCATTGTTGAGGTTCATCTGCTGTGTCTGCCGAGACAGATTGTCGTCTTGGGCGGCGGGGTCATCTTCCCAAGAGTTGAGGTCCGACATGGCGTATGTGTGTCCGGAGGACTCTGACAGTCGTGGAACAAGATTCGGTAACTTAATCGAAATATCGCAAGCTTAAAAGTACCGTATAGTGCAATGTAGCGTGGAGTGTAATGTGTAGTATGGAGTTGTATGTCGAGTGTGGAAAGTTCGGTGTGGGGCAGACTTTTAAAGATAATCGAGGGGCCGCTGCCGTTCTTTCGTGGCTGGTGCGGGTGAGTGGCCTGCCTGTACCCTACTGTTACGTCACTTCAAACAATATAAGGAGATTTACAAAATAGCTTCCAAGAAGAGCCAAGAGGAGCCAAATAGTAGCCAAAACTGCGGTATTATTCCTCGTATTTACAGTAATACTGGGTGTGATGTGAGTCGACTGTGACTGTGAACGGAGGTAGCAGAAAAAGAATGGCGGTCCATCATTGGCTACCTAAGTACGCTCCCGCTTCTCGTGACTCCTATTCGCGTAGCAGCATTGCTTCAACTAACGCGCTTTCAAGTCAATACAGCATCGGGCATCGAATTCATCGAATCATCTTTCTCCTCTATATCTGAACCTAGACTTTCTCTGCCACGAAAGATGAAGTAGATACTTCTCTGACTCCATCATCAACCATGGATGTTCTCCTGGGCAAGGTATGTCTAAGAATCACGTGCCAGAGAAAATTATTTTGTTGACCTATCCCAGATCACCCAGCATGCCATGAATTATGCCATCCGGTACCTTGCTCTGTTTCTTCAAGATTTTCATGGCATATTTCTGATCCAAGTCTAGGTCTGGAATTGGAATAACCGCATCTTTCGCTATTGGCCAAACCTCGAGGTTGCTCAAGGTGGGATCAACTCCCAGATTCGTTTAGATAACTACAGCTAACTCCTTCTGGTAGACCGTTGACGACAATGGTGTCTACCAAGAGCTCCGGGATTTGCAAGAGCGCCTTAATAGCAAAATTAGAGTAAGTTTCTCTCAGGTCAAAAAAACCGAATACCACATCAAAGCGTTGTGTTTGCACCATCAAGTTGAGCTAGACTTCGCTAATATTCTAAAAAGATCATCTCTCCTGCTATTGACATGATAGAACTCATGTAAGTAGCCAAACTTAGCTCTTATTCGGTGTTAGTGTCAGGCTGACCTGAACAGTTCGGCAAGAGGAAATACGACATTAGAGTCAGCAGTTACACTAACAAAATCACTTCGCTGGGATATTCAGTCTCTTGGTATTCGACTCGAAAAAGCCGCTGCCGCCGAGGAAACATCACGCAAAAACCGCAACAAGGCCAAAACTCGAGCCTCGCATGAACTTGAGATCCGTCATATTATCCAAGACATCAAGAAGCTTCTCACTCGCTTCGAGGATGCAGTGCCACTCATTAACCTAGCTATCACCACATCGGGTGCCAATTTGTCAACTACGCTCCCAGCTTCCGTATCTCCTTCCAGATTATTACAAGCCAGCACGCTCCTTACTGCTGGCGACACGCAATATAGGATAAATTCAGGGTCTCCCACACAGGTCGGATCAGCCTTCACGTTATCACTGTACATGCTGTTCGCTGGTCATGCATTCCGAGCACAGGAAGATTCTGAAAGTACTAGGGAGACTACGTGGAAAGAAGTCATTCATAAGGCGAGAGTAAAGCTTATGCGTGTGCCTCTGAATTACACCGGTCACTCCAACAAGTCACCAGCTGAGCACAAAGCAGAAGAATCATCGACAATTTCGGGTGAAGGAAAAGCGATGGAATTTGCCTATCATATCGAGATTATTGAGGATCTAGACGATGATCGAGTCCATTCCTTTGAAGATGATGAAACCCAACCAGGGCCATACGGTGATGTTCTACTCGCAGGCATCCGAGAGACCCTACCAATTCATCAAATATCAAAGATCTTCTACGCAGACACGGGCAAGATCTTAAATATCGGCAGTCAAGGCGAAACTAACAACCCGGTACTGCTACTCAAGCGAGATATTAATGCCCTCCCACCACGGAGAATGATGGAAGAGAACGAGAAGCGGGCTGAATGGTATGAGGATCCAGAAGAGCTCGGGACCCCGGAGGACAAAGACGATTCGCAGGACGATATCGATCAGCAAATTCGACGCGAGAGCTGTGTTGTTCTCCCACTGCAGGAGCCTGATCAGCCGGCTCAGGATAATACCACATGGTGTTTCCCACCTGACCTTGATCCCGAGTGGTTGGCTCTTGAAGTCTACATGGAAGAACCAGATAGTAGCTCCGAAGATGACCAAGAACCAACGGACGACTCTGCGTACGCCTCCCACCGACCCAGCTCATCGAGCGAAGAGCCCAACCCCAGCAGCGAAGACCTCGCCGCCGGCCTTGCAGGCCTTGATCTCTCGTCAAAATCACCATCTCCTTCCCCAGCTCAGCTTATCAACACTCCATCTCCCCCACAAATGACTCCCAAACCCAGATTATCCTCAAATGTACCTCATTTTCCCTACGGCCAAATGCGCTCATCCCTCTCGCTTCTCGAAATGCTGATCCGCCTCACCGCCCTCCAGCAATTTCAACAAGCCTCCCACCTCACCATCTCCGACGAATTCCTCACTTTCTTCCTTGAAGAATCAAGCACCACAGGCGCGGGTGGCGATGCCGACAACAGGCGCCGCACACGACGGGAAGCGAGACGCAAGGTGGGGTTCGATCCGTATGATGAGAGTCCAGTGAAGAGACATGGCGAGGAATATCAGTATGAGCAAAGAGAGGGCTACGAACGTGGTGGTACGCCTTTCACGGAGTACGACCGGTACGATGGTGGTGGATATCACGGTTATGGTCCTGCTTCCCCCTCGCCACGAGGGACGCCCGAACCGTGGCTGTTGAGGGGCTGCGATGTGTCGTCTAGTCCTAGGCCGAGGAGGAGCACTTCTGACATTCCGCCTTCGTCGCCAATGAGCCCTTACCGGTAAGCCATGAATTGCCAATCATATATGACTTGGGAAGCTGACTTTATACGTTTACAGGCCTGTGAGGAGCTCTACACGACCGCTGCCGGTGCAGAGAGTGAAGAACACTATGAATCCGAGCAAAGGTAGCCCGTTAGGGAGAGGTGTGAGTGTCGAGACTGACTCTACGCTCGGGACGAGCCCGGGTAGTCCGGTGTTGGGGACCAGAGGAGCGAAAGGTGAGAAGAACTAAAGATGTGTTTTCAGAAATTGCTAGACCTATAGAATGATACCCTAGTTTTCAGCTTGTAGATTTCAAGCTTTACTATGTACAGTATTCACTCTGTTTGAGGCAAAATTGGTACGAAAGTGATCACGAGGAATGAATTAAAGTACTTTCGTACTCAACTTTTCTAAACCCAAGGTAATGATACTACAGATCCCTGACAACGCTTAATGCTGCATGATAAATGTGGGGTATCTCCATTGCTTCCATAACGCCATGAGTGTTGAGAAATTATTAGTCCCATTCGCCCATAGCAAATGCACCAAAACGTTCCATCTAATCAGAATCATAGTCCACCAAACCAGCTCCAGTAGTCTGTTCTGGAGTGCCTTCAATTTTAGGTTGCTTCCTCTTCACACCAGCCAACACGAACTTTCCGGTCGACTTCTCTGATGCTTTCGTGCCAGTGAGGAACGGATCCATCACTGCTCTGGTGTTTCCTCTTATCTCAGCCACAATATCAGCTTTTCTCTGCTTCGCAACGTGCTCGGCCTTTAGTTTCCCTCTGAGCTTCGAGCCTTTGGACTTCTTTGGGGGACTTTCCTCTTTCCCAAACAGAGGCTTAGATATCGCTTTGGTCATTGCTTTCTCTGCATTCGACTCACCGTACTCGATGAACCTGGCCCGGTTTGTATCATCTGCATGTTCGGGAAGCAGATCAAGACCAAGACTCATCTTATCTTGCAACGCTGCCGTAACACCAGCTTCCTTTTCCCTCAAGTGTCTTCCTTCCCGGAAAGCCTTTCTCAATTTCTTGTTCCTTTCGTACGGATCGTCCCATTGCTTCTCGGAGAGCTCTTCTAATTCTTCCAGTCGTCTCTTGCTGTGTTGCAACCGCTTTTTGTCCTCTACTTTGCCTTCCAGAGAAGCGAACGCATTGTCCCTTATTGTTTCCCTCTCTTCCTGCGTCATGATCTTGATATCACCTTCCTCCACCTTGTCATCCCCCAGATCTCGCTTCCTCGCACCCTCTGTAACCACATATGCCGTATTTTTAGGATCCGTTCGAATCTCAATCACCCCGCCGCAGGCAATATGTTTCATCCGGAAGCTGTAGATGGGAGATGAAAAGTAATTCCCAACTTTTTTCTTCTCGGCATTGAATCGTACACCTTGCCCTATGATGGTAGGCTTTGGACAGTGTATACACCATATTGGGTAGGGCATTTCGAATCGTACGGTGAGGATGCCTTGGGAGATCTTATTTGCGCGGGCGCCCAGGGCATGCTTCCCATGGAGTTTGTTCCCACTGATCAATCCTTCCTGATCAGGGGGAACATAACGACCCATATTAAAGCCCTGCATTTTGAACTTTTGTTTGTTGAGGTGACTGGTCGTCAGATTTCAAGATAGAGGTGTTGGAGGTTTGGATTGGATTGGATTAGGAAGGGAAGGGATGGGAGCGGCCGCGTCGCTTACTAATAAGGTTATGTTATCTCGAACTCCTCCACTTGTGCTACTCAACTCCACTTCACCCCTCAGCCCTTCACTTCTCAATACTTTCAACAGAACATACCTATACACCGCCGACTTCTTCACAGTCTATTACATTACATTCGAATCTCCTTTTCATTTGCTGAACTGGTGAGCCGTTGAAAAGCAGGTAGCAGCGATCTGTAGTCACAGCCACAATGAGTGAAATCGCCGCCCTCCAAAATGAGATCAAGGAATACAAACTACAGGTTCGAAACCTTCCCTCCCTGATACCTCGCAAGATCAGTGCTGACATTGATATTGGAACAGTTGGAGACGGTAGACTTGGGTCTTCAAGCAGACCCGGATAGCGCAGAGCTTCAGGAATTAAAGACTGAACTCGAACAAGTCATTTCCCTCACTGAAGCTTCGATCGCAGAACTAAAGCCACCTTCAGTGCCAGCTACTGTATCCAAGAATTCATCAGAACCCGTTGTGAAGGAGAAATGGTCGCGAGAGAATCACCCTGCATTTAAGAAATCGACGGCGACACCCGCAGCCGAGGAAGCAGAAGCCCCGACAAGCTTTTCCGTCAACGATATGGTATTAGCGAAGTGGCATTCTGGGGACAAGGGTTTCTATCCAGCGCGGATTACCTCCATAACCGGATCATCAACTTCCCCGGTATATATCGTCAAGTTCAAGAGCTACGACACCACCGAGACGCTTCGGGCCAAGGATATTAAGCCCATAGTTAATTCCAATAAGCGCAAAGCTGATGGAACCCCAGTCGTAGCCTCGATACCCTCCCCAACCCTCAACTCGAATGTAATTTCTGCCGCCGCAGATATCAACCCAGAACTTGCGCAACAAACCAAGCGTGAGCCAAGTAAGGTCAGTGATGGTCCCGTTCGGCCTGCCAAATTACCCAAGAAAATCAAAGCAAATAAAGAATTGGAAGCTGGCAAAAATAAGTGGCAGGACTTTGCGGCGAAGGGAAAGTTTGGGAAAACTGCAAAGAAAGATAGCATGTTCCGCACACCGGAAGGTGTTCACGGCAGAGGTGAGCTTCCTCATCTCCTCGAAATGTATCATGCTAACAGACTGCAGTGGGGTTCACGGGGTCCGGACAAACCATGCGCAGGGACGAAAAGCGAAGTCGTCACATATACCAGACGAATGGAGAGGAGGAGTTTTAGTTGAGGAGTGAAGTTTGAGGCTGACAGAGCGGAACTCTGCAAGTATTTGGCGTTATGAATCAAGTCTACCTTCTCAGCGTTTCATTCCATTTGAGCATCATTTTGATGGAGGCTAACGTGGGGCCTGCATTCAACCCTAGTATAAGCGCTTCTATCAATGTCAGAAATGAACGTATTCCCTACTCCCAATTTTGTGCGTATGAATTCGAGCTAAATATGGTATTTTCCCTTAGGAGCAACGGTCTGATTCTGACTTGCTAGCGTAGCAATTGGCATGTATGACAAAAAAATCTCTCGTGCAAACGAGCAATTATCGGACAGTGCAAGAGAAGGCACTTCTTAGCACTGGGTTACTGCTTTCAATGTCACCGCATCTTCAAATTGCAGCCAGTAAAGAAATCATACTTTTGTTATTATTTACGTGTGATCATTATGGCGTGAATACAAGTGTTGTAACGCTGTATTATCAGAGCCCAAAATCAACCGAACAAAACACCCCTATCAAGTCCCAAAATATTAACAGCCGAGCCAATTGACTGCTGACGAAAAATCGGTGCAAAATTACAATGGACAAACGTGAATTCCAGCTCACAATGCCCATAACCAAAACTTGTCACATTAAATCCGCTACCGGGTCACCGAGAATTCAGTCGTCCTAAAGATCCCCCCAGGGTCTTTCCAATCTCTTGAATCTCGCCCTCTCTGGACATATGCCCTATGCGGCCCTTGTAGTCGAGACATCACACCATCCTCACCACCTACGCCATCCTCAATAGCTTTTCCAAGCCTCGCTGGTGGGCTACTGCTCGCCACGCTGTCATGTCCATGGTGGTTACTCCCATCGCCAAACATGCCGTTTCCGCCGCTAGTTCCAACACTGTGATCTTCGTCTACGGTGCCATTGAAGGTAGACCTCGAAGGCATAGATAGAAGTTCCTTGTCATCCTGCTGTGGCAAGTATCGATGGCGTGCCCCTCCAACTTTGGTGCGGTCGGTATCGGAATACTTGAGAATTGACCGGTTCTTGATTAGAGTGGCGAAAAGTGGACGCAGGGTTGGGAGACATGCTGCAAGAATCCCGGCGTTAATCTCGATACTGTTGTAGCATTAGTCGGGTACAGATATTGTCGGTTTAGATGGCCACACTCACAAGCTCCATACATTGAAAGTATCATCACTTGCAACTACGTTAGCTCGATATCTGCGCTTAAGCCAAGAAGAGGGGGGCACTAACAACTGGTTGTCCGTGTTGGCGAAGAAGCTTGATAGGTAATACTCTTTGACAATTGACGCAGCGCAAGCACTATCTAGCGTTAGCTTGATTTAGAACCTCGAGAATGGACAACACCTACAAATAACCAAGACTCAATATGAAAATCAGTGAGATCTTGGTTCGCAGGTTGATTTGCAGAGGTACTATTACTGGTATAGGTAGAGAGGCGAAGACAAAGTCGGTGAACAGGTTTATAGCTAGAATATTTTAGCGGCCAAGCCTTGCGGGGGTAAGACCATGGTCAGTATCTTACCCCCATTGAATAGCCCTATACTCCGGAAAACGTTTGGGCTATAGCACTTTGTCTTTGGGTTTGCTTTCAAATCAAAGTTCCACGCTGCTTCGACTGGGAGGCATTGGAATATCCTAAAAAGTGCGGATCAGTGTTGCGGTCGATTCCTGAAGGGAGTTGGGTGGAAAGACTTACAGTGTACAGACGCAAGCGAAAGTGAAAGCGAGTAGGAAAGCCATCCACCCTATGATGCACCGCTGTGGAAACGTTAGAATTCAGCATGGATCGTTGCCAAGATGAACTTGCTCTGTACAATTTTCCTTGGATCAGTCTAAGCAAGAAAATCCCCACAGAGAGTTTCACGCAAGTAATACCAATGATGAGAATCCATGCATGGTGATAAGACCAATGGACAATTTGACCGTAGTTCATCATAAGGTGTGGATTTCCGAAATGTTCTCCGACTCCAAGTTGTACTTCGAGGACGACAAAGGTCAAAACGGCCACTGAACAGACCTATCACCAGTCAACCCACAGTCTAGAAAATAGCATCGATTCATACCATCGCTACAAGCATAACGTAATCATCAGCACCCATCATCTTTAACATGAATATCCTCACGTAGACTCGGAGAATCACCGCAGTACAGGCAAAAGCTGTAAAGAAGCTAGTGATGCCCAGTATTCTCGCTCCATGACTGTCAGTTGAGACTGGTCCTGAGCCGACTGGCGCTGAACTTTGTCTTGACAAGAACATGATGTCCAAAGTGCAATTGTCTTCACCGGATTTCCCAGCAATTCGTCCTCATGGAGGTTATCACAGACAACGAATGGCCTTGTCGAACTTGTTGCTTCTATATTGCTCAGACCAGTCATATGCAGGTCAATCAATATGCGGGAGATATAGATGATCAGAAATAGGCGAGAAAAATCCGGGAATTTAAACAAATGCTACGGTGTTGTGGGCACCATCTTCCTTATGTATCTAATCCATGTGCCTGTTCTTGGATCGAGTGGCGGCCGGCCGTTGTTCACACACAGAGCATTTCGTATATTGACAGCATGTGTTTGAAGTTCCGGCCATGCTTTTTCATCGCCAGGTAACAAGATCTTCACAAAGTCCAAAAAAAAAGTCAGCCCGATTGGATTGTTGTAATACGTACATGGTTCTCATATGCACTTTCCCGCTCTGAATCTCAGGACTCGGACACTACCTGCATCATGAGATATATTAATGACCATTATATAAAAGACGGGACGGAGCGACATAAGCTAGAGTCTTATCCTTTTTCTTGTTCTGGTAATACAGGGACCGGTAATAATCTCTCGCCAGGTGATACAAAAAATGCCCAAAGCAGGCATTATGGTCGAAGCAGGGATCGAGAAAATCGTCAACCTGATTTTAAAGTCTCCCCGACTCTAATCGGGAGGTTCGGACCGGCAGTTATCAAACTGTTGGGGTGCAGAGAAAGCAAACACTGCGGATCATCGCACACTAAGTAATAAAGAGGAGCTATGCTGGTTATGTTTTTTATAGAGTAAAGAAAAGGACAAGCAGAGACATAACATCACAGAAGGCAAGATACAAGTTTCCTGTATGTGCTGAGCTTTGGATGGGCCAGACTTGTTGTCATGAGGGTGCAAGTGCGGGTTAGTACGGGTGGAAGTACTAGGTATGATTACAAGTTGGGCAGTTACCGGTACGTAAAGAGACAATCTAAAAATCCTTGCAGTACTCTGCTATCAGTGCACATAGAATGAGATGTGCATGGATATTCTTGTAGATTGAATCTATTTCAAACTGGGCGGAAGCAGTGTTGCAACGACAGTCGTTCAATTATGCAGTCGTGGAGTTGTAGAGTGAAGTGAAGTGATACACTTACACTACGAGTACAGTACTCGGTAGCGATGCGATGCGAGACAAGGATCCAGCAGTACCCTTCACGTGCTTTAAGCACCTGACGGAACACAAGATTGTTTTCTTATTTCCCTCCTTTCCCCGCCATCAACATCGACATCATATCATGCCACTTCTTAAATATCCTATTATAATTTACATGTTAGGTTGCGTTGTGGTCAATGCTCACAGCACGCTCAGCTCAAGGTCTCTGCAGCTCGAAAATATCTCATAGATATGAGCACCCTCCAACTTTGAAGTCTGCAGAGCCCAGTTAGTAGACGATTGTCCAAATCTGGCAAGTTAGTGCTTCCCGAAGCAGTTTCGGAAGCAATTGCTGCGTGCTTTTCTAACCTGATTTGATAATGTACCCACGTGAACTGTGGGGCACTCTCTGTACTTTCGAGGTAGTACCTCAGATGCTCCTTCCTACACGTTTGAAGATCTGTTCTACAGTAAGTGGAAAAGTCTTTCAAAGCTGGAATTGAAACTGGGTACTCGAATGCGTTGAGCTGGCGACCCACATGCTGCTCCATGGCAATGGCCATAGCATTAGCGGCAATGTGGTCTATCTACACACGTGCGGGTGTGCCAATGCTCCTTCCAGTATTGTAGTACCAGCAGTCCACTAGCCAGTTACGTCTCTGAAAGTTATATCGGCGGCTGTGTCATCACGCTCAAGGAAGTGTATTCCGAATTTAAATTTCCATGTTTAGACATCTTTGCTGTTTCCTCTCTGGATTTGAGTTGAACGATGCTTCATTCAAACCTGTTACTTCTCTGCTTATGTATAGCTATGGTATCTCTTTCTTGACGAATTGTAGATTCTGGAGGTTCCATAGCATTGCCAGTGACTCTTTTCCATCCCAGAAATCCCCCTAAACCCGACCATCTACAAAAAGCGAGGGTCTAGCTTGCGTCACATTAGCCTTGTTGATCTGTAGCATTGACCTTCTCAAACATGTGGGGAAAGAAATGACCCCGCCAAATGCGGGGTACATCGCAGCATTCCATTCCCTAAGTCCAAGCCTTGAATCCTCACCAATTTGCGATATTCCCCGGTTTTTGGTCACATATATATATGCATGTATGCTCAGTTACTAGCATGGAGTTAGTAGCATGGAACGAGTTGTTGGAAATGGAGGTCCATGTAACAACCGGCGTACGTATAGGGCTGTGAACCGATAAATGGAATAACGGAGTCTGACGCTCCGTTTCTCATATCCTTGACCGTTTTTCACATTTCTTTGCCGGATCATAATAGAGAAGTTTTGATTGGAGTTGGTCGCACAAAAGACTGAAAGTTTCTGCTTTTTGGCTCCTGTTGTGGACATGATGTAACACAATTGAACCCCGTTTCGAGGTGGAACAATTTTGCCGTTATAGTATCCTCGCTACTATACCTAGTCCTCTTAACTCGCAGGGCATATACTGTCATTCCTGTGTTTCCTGGAGAAACAAAAGTGGCGTACTAGAGAGCCAACCAGTCGGCATCAATAGCGAAATTGAGGATCCGGGATACCTGTTTCCCTTTTCTCCGGCTTTTCCAGACTCCAAAATCTAGATTTACTAGATCAAGAGAGCAACGGATGCCTTCAAATGAACCTGGTATACGTTCGCTAGTCGTAATGATAGCTGAGGGTTGAACGGTTTGTTCAAAGTTCTGACTCGCGTGGACATGGAAAGCCTTTGTCGGACTGGCTGCGCAAGGGATCATGATCATTCGATGCTGTCCGTTTGATTCCTCTCCCTTTGTGTTTTCCTTAGATGTTTGCAGTATAGATTCTTGTGCTCTACTGTTTAATGGTGTTCTTTTCGTATGGCACACAACCCATAGATTGATTGAGAAATCATCTATTATCCTACATCTCCGTTTGTAAGAACATTTTCATGCTTCCTGTACCATATTCCATATTTCCAAGGAGCAGCTCTCATAGCTTCCGTATCGTTTTCACCCTCCGAAACCCTAGTAGTCTCTCATCAAAAGTCACCCTAGAGCGATGTCAACGTAAGAACAGCCGAGTCTCAGCAATTCATTCTGCTCTTTCCTATATATATTTTGCGTTCCGGTGTTGCTTAAACTCTTGTAGTGTTTTACGGTCTTCTCCATGGCAAGTGTCTACCTCGCGGTAGATAGAAAAAGCGGCACTAATTTTATAATGGTTTAGCTACGTATACCTGGGATAGCAAAAGTCAGAAGTCCAACTTTTATATATAGGAAGAGGAAGCATCATAGATGGTTTGAGGATTATTAATTGGTGGGCCTTTCATGTTCTAGCCGTAACATACTATAGGGGTTGATAGAATGATCTCTTTGCTGCTATCACCCCACAATGCGGGCCGCGTGCGCGTGGCCCCACCGGCACCGCAACGCGGATGACTCTTACCTGGACCTAAGAATACTTTCTCCTTAACCTTTTCAATTTTAACTGACATCCGTTACAATCAGTACAATAAAACATGGCGAGAGTCGTAATGCAGTCTGATCGACTGATGCTAGAACTCCTCAATCTAGACGCGCATTTGGTCGGGTTTCATAACCTAATGAGTGATGAAAAGAGCATGAAATGGCTGTAAGTTGCCGTCCGCATTTTCTCCCCAGAGAGCAAGCATGTTTACAAATCCAAACTCGATGATTATAGCTACTATGCTCATAGAATCCAGGAAAAAAGCCGCATCAGAGAGTCTCGAGGAATCCAAGGCGAAATTGCTAGCTCGTCTGCCTTCTCCAGACAAACCATGGATGGAGCAGTACGCTATATTACTTCGGACTTCTACCCCAAACAAAGCCGGAACACTGATTGGGTTACTTTGCATCCCTCGAGTCTCTTCAGATGGTGAAATTCCTGAGCTCGGTTACGGGCTCCATTCGGACTATTGGGGGCATGGTTATGCCTCGGAAGCGATCGCTTTATTTATCAGCTTCTATTGGGCCGAAGATAGTATTACACCCTATCATACCTGCCCAAGTTATCCTAGTTATTTCCGTTACTCGGCAGATGGACTAGGCTGACAATACAAACTAGGGGAAAACTCAAAAGATAGCTTCGAAGCTTACACTGGACTAGATAACTTGGCAAGCCAGAGGGTCCTAATCAAGGCAGGATTCAGAAGACACGGAGTACTGAAAGGCATCCGTGAGGTTGTAGATGTAAATTCAGGTGAGAAGGTGATGGAGGACGTTATTTGTTGGACTTTGGAACGTCCTAGGAAATGATATAGAATGGGGTGTTGGATTCCCCTCTTGCCATCTGTTGGTCTGTCTGAATGTTTATCCTCAGACTGATACGTGTGATTAAACTTCACTATAAATATCTCACCGCTGCATATAAATTCATGATTCAATGGCCTCGGAAGGGAATTCAGTCTCTTCGGATGGCTACTTGATGCAACCTTCAACTTTCAGTACAACGCTGCAGAATTCAATACGACAGAAACCTTATTTTATCCTTTCAAAACACCATTTCCGCTCCAGTGTTGTAACAGAGAATAATAACCTTTAGCTTTCATAATAGCTCTCGGCTTTAAGCAATTAGACTCATAACGTATTGTTATTTGATTTGTCTTTTCATAGAACAATAAAGAAAGCTTAAACCAAAGCACTTTTGAAAGGATCTTTCTTAGTTCCACTAGCTATAGTTTATACGATAAAACCCAAGGGTCATAAAGTAAATCAGATCTATTTTCCGCTCTTTCCTCCCCCTAATCACCAAACTCCCGTTACCAATCCAGCCTGCAATATCTTTTCCACACTATTATAGGCTCTTCTTTCTCATCTTCATCCAGCGTTTTCAGTTTATTCTGACCATCAGGCCCGAATGTCTTCACTAGTGGTGATTCCTTGAACTCAAAATGAGGCCGTGGGTCAATTTCAAAAGACCAATTCGTGGTTGGTAGCTAAAGCCATACAGGCGTCCTGACTGTCCACCTTGAATATGGTGCATATATGTCTGAGACAAAAATTCCTTCATAGATTGAAACTTTAATGACGACGATAGCCTCATTGTTGCCTACGGATGTCCCAGTGCAGGTTCAATGGCATATGCGAGGGCTGTTAAGGAATGGAGGTACCGAGAAGCAAATCGAGGAAGTGCTGGGACTGAGCGTCAGAGTGGTCAAAGTGTCAGAAATTATGTTGGAAGGTGGAGTTCCCAACTTGAAAGAGGTGATGAAGGAGAGACTATTTTGATTTAACCACTTGTAGGAGCGAGATAAGTGATATTAGTAGTTAAGGCTTAAGTGATGAAGGAAAGATACGTACCATTTTACCTTGCCATAAGGGGCAAAGCGTGACTTTGAGCTAGCGGCCGCTTTTGGTGCTTTAGAAAAAGAATTGTGTTCCAGACCAATAAAAACATCTGCAGTTTGCCATTACGAATAGTGTAAAATATTCCTACCCACAGACATTGTCTCCATGTTGCAATGTTCCCTGAGCATATGCAAGCGTTTTAATCACAGTTTCTCCAGGCCGAGAAACTACGTACCGTCACGCAACTTCACCATCACAATGGATTCTGTTCAGCCTCGAAGTAACGAGAGGAAGAGACCTTTTCAGGGAGGACGGGGCGCAAAGAGGCTGAGAACGCGCAAGGAGAAACCCATCAAGGAGGGATCGAATGATGAGGTCCTACTCGCCGATGTGCGCGCTCTGTTCGCCGCGCAGAAGCTCTCGGAGGTTACCAAAATACCAATCATCGATCCCGCTGTCGATGTTACAGGAAGTGCCAATACGATTTTACCGGAGCAAATCTCAGCTGGGGTCGAGGCTATTCGAACACCTGACGATTCCACATCTGAGGTTCTGCCATCGCCATTCACAGAAATCGAGGTCGAGGTCATCGAGCTATCTTCGACTGGCGACGGGCTTGCGCGACACCACTCTTCGAAACATCTATATGTTGTTCCTTTCACTGCACCTGGGGACGTTGTCAAGGCGAAGGTGATTCGGCATTACGAGGATGAACAGTATTCCCTTGCAGACTTTGTGTCCGTAGTAAAAGCTGGGCCACTTCGCGATGACAGCCGGATCAATTGCAAGTATTTCAGCACTTGCTCAGGATGCCAGTTCCAAATGCTGGACTATACAACGCAATTGAAACACAAACGGACAATAGTTGAAAAGGCATACAAGAACTTTTCACAACTGTCTCCTAACCTGGTTCCAGTCGTCGAGGATACAATCGGGAGCCCCTTACATTACGGTTATCGCACGAAATTGACACCGCATTTCGATGGACCTCCAGGGTTTATCAGTAAGGCAGATAAGAGGAATGGGGTTAGGAAGTATTTCACAGAAGCTCCAAGTATAGGCTTTATGATTAAAGGTCAGAAGAAAACTCTGGATATTGAGGATTGCCCCATCGGCACAGATGCTGTCAGGATGGGCATGAAACGAGAACGAGGCCGGGTTGTTGAAGAATTGGACAAGTACCAGAGGGGAGCGACGATCTTGCTGCGTGAAAGCACGTTGAGGGTACAAAACGACGACGAGAAAGCTTTGGAATCACCTCCCGACACAGTCAAGGTCACAACACCTACTTTTACAGATTTCAAGACATGCATTACAGATAATAAAGCCACCTCAACTGAATACATCGACGACTTTGTCTTCACCAATATTGCTGGTTCATTCTTTCAAAATAACAACTCGATACTGCCGGTCTTCACTCAATACATCAGAGATCACATTCTCCCCCCTTTCAGTGCTGGAGCCCCTGAAATCAAGTATCTGATCGATGCATACTCCGGCTCTGGTCTCTTTACGATTACACTTTCGTCAATGTTCACTTCCTCAACCGGCATTGATATTTCAGTTGCCTCTATTGACTCGGCTCACGAAAATGCCGCACTGAATAAGCTCCCTCCTTCGCGGTGTACTTTCATTGCCGCAGATGCCCCAGAGCTGTTCAAATCTGTGGAGTATCCTACCGACGAAACGGTGGTGGTCATTGATCCACCAAGGAAAGGATGTGACGACAACTTCCTGACCCAATTGTTGAAGTTTGGACCACGGAGGGTGGTGTATGTCTCCTGCAACGTCCATACACAGGCAAGAGATGTTGGCGTCTTAGTAAGGGGGAAGTCTGGGATTAATGCGAGATACAAGATCGAATCTCTCCGTGGGTTTGACTTCTTTCCACAAACCGGACATGTGGAGGGTGTGGCCGTGCTGAGCAGGATTGATAGCGACGATGAAGAGAAACCACCAGCAGGGGAGCTCCGAGACAGCTGAACACAAGACATAACAGAAATGAACAGTCCGAAAAGGAAATATTTAGGCTAGCTCTACTGTAAATGGCTCGGTGGACTTGCTGTATTTGGAAGTATGTTTTCAATATTTTCTATCTTGAGCCAGGAATGGAATCAAGAAGCTCAAGTGAAATAAAAATGCAAATTAAGCAACTTGCATTCGATAGTATGTCGTTCCACCACTCGCTCTTTCACTAGCATGATCTCTGCCTTTCCCGCCCGATCCTTTCATCTCAAGCTAGTTGCTGCCTTGGCCTTTGCCCCTTTCCAAGCCTCTACCCAAACTGGATAGGACCTTCAGCCCAGAACCAATACGGCGCCGAGGGAGAGATGTCCGCGCTCAGACAAGAGTATTTGCAGAAATTACTCTAGATCTCCTTTCGACTAGCACGCCAGTCATATACCACGATAACAGTATTTTGTTCTTCTGTTACCGCCGCCTTTTTCCTGTAATTGAAGTAACAAGTATCCGTAAGAATTGGGCGCCTTTTTCTTGTGGTTCCTAAAATAGACGCTCAACTTGATTTGAACTAAAACAAGGGCTCCCGCGGTAGAAATGTAAATAGAAAGACCTACAGTTTTTGGTGGAATAGCCTTACTAAGTTACTAACATTTCTAACTTAGTTGTCTTCGCCCAAATCTCCGCTATCTTGTTCTTTATGACAACCTGCGGATGTAGTGGCTTTTTTCCAGAGATAGAAAACAGGTATCTAGGATCTATCATACCATGATATTTCAAAGGAACCCGAAAAATAAGGTAAAGCTGGCAGGAACAAGTATTATTTGTTGAGTGCTGGGCTGAATCAAGGTCATGTGCATACCGGTCGGTATATTCACGTGGAAGTCTCAGACTCGGGCAAGGTCTCTTGTGCCACGATGTCTTACAGTAAGACCTTTACGGAAGTACATACCGGGGCGGCACGCGGCGGCGGGCGACGCGGCGGCGGGCGAGGCGATCTGGGGTAGGAGGGATGTGATGTGTTGGGTAGGTAGGGTTCGCACAGCGCCTGGTGGTTCGCTCATCACATGCCAGCGTCACACAACCTGTGTTATCGTCAAAATGGGGGGTCCTCCTTCTATTCGATGCCAGCAAAGAAGTCTCCTCCTATAGTTGCATAACCTCGCACACGTCACATTTTTCATGACGGGAAGTGAGTCAGTATGCAGCAGGAACTATCACTCGGACTGATCATCTATTCGAAGAGATTAGATTGGTGTGTTGATCTATTCGCAGCACTTTACTGCCTGCCTGCTTCGCCCTGGGTCCTGAGCCCAACGTGGTTTTCGCCCCGGGGAAGAAGGCTTCGATAGCCAGTCTTTCCCATTCCTCATCGATGTCTGGGAGCGCGCTCCTCACGACCATAGAAGGACGCCTCGTGCGTGGGAGGTCTTCGGCGCCACTCAAGAACTCCCGGTTGGTTTGATATTTTGCGGCTTTGGAATCAGTGAAGGCTGTTTCTAGAGCGAATATCGGCGCTCAGGTCGTGGGATGGTTCACGCATAGTGGGGGTTGTAGACAACCCCACCAAAGCAAAGACGCCTTGGGCAGACGAAAAACAAACGCACCCAGGCTAGCATCAGAATACTCCGTAATAGTCGCGAGACGAAACCAAACGGGGAGATGTCGGTTTATGTCCAGACTTGTGAACCAGTAGAAAGTGGCATTTGTTTCTTTTAGGATAGGATGGATGGATGGCAAAGGAATCATGAACAAATGGAACGTAACATACTGACTCACTGTCGCCCCGACACATCGGGCTCCTTCATCCTCGGGGATATTGTGTTTTTTTTCTACTTCTCAGCCATGGATTTTGCCGTACTGTATTGTACTGTATTGTATCATTTGAGGTTTTGCTTTTATTCTATAGTAAAAAAAACAAACGACCTTGCAGCAAGCAGAAAGGCGGATGCACGGGAGCGATCGCATCGCGGCAGTACTGTATATAGATTCCGGCTGCACCAGTAGTCGAGCTGGCAAAAGTGTGAAACGGCGGTGAAAACACATAGGAGAGTCTCAGGGTAGACAGAAAAAGCGGCACTCCTTGACAGTATGACGGGCGGAGCAGCCAATAGCAATAATGAGTGCCGCTTTTTCCATCCAGAGCGAGGGCTGCCAGAGAGTGTGCCTCCGGGCAATGTTGATAGGCTGCAAACCACAACTCAAGCCCCCAGCGGTGAAGACACCGCTCTCTCGCCAGCATGAAGACAGGACGTGAATGGTGCGTATGAAATCCTGATCGTTGCGCGAACGGGAGCCTGAAGCCGCATCCAACAGATCTAAGTGGCCGGGTACTCACCTGTTATTGTTGTGCTCGGGGCCAGGTCACCATCTAGAGCTTCCGGTCCCACGCACCCACGCACGCGGAGCCGTGAGCCGTGGGGCCAGACTGTTTGTTAATCAAGTGTCTGTCACCTTCACATATGAATCGTTGAAATATCCCCTTCCTATTGCCACCTTCTCAAGTAATAACAAGAAAACTCTCCTGTTTTGCCTTGAATCCGCCTCTTCGCTCCCACTCCTGAAATCACCCTCCGCAATCTATATATCATTGTGCCTCTTCCTCTGCCTATTATTGGGGCTCAGCGTTGCAGCGTATTCAGACTTACTGTCAGACTTATTGTTACACCTCCCTACTACCACCCTCCATTTCGGTGTCCGTAATATATTAAGCCGGGCCTCAAAACTCGAATTACTCACCTCGAATTACTCACCGACCGCGTCGACAGTCTTATACCCCGCGACGAACCCCATACTTAATCGATTTGAAAGACCTTTTCAAACACGCGGAAAACCCCACCACAAGAGAACGTCAACATGTATTTCTCTATATCGCCTTCGGCGCCATCCACGTCTTACTCCACAGCCTCAGCTATTGATATCCCATCCTCTGGTTCAAGAACGAGTCAGGCCTCGTGTGCTTTCCCTTCTTGGCCACGCCGTTCTTCTCTGTCGAGCAACACGAGCGCAGATGAAGAATATCACAACCACAGTTTCATAATCTCGGATGAGGAACTATTCCCATCTGTATTCGACGACCAAGACTGCACACCTCCCGCGACACCAAGCTCAACCACAAGCCGGTCGCCAGCGTCGCCGATGTGCGAGCAGCAGATTGTCGTAGACCATGGATCGATAATGCGCGATCTGATCGAACAAGAAAAGGCAAAGAGGGAGAAGAGGGAGCGCAAACGACGCCGGAGTGGAAATTCAAAGAAGTCGCGAAGTGTAAGCGGCTCAGATAGACATATGAGTCCGATTCAAGAGGCAGTGGAATGAGGGTGTTGTTGATGTTGCGGGACTTTCATTATCCTGCCCATAGTAAGTCCTACACAACCGAGCAAATCCACCTTGCGCATTATGCTGATTTTCGACTGCAGTTATTTTCTCTATGCAACGATCATTGCATATACAAAATCAAGGAACGAAAGGAGGCTCAAGATGATCCGTCAAGCGATGCTGGTGGAGAAAATATTCCAAATCAACACCAGGTGCGGGAGGGAGAGGCGAGGCGGGCGGCGCGCTCAGGCACAAATGTGATCCGGGCTTTATCCGCCACCCCGAGATTATCTTATCTATCCATCTGGGGAAAGATACATATTGTACAGTACAGCACATAATCATCGCTGAAGAAGAGGCCAGCTGCGAGGCGGGATTATCGACACCTCGTCTTCCTCCACGTGTATTTTCGTCTCGTCTTGTCTCATCTCATCACGTTTCAGAACGCCACACCCACCAACAAAGTTAAGAAAGGCGAAGTGGCACAAGCAGTGCATGGATAATGGTACGGATTGTTTGTTCAGCCTTCCCTGTCGCCACAGCACAGTTGCGACAGCAAGGAACGGCCCTCAGCCGCCGCTATTTATTCAGGGCTAAGTCGGAGCAGGGCAGGGCTAGATAGAAGGAGGGCCATCCATGGGAGGATCATGATCATGTGTATCAGCCTTGATTTTTAAGTCTAAATCAGTCCTCGTACCCCCATCCGTTGCAAATGAAGGGAAGATGTTCATTCGAGGAGGTGTGGTGCTCAAGCAACGGTGGCTGTGTTTCTCATTTTAATAGTTGTTGATAGCGAGAAGAAATTGTTCACATCACATCACATCACAACTTCAATGTCCTATGAAATATAAACTATGCAAGTCGCTCGTGACAAGAGAGTACAAAATGCTATGCCACTACCAAGGGAAGAAAAGTGGACAACCAATGCAAGGCGCGCGGCGCGAAATGTTCAATCCGTGCAGGAGAATACTGTACTACGCCGTGCCCCCACTCGAGAATGCACTAAGAGGAGGTGGGCGCTTACAGTTCGCATGGCTGGTGACGGTGAAGGAGGCATGGGCCATGATTCCTTAAAAGCAGCCAATAGTAATAATAATTAGAAATGAACCGCCGAATAATTCTCAATTGTAACCAATCACACACCAGAACAGTCTTCGTTTCCTACTCGCTGGGGATGCATCCGTAATATCTTCTGAGAAATGAATACGAATAAATGGTCTGGTAAGAAGACGAAACGCCACAGAGTCAACGGAACGTGCTACCTTCGTACAAGCAAAAGAATTACGAGTACCAACCATCCAAACTTTGGGTGTGGTAACAAAGCAGGTACGGATACATCACCTCGGAATTCGACAATAGCCTTGCATTGCAGGTAATATATAATTCGCATTCCCCCCTTCAGCTTCTGTACATCCTACTACTGTTGTGCGCATCCACAATCAGACAGTCTACCCCGCGGCGACCTCTGCTCTGACCAGCAGGAAGGAGCGATCTTCGGGAAGCTGCTGTGCTGTGCCAGCGGGAGCTTGGACGTTGCGGGAGGGAGAACCTTCGATGTCATGCTGCCGATATTAATGCTTGCAACTTAGCAACAACAACTAGACTAAATGTAGATAAAGAGGGTAACGGAAGGAATCCGAGAGGAACACAACTTGAAAGATATCGATCGAAACTCTATCGATTATTGCTGTGATATCCCCCTACATATTCACAATCACATCAGGCCGTAGCGCATGTGATGCGATGCGATGCGATGCAAAAGCGTCAGCGTCCCACGATTAATGTTACTGACAACAATTGGCGACACGGAGTCCATAAATAAGAGGTGATAGAAGTATTATTGACCGGGCACGCTTAACGAGGAGCAAGTTCCAGCGCCACAGTCCCAACCCCTCATTTTCACTTCTGCAAAGGAGCTGTACGGAGTATTTGTTCCCTGACAATAACTTGAAAGTGCAATAAGAATTAGAAGGGGAACGAAAATCCGACGGCTTCAGAGAACGGAACAAGTCGGAACTTTGGGGACGATAGAAGCACAAGAGAATACAAATGGAGTTGTTAAAGTTGAAAATAATAGTACCACTCACGATGCTTTTGTAGACGCTTGCCCATGGTTTAGTACTTTGGAGAACCTTTGTCTAGCATTCGAGATTCAACGGTGAGGTCAAGGGCATCCCTGGCAATAGGTCAATTCGCGCGTCTGATAGGTCGCTGCTGTGATTGCTTGTGCATGCATCCGGTTTTCGTCCAGCCACTCAGCGTTCGGATGTGCCTTTTCAACGTCTGGTGGCGCTAGGAGCTCGATCCCAAGTGTCCAACTTGTGGCCAACCTCCTGCTTCAGGTCCCATCAAATGGGATTCCAGGCATACATCTTTGCCATGTCACGAACCTTCGAAGGCGGAGGAGGGTCTGCTTAGAACAGACCTCCCACAGCCTCGCTCAGAATACCTTACCTGACCGTACCAATGCCGGCCGATCCCAGGCCATCCGGAGCTTCTATGAGTCCGTATTTCTGGACTGCACTGCACTGCACTGCACTGCATTGCACCGCTTCCAATTGTTAACCCACTTTCCCTGAACTGCTTCTGCTGTACTTTATAGCGATTCATCCGTTACTGGATGCCGTCACTGCCACCTTCCCTATTCTTGCCTTGAGATCCGGGTGTGATATCGAATGCATCTATTGCCCATTGAGCTTTCTTGCATTTAAGTTTTGAGCCACGTTGACATGGTTCTTCATGGCCCCTCCATGCTAAAAAGCTCCACGTCTCCAGGGTCTCTTAAGCGGTATGCAGTGGCCACTCTCATCCTGGCTCCTCGAGTTCTTACTCGGTGCACCAGAGATGAGCCGGACCGCATCCGCATCAGATCCTATGGCTCGGTTGGACATGCGAATCTAATTGTGTCTTCGGATCATCCACTGACAGCTCGAGTCACCTCATATTAGCCGCTCTGTTGCTCCAACGCTCTCAGACTTGATGGAAGCAAAGCCACATACGTTCCCTATGGACCAGTTCTCAGGTTTTATCTCTCCAAGCGTGCGGGATCTTCATTTGGACCCCTTAGCCCCCGATTACAAGCGCCAAAAGTACCATTCATTGTCTTTGCATCCCGTGGGTCCAGACGCCCACGAGGCGATAGCCGTACCCGTACGAGTCCTTGGGCATCTGTCTCATAGCTCCCACGAGGTCCTGTGCTACTATTGATACTATCCCCTTCTCTCCCCCTCTGTTGTACTCCGTACTTCAATCTTTCGTCTCTCCTCTTCTAATTCTCGGCCCTTGCACAAACCTAAACCGTTCGTTCACACAAGCACGCATTACAGCTGCTCATGCAGCACACAAACCGTACAAGCTATCAAACGGTGCCCTCGTATATTGAAACGACGTCGGGCAGCCAGCAACTCCATGTGACTGACGAGTGAGAAGAGAAGAATTGAGCGTGGACGTGATCAGTCCTGTACTGCAGGACCACAACCGCTGGTGGGGCGGTAAGAGACTTTACATATGTATGTGGCTCCTCTACACCGTTTAGTATACAAGACAGACTGGATGTTCATTGCTGCGGCCCCAGTCCATCTCCTGTCGTCCTCCACTGGGATTATGCAGGCTGTTATGCATCCATCCGACTAACAAGTAACTAAGAAACTGTTCAAGTCGTCGCATCGCATCGCATAGCTGACAACGAAAACGGGGACGAGGAGATCATTGTCGCCATGTCTGCCGGACAATTGGGGAGGCATCGCTCGGTGTCGATGAGCTCGGGTCAGTCTTCGAAGGGGCGACTAGCCACACTTGCGGAGATCAGTCAAAGCATGCCTCCAACCGAAGTCACCCGCGATTTCGAACCATGCGCTGCCACGCCGTCTATGTTTTTGTATGTGCAAGGCAACTCGGTTGTTTGCGCACACCACGATACCCTGGCCATTGAGCGACGCTTCTCGCGACATACCGAGGAGATCCAATTACTTGCCGTCGACAACATCAGTGAGAGAGGCGCTGGGCGACTAGTAGTAACTTATGATGCCGGGCAGACGGCCATTGTATGGGATTGCATGACTGGAGATGAGCTGGCCAGATTTGCGTCGTATGAGAACCTGACAGTTGCAGCATGGATGCGCAATGGAAATGTTGCTTTCGGTGCGTTGAACCATCATCAGCGATTATATTTGGTTTTTTGGGGTGGCTGTTCGTTCAGAAGAAGGGTTGCTGATTTATTGTTGTGCAGGCAATTCGCAAGGGAAAGTGATTCTATTCGAACCTTCAACATCCGAACACATTTCCGCGAGAACGATAGACCAAATCCCAATCACGGCTTTGGCTCCCGCTGCAGATTGTAGAACTTATGCAATTGGGTATCTAACCCCCTCCTCCATTCATGCTTCTAACTAACTGGATCATCTAGATTTGCAAATGGATCCCTCCTAATCGCAGCTTTACAGCCAAGATTCACCATTCTGCACAACCTGACTACCTCCAGAGGACCGTCTCCCATTGTCACGTTGGCATGGCACGCCTCTTCATCACGCCAAAAATCCGATATGTTGGCCAGCCAGACAAACGACGGTGACTTGCGGGTCTGGAGTGTCGCCAAGTCGCCCACGAGCAGTGATACGGCTAAAGTCGTAAGAGTCTTGAAACGGACAGACAACTATCAAACGGGGCCAAATTGGTTGGCGTGGGCCAAGAACGGTCGGATTCTCCAGTTTTCTGAAGGGTGAGTAGTGGAAGTGATAATCACACCGACGCGCGCGCTTAACCAGACATTGCTGACACAGCCCCTTTCTAGAGAAACCTCGTCGTGGGATGTGCGGACGAAGAATGTTCTTTACGAGTCAGTACCTACGCTCGAGCATGTCAGGGGTCTCGCTGTCTACGGCCCTGGCGCCACTCTGTTCACATTGGGCCCCAACAACACGGCCCAGCAGTTCGACCTCAATAGTCCCCCGCAGATTGTGGCAAATGTTCAGCACCCAGCCAATCTGTTCCCCCCTTCGCCACCCATCTCTATCGAGGAGCAGAAGAAGCAGGGCTCGGCGGCTATCGCTGATGCCGATCTTGAGTCGTCGTCGGTGCCGATCAATATTGACATTTCTGAGAGCGATGAGGATCATATGTCACCACTGGCACGGATTGCTCGAGAAATGGACAAGCTGGAGCAAGGACGCCAGGAGCCAGACCGTTCTGATACTCTCAGTCCTGTGTCGTCAAGAAGTAGAACGTCGACAACATCCAGATCATCCGCTGGGTCTCGACCACACCGCGAGCATCGGACGCATACATCAGTCACCTCACGTGGTCCAAGCGACGGTACGACAATGTCTCCTGGGTCATCGATGCATTCTACACGAGAACCTTCCTTGGTTTCCAGTCGCGACAGCCTGTCAATGAGCAGTTTAAGCTCGGCATCGCATACTTCACACCGGTCTCGACCAAGGGGCTCCCGCTTACGTCAGGAAGTGCTTCGCAGTCCAGATGACGCGAGGGTCGTAGACTTATTCAAATTCACGAAGACAAGATTGAGTGATATACCTTACAGCCACCCACAGGTTCTAGATAACAGCCATCTAACGAACAATGATCTTCGACGACAAATGCTCAGCACAATATTCGGCTGGAAGGGTGAGGCGGGTGACCTGATACAGGATGAGATGAGTCGGCACCCACTGGGATCACCCAATAGACTCCTCTTGGCTAAATGGCTCGGTGATATCGACACTGACATTATGGCTACCAGCTCGGAATCAATGACCTCCTCGGACTGGATGCTCCTGGCCCTAAGTGGAATTGGCGGCCATGCTTCACAAACGAAGGTTGCACGCGCATACGTTCAGCGTCTGCTTGAAAAGGGGGATGTGCATACTGCTGCAACAATCATGATTGGAATGGGCGATCAGAACGATGCAATCGAGATATATGTCTCTCATAAACGCTACATGGAGGCTTTGATATTGACTTGTCATGTATTTCCCGCCGATTGGCAGAGACAGGCAGAACTGATCAGAAAATGGGGTGAATGGGCAGTTCAACATAGCTTACAGCAACTAGCTATCCGATGTTTCTCGTGCACCGGATCAGAATCATCAGAGCCCTGGGTATCACCATCTGCTCAAGCTGCAACGTTCTCGCAATTTCAGCAGCAAAGCATCCCTGAAATTTTGAGCCCGCCATTGTCCCCTCCCGGGGCCAGAGGTCCTCAACGCAGTATTGCGAAAACGTCTGCCCTCAAACTCATCACAACATTTGGTGACAAAGCTGGAAAATCCAAGTTCTTCGGCCTCGGCGAAGATGAGAGAACACCAATTGGCGGTGGTGTAACCCCAATTGCAGAGTCTGCACTTTCGCCTTCAGGTAGTGAAACCGTGCACACTGCTTTCTTGAGACCTGGTAATCGCAGTGCTTACAACACTCCTGCCTCAGCACGAACTGCAACTCCGGGAGGATTTTCCAGACAAAGGCTCCCTTCAATTGGCGAAACTCCTTCAGATGTCATGCCCCGAAGGACGCTAGAGCCCGCAAAGTTGCCTACACCTGTAGACTCTGGATCAGAGAGGGAGAAAACTGACCCCCTTGCTAGAGCACACGAGCGCAATATTTCACAGCCAGAAACAACACTACAACTCAGTTCAGCAACGTACACGCCCACTGGCAGAGCCGCTACAGCAAGCCCGATGATGCAAAAGAGTAGGAACAAACCCTCAAATCCGCTACCTTCACCCTCTCCAGAATCATTCACGATCAAGAACCAGGCTGCCCGTACTCGAAATGGATCCCGTGACCGTAAACCAGATGGGCTTCAAATACAGTGGCCACCCATGGAGTCCATCATTACCGGAGATTACATGACCTCTCCTGAGCTTTCTGTTACCTCGTCAAAAGCACGTACCAACACTTCACGCTCTGTCGCTCCATCCACAGCCTCACTCTCCACTGGCGGTAGAAGCCCCATGACCAGTGAGCGAAGCTACCGAAGCGTTGGGACAGCAAGTCCAGTTGTCACTGGCAGAAGCTTAGATCAGTATATTAGCAGCCTTGAATCTGCACAATACCATGCCGAAAAGCAACGAGTAAGACACAGCAGCCGCGACAGGCACGATAAATCAGGGAGGGCGCGTAGTAGCAGTAGAAAGACTAAGACACGCGAACCATCAGAGGACCGAGGACGCAGTGCTGCTCGCTACATCAAACCAGCGAAGCGCTCTCCAACATCACCTGTTCCCATGTCTCCAGAGGACCTCAGGGATCTCGGCGCTGTTGGTTATGGCGATCTTGCTCTTTCACCTGCCACGGAGATGAGAAAGCACCAGGAGACCAGCCATTCAAGGGTGAAAGTTTCAAAACCTTCAAGCCGAGTCCGTCGTACTTCCCCAGAGCCGGTTGCCCGAACCAGTAAGCCTGCAAGCCGTGTGACTAGCCGCAATAACAGCCGTCGACCTAGCCCTGATGGCCGCCTTACCATGATCAATACTAGAAGTAGGGGAAGAAGCCAAGGCCGAGAGGGCTCTGCGATTCGTTCTCCGTCGTCACCGTTGCCTATGTCACCTCAAGCCAGGTTCTACCAGGCAGATGATGATGAAGAGGACTTGAAGCAGGCGAAACAAGATCAAATGAGGTTCAGGTCCAGACATCGAAGTACGAGCCGCTTGAGAGAGCGTGGAACGAGTGCTGTTCGGGATGCATCGCCGGATAGAAGACGCCGTGACCGGTCAAGCAGCCGACGTCCTGATGAGCGGGATGCTAGCAGGACAAGAAAAGAGTCTACAGCGCCAAAGCGAGAGCGCCGGGAACAATCGCATGCTCGATCAGTCTCCGAACAAAAACCCAATTCTGGTGATGTCCATCAACTCAAGGACGAGCGAACTCTCAAGAAAGAACACGCCGCTCGTGAACTCGAGGAAAGACGCAAGTCTTTGGCTCGTAGGCCATCTGTTCCTCCAATCATGCACCCGGGAGAGCTGGGCACCCTTTCTCCGATTACTTATCATGAGGCCTCACCGGACTTCACCGGATCTTGGCCAAAGCAGACCCAGGTGCAGCCTCCGCGTAGCCAAACAACGTCTCCCGCGAACATTCAGACGTCTCCGAGTTATCTGAAAGACGGCAATGGGTCTTCTGTACAAATTGGACTTCCAGCTACTCCTAGGGCCATGAGACATCCAAAATATGATCCCGAACACAAAGACATACCCGAAGTTCCTCAAATTCCCGAGAAATATGATTCGACCCAGCTCCCCACTTGGGGAAGCTTGAATGCGATATCATACAACAGCGCCTTCGAGAGCCTTGCTCCTCTTCCAAAAACCACTTATTCAGCGGTACCTCGACGCGGTCCTCCACGAAGCGCATCTGCTCCAATTCCGGAAGAGCCTCCCCTCTCGCCGTACCCACTTCCCGCAGCTCTTCCAACACACCCGGCATTCCAGTCAGCGCTGCCACCCAGTAGCCGGAGAAAAACACAGGATCCTAGTGTAGCTCGTAGCCCACTGCTGTCACCTCGAAAAATCATCCCTGGCGAGTCCCAGCCTGGGACCCTCGGATACGAGACCCGAAACAACAGCCCAGTGTACGCTGCAGTAAACCCGTCTCAAATGGGCGGTATCGATGAAACAATTGAAGCAAGCGTTCAGCCCCTGAATCCTTCCAATGACAACCTCACACCGCCGCCGCCCCCACCCCCTCCTGCTCCTCCGATCCTTAAA